GTAAAATATTTTAAATTATTAAGATTTATAATTATTTTATTTTTAATTAGTTATTATAACTTTAACTTTTAATTAAATTATTATAAATCTTATAGTTATTTATTATATAAAGTTAAAGGTAAGGTTTTTATATTTAAAGTTAAAGGTTTTTATTTTTAACTTTTATAGTTAATTATTTTATTTATAATAAATAAAAGAGGATAGAATAGTTACTTTTAAGTATTAATTAAATAAGAATAAAAGGGATGAATTATTAGTAAAGTTTTTAAGGAGAGATATTTATTTATATAATCTATATTTAGAGTTATTATTAATAGTTATTAAGATATTATAAAGTTATTATAAAAGTTTTATATAATAAACTTAATTAAATTAATTTTAAAAGATATATTATATTTTATTTCTTTAAAACTTTTATTATTTACTTTTAATTTAATAATAGAATTAAAAAATATAAATAGTTTATATATAAATATTCTTTATTTATTAATAAGTTTTATAATAAGTTAATTATTTTATTTATTAATAAAATTATTTAATTTTAAATAAATATTAATAAATTTAAATTTTATATATATAATTATATTATATTTATTATATAATTATAATTTAATTAATTTAAATAGTTTAAAAATACTTTAAATTAATCTTTTATAAATTATTAAATTACTTAAATTTAAATTATTAATTAATTAATTATTTATTAAATTATTATTAATCAATTACTAACTATTAATATTTAATTAATTAATTTTTAATAATTAATTCTTTTTTCTTTTATAACTTAATTAATTATAACATTTTAATATATATTAAGTAAGCTTCTTTTAATTAAATTAATAATTATTAAAATTATAAAAGTTATAATTATAACTATATTTAAAATTATTATTTAGAATATAACTATTTAAAAGTTATTATTTAAATTAAAATTTTTATTTAAAGTAAAGTTTAATTTACTTTTATTTAAATTATAATCTTTCTTTTCCTTATACTTTTATTTCTATTAATAGTATAATTCTCTTAAAATCTAATAAAATAAATTAAAATAAAGCTATTAAAACTATTACTATTATTAAAATTAATAAAGCTACTATTTATAAAAGTTTAAGTTTAACTTTAAATAACTTAAAGGTTATTAATTTTAACTTTAATTTAAAAGAAAGTAACTACTTTTATTACTTCTTTTCTTATAAACTAATAAAAATAAATAAAATATTACTTTTTAAATTTATTTTAAAACTATTTAAATAAATTTAACTAACTTTTACTTATTTAATAAATTTTAATAAAGTTAATAAAAACTTTAAGTAATTCTTTTTTAATATAAATATTATTATAATAAAAATATTTTAAAACTTTTAAAAACTTTATACTTAATTTTAATAAAGTTTAATTAATTTATAAAATACTTTTAAAAATTATAATAAAAGTTAATTTTATTATATTAAAGAATTTATAAAGTTTTATTAGTTATAAATTCCTTTTAAATATTATATTAAATAATCTTTATAATAATTATTTATATAATTAAAGATTTAAATTAATAAGTCTTAATAAATATTATTAATATATTTTTAAAAGTTATATATAACTTTTATTTATAGTTTCTATTATATTATAAATAAGTAATAAATTAATTAATAACTATTATAATCTTTATAAGTTACTTTAATAAGTTATTTAATAAAAAAGAAAAACTTATTATAAATATTTATAGTTTAATAATTCTTTTAATATATTATAAAAGAGAGAAAGAAAGAGAGAGAGTTATTATAAAAGAGTTTTATTTACTTAATTACTTATTTTAATAATATAAAGTAATTTAGAAAGATAATTTATTAAATAAGTTAATAAGTAGTTAAATATTAAATTAAAGGTTTAATAAATAGGTTTAAATTATTAATTATAAGAAAATAATTATTTAATTTATAAAAAAGTTATTATAATTATTAATTATTTAATATTTTTATAAATTATTATAAAAAGTTTTATTATAAAATTTATAAAATTTATTTAATAAAAAGTTCTATTTAATAATTAATTATATTTATAAATATTTATAAATAACTTTATTTTCTTTAAATTATAATATATAGATTATTTATATTTTTTAGTTTTACTATTAAATTAAAAATAAATAATTAGAGTTTTAAAGGGATAAAATATAATATATCTTTTAAAGATTAATTTAACTAAGTTTACTATATAGGACTTTTTATAGTAACTTTATAATTTATATTTATAATACTATTTATTATTAGAAAATACCTTTTTATATTAGTATGCTAGACTGTACTAGTTTAGGCTAGTATATTAAAGGTTAAAGTTATTATAGATTATAGGTTGTTTAGTCTTAACGCTATTAAGTATTATATGTGATATTGTTGTGTGACTTAGGCCTTCTAAGTTGGCTGAAATGGGTGAAGATAAAAGCTGCCATTCCCCTAACTGGAGTTCTGGCTCTACTTAAGTAAACACCTATCTATCAGCTCCGCTACATTATAAATAAAACCACTTAAAAGCAGTCACTTAGCCTACTATACCACTAAACTAAGAGATAATTAGGTAAGGTAACTACACTCCATTATCTAAATTTATAATTCTAATAGCTCTACTATAAATAGAAAAAGAAATAACTATTAATAACTAAATTTATAACTATATAAAGGTAGACTTTTACTTTAAAAAAAAGTTATTATTATTTAAAATAGTTAATATATTTCTAAAAAAATTAAGGAATTATAAGTTTAATTTAAAATATATTAAGATCTATAAGAATCTTAAACTTAAATTTAAGGGTTTTAAATTAAAATTTATATCTATAAAAATAAAAACTTTTATAGAGCTTAAAAAGGCTTAAATAAAGTTAAATTAAGTTATAATATAATAAAATAATTAAATAAAAATTAATTAGAAAATTATAATTATAAATTTTTAACTTTATATTTAAAAGAAATTATAATATATATAAATATTAATAAATAGTTTTAATAATAATTTTATATATATTATATATAATAATTTAAAAAAATTAAACTTATAAACTATTAAAATAACTAATTATTAAATTAATTATTATAATTTTTAACTAAATAATTTATTATATTAATATTTATAAAAAGTTTTATAAATTTATTTTAATAACTAATTTTAAAATTATAAGTTTAAACCTTTATATAAGAATAGAAATTCGCGTACCTAAAATTAGAAGGTGTGCACCTATATATTCATTAAAAGGTATAAAATATAAAAAATCTTCTATAAAAGGGTTAATTAAGGTAAAGAGAGTGAGCCTTAAAGTGTAAAGTATAGTAAAGAGTTATAAGTAAAGCTAATAGGTATAATTTAAATTTCTAAAAGATTAACCCACTTTATTTATAACCTTTAAAGTTATAAAAATACTTATTTATTAAAGTTATAAAGACTTTAAGGTTCTATACTTTAATTAGTTAAATATTAAAAAGAGTATATATCTTTTAATTCTAAGTATATAAATTTCTATTCTTTTTATAATTTAAAAATTTTTATTTAAAGTATTAGTAAGTAAGTAAATATAGTATTTATAGTTTATAATTATAGTATTAAGATAGGTTATTTACTTTAGTAAAGTAATTTAAATATATTATAAATATCTATTTTATTTAAAAGATTTTAAGTTTTTATAAATATTTAATTTATTTTTAAGCTATTTAAATACTTTATAAAACCTTAAAAAGAATTATAATAATTTAAAAACTAAGTTTATATATTATTAAAATAACTAATTATTAAAATAATTATTATAATCTTTTCATTAAATAATTTATTATATTAATAGTTAATAAAATTTCTATAAATCTATCTTATTATATTTTATTATTAAAAGTTAATTAATAATTAATTAATATTAATTAATTTATAAATAAATAAATATTATATTTTATTTTTAAAGACATTAATTATTTATTTTTAATTTAATAATAAAAGTTAAAAATAATAATTTATAATATATAATTATATATTTTTATATTTTTATTATTTTATTATTTTATAGTTTTATATTTTTATATTTTTATAATTTCTTTTATAAAAAAGAGTAATTTAAAATATAATATTTTTAAAACTTTTATAATAAAATATTAAAATCTTTATAAAAAGTCTTAAAAGTAATTTATATTTCTAGAATTATCTTAATATTAATTACTATAAGAGTAATAAAAACCGTTTTTCCACATTACATCAACCTATTCAATATCGCTTGCTACTTGTGCAGCTGCAGGTTGGTTCCAACCAAGGCGCAGCAACGCAACAAACAGGATGGGGCTTGGACGTAAGAACCAACCAACAAGCAATACTGCACCTTGGCAGCCTAAGTACACAGTATCTGTCTATTACGGCATTCCTTTCCTCCTCCTCGGTAAAAGCATAATCTAGTCCCTTGTCCCAGGATCTTTGCGGGTCCGGCATACTTCCTGTGTGCTGTTGGGACTAGTCGCCAACCCTGCCGATTAATGGTGCCCACCACAGTACCCACCTAGGGTGCTGCACTCGCGTATTGCTCCTTGTCACCGGTGGTCGGTACTCGGGACCACCAACAACACTGTACGTACTTTGATATACATTGATTTGTCCATTCGATGACTCGGCTGTGCCTTACTGCAAGCTTGGCCGTGGTTCTGGGCACGGTGACATGCTCCCACTTCCGAAGGTCGACGTGCCTGTCCGCTGTCCACCATCGGAAACACCCTCACCACCCTAGCCCGGAAATTACCAATTCACAAGCACGGAGTGATTGGAATTTTAGGTAGTACCCCGTCGTGGATTTTCTCCTCGGGACCCGGATTGCCAGTAGAGAATTCCCCATGTTTGCCTCTATTTCTTATAAATTTCAAACCTTCACCTTCACCAAGCAATGTATTACACGACTTTTCAATCATTCAGTGTCTTCTCATTTTAATATACTTTTGCTTACGATTAATTTTTACTCAATCATCCCTCTTGTCTCGCTACCTTCCACAATGTCTGCTGCCAGGCTTGGATGTATAAGCTCCAGGATTCATGCATGCATTCGGGTCGTGAGGAGCCTTTTCATTTTGGAGCCAGCCAGTGTCGCGACTGAGAAGTTCGAACATGGTCACGATGGTGACCATTTCATTGATTCCTCCGCATGGAGTCGAGTTGATTCAGAGCTCACTGGACCCAAAAGTGCCCATCATCGCTTCTGGTGGAACAAAAACACCGGCCATGTTCTAGCCGTCCTGCTTGATAAAGCTGGCTACTCCCCGGACTTGCAGTACCGACACCTGAAGTTCTTCGCTGGGGTCATTGCTCCTCACCTTGGTGCCTCGCTTGAACCGTCTGTGGAGGATCGTTCACAATGGCACAGCTTCATGACTGACGATGGCACCCCGGTCGAGCTCAGTTGGGACTGGGGTACTTCTGGTGGGCCGCCAATGATTCGCTATTCGGTTGAACCAGTCGGCCTACATGCAGGTCAGTATTGGCATGAGATGACATTCAACTCAGTCCAGAGTTATGATACCTCAACAGTCTCTTGCTACTGTCCCCATTGCCTGTGCGATAGTAGCTAAATTTAATCAGGTAGCGCATTGGATCCGAGCAATAACGCGGAGGCCTCTGTCCTGGACAATCAGCTGATCCACGCCCTGCCAGATATGCGACTGGAATGGTTCAATCACTTTAACCAGTTCTTCAATGGCTTGGGCAATGATCAGGCAAAGATCCTCAGCGCTGACGACCACGAGACGCGTATATTCTATGCTTTTGATCTATCAGCAGACTGTATCACGGCCAAAACATACTTTTTCCCAAAGTTCAGAGCCAAAGCTGACGGCATATCCAATCTGGATGTCCTCTCTAAGGCCATTGACGCTGCGCCTCTTGTCACCAAACTGAATTCGAAAGCCTGGTCATTGTATCACCAATTCAGCACAGAATCAAGCGATAAGCTGGAACAGGAAATGCTGGCTATCGACCATATTGACCCTCTTCAATCCAGAATCAAAATCTACTTTCGTAGTCGCAAGACTGACTTCGATTCGGTGGCTAGTACCATGACTCTCAATGGTCGAAACAACAATCCAAAGCTAAGGGAAGGACTCCAGGATCTCAAACGGCTTTGGAAAATACTCTTTGAAGTCGATACACCTGGTCAGTCGCTACCCGAAGTTGGCCATCGTACGGCTGGGATACTCTACAACGTCGAATTCAAACTCGGAGATTCTTTCCCTGTTGCCAAAGTCTACCTCCCCGTCAGGCATTATGCCAAGAGTGACGAGGGTATTATCCAGGCACTTGGAAAATACCTTGATCATCATGGACGAGGCAAGTACTTGCCTCAGTATGTCGATGCCATGCATACACTCTTGTAAGTAACCCCTCGGCCGCTTTCTGAAGCTGAATGAATTCTGAAACTACCGTCTCCAGCAGTTCAAAGTCATTGCGATTTCAGACAGGAGTACAAACTTATGTCGGTTGCACTATTCGTCCAGATGGAACATTGAGGCTTGTTTCGTACATTAACCCACAAGTGCCAGCACTGCTTCGTACCTGTACCTAGGTAAATAGAAACAATGGCAGAGCGAGGGATGGGTCTTTTATCTGTCTAAAATACATATCATTGTTCAATGTTTCTTGCTGCCGTTGTTCTCTGGGCCACATACAGTAGACCATTCTAATCAAAGTCCCCTCTTATTGGAATTTGGTCCTTTTGATTTTCCCCAAGCCCTCCATGTTTCTTTCTTCTTCAGAACGGAGTTTGTTTTAGCATTTACCGGTACCGTTGCGCAAAATCACATGGGAAATTCAGCTTAACAAGCGTACGTATATAGATTGCAAATAAGAACACTCCAACAGCTTTCAAGAGGGCTTCGATCGGACATCGGAAAATATTCTGCTAGCCCTAGAGATATGTGCGGAACAAGCAGTTGCACTCTCTGTCTCGTGAACGTTGAAATAGTTATCTCCATGCCAATTGAATTATGCTGAAATTGTTTACAATACTTCGGGTTAATATGTATCACAGTATGTAGGTCGTGGTGTGAGACTTGAACAACACGTGCACGTCGGACGCAGCAATGATTCGTAATTCAATTGAAGATTCAGCATGTACCGAGGCATTTGGATCTACAGTGGCTGACCAGGACAATTTTTGAAAGTATCTCTACTATTATCTTTAAGGCTCAGGTATTACCAGGCCATGTTTGAAGGTGCCACTGTGACATAATCCTGCGAACAAGTACGTAGAGCAAAGGAATGATGAGCGAAAACACACGTTTGAAATATCGTGATCTTCCAACTGGAATCGGTTCTAGGTTCTTGTTTAATACTCAAGTCCATAAGTAAAAAAGACAGAAAGGAAGGGGTTACAAGACATGTTAAGAGTGGTGGGTCATGGCAATTCAACTAGCTGAGATCTGTGAGCTCAACACTCCTTTCCTCCTCAGCCAGCTCTTCCGAAGGGCGAGATCCCCAATGTGGGTGACAAGATTCTCATACCCCATTTCTCAGGTTAGCCGGATCGCTATACTGGACGTCCCAGACGTTTTGAACATGAATAGTACGTGATCCTGGCGGTACTCGAGGCTGTATAGAAGGTACAGGCACTGCAACGGGTGTGCCGATGATGCCGGAGTTGTCTTGAGATCCCTGTGCCGCGTAGCCAGTTCGGGAACTGGGCATGGCAGACAGAGGCTCGCAAAACTCGCCATCTTCTTGGGACCTAGCAATTTCCGTGGTCCAATACGCGGGCGTCTTCTGTGCGTTGTTGCCAAGATGCTGGTGGGAATCTCCTTCCGCAAGCTTTGTACGGTGGCTCTTCTGGCGAAGAGCCAGCCAGACAGGGCGTAGAGTCGGAAGGCATGCTGCAAATTGTTAGTGAATCCACTTGGTGGGCTGAACAAAGAAGTTGTTACGGGTTGGACTCACCAGAGATGATCGCGAAGTTTACCTCAACCACAGCCCAGGTGGCCTGATTGATAAGATTCCATGTCATGTCAGGATCTGATTTCTGATTGATGACAGCAATGAGTCGCATGATCGAAGCAATGCAAACACTTGGCGGTCAGCACTAGGCATCAGAACAAGGATTTAGTGATATTGGGGACTTACAAGCCTCCAAGGGCAAATATAGAGACCAGTGCTCTCTTCTGGCTGGTTGAAATATGGAGCTGAATCACATATGGAACAGGTAGTACCAGTAGTGAGACATCCAGAAGTATGTTTGGGATTGAGATAGCAAAAAGAAACTTCTGGCTGTCGACGTTGCAGGAGGCAGTGATAGATTTGTCCCAAAAACCTCGAGTTGGAATGCATTGTAGGACAGTCAGTAGAAACTAGAAGTAGTAAATAGTTTAGCAGTTGCACTGCTCAGTGATGATTCTGACGTGAAACTTACCACAGCGGTACCCCACATGAAGACGAAGCTTGAAAGAATAGCGATGGGAATCTTGATGTTTGTTTTGCTGAAGATTCTCCAGTAAAATGCCAGGATAGAGAATTTGACAAAGACAATGACTCCGGTATATGTCAATTCACAGCTGAAAAGACCAATGAACATATCTTCAACGACATGGGGCCCAAAAGTCTGTATGTGTTTTCCAAGCGCACGAGGTACCCCTGACACTGTTAGCTTGCGAGTATAGTTGGCGGAGCATCATTATTTCTTTATCATACACCAGAAAGCAGTGGCCCAGAGCCCAATGGCACACACCTAGAAATAAATTATTAAATGTTCCAATTAATATCCCCCTCCTGCAACTTACAAGGGCACACAAGATGAGCCAATCGTCAACCCAGAAGCCTGCTCTGTTGGTCCAACGACTCCAGAATCGAAGACACACACAAATAAGGGCAAAAACTCCCGGGACAATCGTGGCTGCATAAAGGTCCGGCTGGCGTGACTCTGAGAGGTCAACGGAGCGAAGGGAAAGATGATGCATGTTTGCGGGAGATGATGATGTTCTAGCTGCGTGAATAATTGTTGAAACGTATGGTTGAGAAGTCTCAAGGCCAACAAGTCAGGTCAGGCAAATTGGGTGAAGGATTGGGGGCCCGTTCAAGTATTCATCTTTCTTCACCGAGGCACATGCGTTCCCGTTCTGAGTTGCATGCCACTGAGGAGCCTTGGACCGAGTTCCACTTCCTCCTGCACAGCATCCTTGTCACTTTTGGCTGCCCAAGTTGGCATAGATCGCATGCTCACAGGATGTTGGAGTCGATCCCCTGGGTAAGATTGAAAAGAAAATTGACAAGGGGCTGTGTAACATGATGAGACGCTTTGTGGGGGTCATCTGCTTTAGTGAATATTCACTTAGTGTGATGCAGTGCAGCAGGTCCTTTTGAATCTAAAAATAACACTAGATTGGGGCCCAGTCTGCTCGGAGACTGCAAATGGCAAGTGCAAAGTGAATAATTGCCTCCACACCTTGCTGTCTTCCTTGATCAACGTTCTGCGGCTGCATGCAGGGTTGTTGCTCGAAACGGGAGTGTGGTACGCCAAGACCCACTGCCATGACCAAGACGGTGACATCGTAGATGCTGCTCAAAGGGTGACAAGATTGGGCAAATGCGAGTTCCGGGATCGCTCTCGGTTCCTGGAGCCCGATCTGCCTATGTCCACACTGTTGGTAGACATTCAGCTAATCACGTTGTGAGTTGTCGGCGCTGTTGGTTCTTAGACTCGGTCCACGGGGCTGGCTGATTTGAAATGTGGAAACATATCCCTGCCATGTTTGTTGTTGGCGCTTGGGTGGACAGTAACATCTCAGCTGCCTGGGTACTCCGTACTCTGCATTGACTGTGCGGGTCTATCTTCACCGGCATCCTTCGGCCTTACGGGCCCTTCGTCCTCCGCGCTTGGGTCACATTGGCAGATGAATGGCCTCGATGATAGAATGAAATGATTCCGCCGGCTGGGAAACCAGCACCAGTCACCGCCTATATTTTCCTTCAACAGCCCTTATAGTACAATTCAAGTTTCAGTTCCATACATCCTAATTTTCCGCTGTGGCCCAACCATTCATCATCAATACCTCCAAGGTCGACTGCTTCTCCCAACACTTTCTTTCGCCATGTCCTCCAAATCCACTCCTGTTATCCTTCTTGTCCCTGGCGCATTTGGTTCCCCTGATGTGTATGGCCCTCTGCTGCCGTTCCTAAAGGATGCCGGGTTCGCCACTCATCCTGGCCCCTATCCGAGCTCAAACCCCGCGGACCCTTCTGCAGCAACATGTACAGGTGATATCACATCTTTACGTGACGGCATTCTTCGTCCCCTTGTTGAAGAGCAGCAAAAGGATGTCGTCATCCTCGCACATTCATATGGTGCGATTGTTGCCAGTGGCGCTGCGAAGGGCCTCGACAAGAAGACTCGCAGCAGCCGGGGCCAGGTCGGCGGTGTAATTGGGCTCATATACGTTGCCGGAAACATTGTTCTGGACAACGAATCTCTTGGCGAGTCTCTAGGGGGAGCCAGTCCCCCCTTCATCAAGCTTGATAAGGTGCGTTTCTACCAAGCCCTACTCACTGGGGCAAAGTAAACTAATAGTGGATTTGCAGCCATCCGATGGCCTCGCTTTGATCGAACCGGCCACGGATATCTTGTACAACGACTGCGACCCAGGACGTGCAGCGGAATTGAGCAACACACTCATCCCTCATGCGTACTCTGCCTTCCAAACCAGATCCACTGCCCCAGCATGGGCAGATACTGCATTTGATGGGAGAAGAGCATACGTGCGTACTCTGGACGATTGTTGCAACCCTGTCTTCGTGCAGGACTTATGGCTTGAGAAGACAAAGGTACACTGGGATGTAGTCGATCTGAAAACCGGCCACATGCCGTTTGTCAGTCAACCTGAGGCGCTTGCTACCGAGGTAATCAAGTTTGCCAAAGGCTTTGTGTCGCTCTGAGAATATTATCAATGATAGCTGAGGCCCCTCCAAAGTGCTCATTGAGTACAAAAGTTTCTTTCAATTCTGTTGTGGGAGGAGAGAATTTTAGAATTGCAACATTTGAATGGACTTACATTTTGTTCCGCTACATCTGCCCGTGTCAGGTTCAACCGTGACACCAAACGCACCTGGGCATAGAATTCCAAGGAATGCATTCCAAATGACAATCAAACTAAAGCCTCTGATCCTTCTACATTGAGACTGGGTGAGATATGCCTACTGATCGAGTCATGTTGCCCGCGGAGGATCCCCTTGGTGATATTTGGGGATTCGGTTTGCACCAGCATCATGGACAATCGGTAGTCAGACAGACCTCAGATACGAACTGCAGATGCGCAAAGACAACCACATACGGCCATATATTCAAAAAAAAAAATAACAACGGGATACCGTCCGCTCTCCCATAGTCAAGCCCGTGATCGATCCCCTATTGCACTCCCCAAACCATCACCTACAATGAGTACTATATATTGCCCATTCAATTCGCGAACGTCCGTAGCTCTGATGGTCTTTCTAGACAAACTGAGGGCCTGATTTTCTAGTGCAGTAAATTTCTCTGTTGAGTTAGCATCGAGACGTCGCCTGGCAACAACCAACTGTTCTGGGTTTCGATTTGGTGCCTTGGCAGCAAGAATGTCGAGATTGACTGGAAGAGAACTCTGAGTCAGTTGTATCTCTCGATTGGCGGTTCCTACTCTAATCATAGCTTGTTAACCCACCTGGGAAGGCAACGTCGGCTGCTAAACCAGTGGACAAGGTCTCTGTAGTGTTGATCGTCCAAGAGAACGAATCTATTGCCACAGTGTTATTTCACATATCCTTTTCGATAAATGGCTAGCACCCCCAGGGCAAAACTCACTCAGTGGAATGGTGTTCTCTGGTAACGCAGCCTGTTCAACTCCATTGGGAATGTCGACATTCATGGTGAACGGTGATGTGGCAGCTAGAGTAAATCGAAGGCCATCCACAAATTCTGCTTCTTCAATGCCAGGACCTCCAGTGACATTAACTGTCCTGGTTGCTCCTTGCCCATACTGGACAAATATGTTAGATGTATCCAGTGACTTGCGTCCCAGCAACATGTATTCGCCATCTAAAGACGTCAATTTGATAATGCGCGTCTTATTTTCCGACCTTTTCTCGCCAATTTAGTATCACAAAAAACACACTGAAGTTTGAATATCACGTACATGTGAACATTTCTTTGTCCCTCTATGATGACCCATGCTTTCCCGTCGGGGGCTAGTTTTCCGACAAAGGTATTGGCCACATCGAAGCCCTGCTGCTGAAGGGTAACAGGGTCGTAAGGCAATTCGATCTTGGCAATAAGGTCCTGCGCCGTCTCGTTCATTTTGATGACCCCTGGTGGTGACCAGTTGACGTTAGTCCTGCTACAGATCCTAAAGTGTTGTATTCCAGAACATCCCAAAGATGAAAGATTGTAACGGGTGAAGGTGATATTTACAACTGTACTTGGACAGGTTGGCGAACCCTTCTCCAGTAGATCCCTTGACAAAGTTTCCTGGGAGAGGTGAGGTATTATTGGTCACAACAAGAGTGCGGTTCAATGGGGAGAACAGGTCAAGGGCAAGACCGTCCGTGAAGTCTTGGTCCGTTCGAGCCATCTGTGTCCCAATGTATCAGCATGTCTAATAGTCATCTACCACGAGAGAAATTAAGCAATTGAGATACGCAACTATGGATGCAGAGACTGACCTGGCCAAGAACTTGAATCTGGTCCCCGAAAGTTGCGAGGGGGTCATCTTGGGCCCAGACGAAATGCACATAAATGCCTAGAATAAGGCAGAAGCCAAAGCTCACACAGCAGGGTGGTAATTGTGCCATGGAATATACGGGGACGAATAAGCCCGTCTAGAATTCTGAAGATGTTGATGTTTTACTCTCCCTATTTTGAACAAGCTTTTTCCATTGGGTCAGGCACATATTTAATAGCCTGTTCAGCAACCACGTTTCACTGCTTTTTGGTCTACTCGAGCACACAAGTGGTAATAGGATAGCTTCAAGGCAGATGATGGGTAACCGATTGAGCCAGATCGAATGTGCTAAGGAGACAGGCTAACGGCAAGACTCGTTTGAAGTTCTTGTTCCGTTCCCCAGAAGGGGTGGTGCACAGACGGTTTGAGAATTGACAGATCTGGTCGACGTTACTAGTAGCCCGGCATCTGATGACCTGGACTCTGGGGTACTGGGGTCTCCACGGAAATCCTGATGCACTGGCATGTTACCTTAGTCGCCCGAACTTTCTAAATATAGGTTCTCAAGTTGGGTTGAGATGCAACTCGGATCACGGAAGATTGATATATCCCAGTCAGAGATGAGCCATGTAGATCCCGAGTATTTTAGAAACATTCTTGGAAAAAGCTTAAGCTCAAGTGCTGACCTATGCCGCATTGTTCCAAACCAGGGATCCTTGTCTCAGCATGGCATCAATTGATGGAAGTAGTCGACCCATCGCACGGCCTGGCACAAGAGGATGGAACAAGAATTCGGAGTATCAGGTCGTCAATATCCTAGACTTTGATTGTTTCATTATTTGACAAAAGAATTCCGAACATTTCGTAAGCGTTTTCTGGCACATCCACATCAATCTCTGTCCTTCTCTTCAACCCGTCCAGGCAGACCACTGCCTTCGATCTCATGCTGCATTACCTACGATGAAGCCATTCCCTGGACGCAAGGGCCGTCCTCCTCCGCTTCAGCTTAAAGGCTCTAATAAGAGGGACAATATCGAACAATACAACCGACTGACGCCAGCTTTACGGACACCTACGCCGGTCCGTGCAAGCGTGAGACCCTTACAGATAACACCAACAAGAACACCAACCTTTACGACCTCCACGACTTCCATAGCCCCAACCAGTTCCACAAGTCCCACGAGTACAAAGGCGATCACTACAAATCGGTATGCGGCTCATGGATATCGTGAGAATTTCGCAGTTCGCTAAAGCTGAATGAATACTCCAGTGTCAGTTCAATTACGGTACCAACCAGCCCAACTGTGACAGCAACAGCTTTTATCCCGGCGCAAACAGTCACAGTCACGGCAGGGCCAGAGTCCCAGACTCTATCCAGAAGCAGTTCAACATCAACTAGCACGGCAGCAGGTGCACCGTCCGCCACCACCGGAGCAGTACAAAATGGCATCGTGCTCTCATCCGCGGCGGTCGGAGTCCTCGCTGGATTTGGGGCTGTAGCAGCGACCTCGGTTATCTTGACGATGGGGATTGTGTTGATGAAGCAGCGGAAAGGATTGCATACAAAAGAGAGTAGTTAGATCCTGAACTTATCAGTATGGCCCGAACCTTAGAATTAGATGCGTGTATCTCTCAGAGAAGGCCCCAGTCGGATAAATTGCGAGAAGCTGTTCATCGATAGATTCTGTGGCGCCACAAGAAAAGGCATGAATTTCCGGAAGGCAGCGTACGCGTGTTAGTCTGTTGCTACGAACGGACCGTTGGCAAGATTCAACGAAATGATTCGTCCGTGCTGCATATAGAGTGAAACAAACTAGATGTTGTTCGGGCTCTTATTCGTGGCGGCTGTCTCTTAAAACCTGGAAAGTTAGCTCCTAATCGTAGCTAGACAAAGCGTTTATCTCAAACTGGGAAGCGGTTGAGCACCTCGGCGGGAGCGGCGATGTCTCGTACTTCCGAGCTCTCGGAGCCGTGATGAAATTCCCAGATTAGCCACAGCCACACCAGCTGGACAGGGCTTCCAGCTTTGATGCACAATAGGTCAACACTGCCGGGGTGTGGAACGAGTCGCGTTTGGTTTCACACTCCACTTCGTGCGGTCTTGATGAAACGGCACTGGATGAAGCTATGATTTGTGCGAAGTTCTAATTATAATGTTACCTGCTAGACAGTGTTATAGGGTATTGTTGCTGGTAATGGGATCGCGAATTCCATCATCCATCGTAATGGCCATGGCCTTAAGTGCCCTTAAGTCAGTGATGGTCAGCTAATGTACAACGTTGCTGCCCTACTGCTACCAAACCTGCCGATCCTAATCCAGTCATGGACATCACCGAAGCAAAACCTACTGACCGCCGCCGTTTTACGACTCTCGAAGGGTATCGTGAAATTCGTCGCGGTGTGTATCTCGCCCCAGGACCGACTGTTTTGTCCGTCGCTTTCGACTCGACATGGACCTCACGATTTGATCCAGAATGGGATCGATTCGATGACAATGATTCCACCAGGACAAGGCTCTCCAAGGCCGAAGAGCAAAGGCGAACCTTCTACCAGGATCTGAGATTCCCACGGCCTACTCTGAACCCTTTTCTCTCTGCCGAAGAAGCGGAAACGGAAGCGCAGCCAAGAAATCCCAACTCCGACTTAAATGACGGTGGCCACGATGTAAATCCGCGCCCACGTTCAGAACAGCCTTTTCATATACTTGAAAAGAGACAGAAGTGGTTCCTTGTTGGCATGATTGGTATGGCGGGCCTCTTTTCAGGACTGTCTTCAAATATCTACTTCCCATCGTTAGATTCGATCGCTAGAGTACGGTTTTCATTCCTGTTCAAGCCTTTAAGCTTCTGCGTCATATTGCAGTTAACACTGATCTCTAGGACCTTAATGTTAGCCTTGGAGCTGTCTCGTTAACCATAACTTCCTACCTCATCATTCAAGGCATTTCACCGCTCTTCTGGGGGCCATTATCCGATACAATAGGACGAAGACCAATCTACATCGCCTCGTTTTCGGTCTACATCGTCGCAAACGTCATCCTTAGTTTCTCCCCCAACTTCCCTGTTCTACTCATTGCCCGGGGCCTACAATCAGCTGGAAGCGCGAGCACAGTTAGCATCGGTACGTTTTGGACATTAATACAGGGGCTGAATTTCTTGGCTGATAGACAATGGATAACAGGCAACGGGGTGATTCAGGACATAGCTACACCTCTGGAACGAGGCAGCTTCATCAGCTTCTATCAGGCCAGTGAGTCTTTTACCTGGTTTTCTAGGCCGCACTTGAATTGGCTCGTATAATTAACTGGTACAGTCCGCAACTTTAGCATCGCTGTCGGACCAGTTCTCGGAGGACTCCTGTCCAACTTCCTTGGATTTCGGTGAGGTCCCCTCAACAATTGTTTCCATGTATGCAAGATGTCGACTGATTCTGTGCGCTTTCCAGCTCCATTTTCGTCTTCCTGGCCATCTTGTCCGGACTTGGCCTTATAATGCTACTTGTTTATTTGCCCGAGACCCTCCGCAGGATCGCCGGCAATGGTACGCTAAGACTTTCGGGCGTCTATCAGCCCTTCATTCGCAGGCTGACCAAGGAGCCGGAATACATGGAAGACGCTGGTGAAAAGCCAGATATTTCGAAGGTCACTTTCAACACATTTGCAAGCCCTATAAAGCTGCTGGCTGAGAAAGATATTATCGCTCTCTTGGTCATGGGAGGTATGGTCTATACAGTTTGGAGCATGGTGGTAGCAAGCACAACCGGGATCTTCAAGGACCGGTTTAATTTGAACGAATTAATGCTTGGTTTAGTTTTCTTGCCTAATGGTGAGTAGAGGAACTTCCAGATGTTCCATACCCACAACACCCTTTGCTTTCCATTCTCTACACTACCGAAAAGCACACAACAGATATGTACTGACATGTATCACTAGGTTTCGGCACCATTGTGGGATCCTCGATCGCTGGAAAGATTATGACTCGGGACTTCGTCCGTTTCGAACAGCTGTACCTTGAAACCCACCCGGGTGCCCCTGCTCCCTCGAAATCGAGGAAGGCATTTGCCTCGGATTTTCCCATGTACGTTCTCAGCTTCCCTGATTCATTCGCCGAGTACCACTGCAATCAGTTTGATCATTTTGCTATATACGGCAAGCATTACTAACTACGGCGTTCCAACAGTGAGCATGCCCGCCTCCGTTCCATCCCCGTGATCACATTCATATTTGTAGTCTCCACCGCGATTTATGGCTTCACAGTCCTGCCCACCGACCTCCTTCCACCACAAGCAGCCAATCCAGCTTGGATCGCTCTCCCGCTTTTCCTCCAATTTCTTATAGCTGCGACGTCCAATGCGGTCTTTGCCATCAATACAACGCTTGTGTCCGACCTGTGCCCGGGAAAAGGGGCGAGTTCCACAGCCATAAACAACCTTGTGAGGTGCAGCATGGCAGCCGTGGGCGTCGGTGTGGTAGAGTCGATGCTGGCACTTGTGGGCCGCGCGGGAACGTTTGTCGCGCTGGCGTTGCTTGTGGTGGCTATGTCTGTGGTATACGTGATGGAGTGGTATTGGGGATCGCAATGGAGGCAGAAAAGGGGGATGAGGAATGAATCAGAGAAAGTATAAATCATATGTGACCAGCTCGTGGATCCGGTCTACTCTAAGTCTGGATGTCCTGAATGTGGACTGTTAACTAGAAGTCTCGCCGTCTCCACCTTTAGAGATTTCCTTTCTCTGAGCCAACGCCATTCTCCTGCACCACACTCCCATCTCTCTCCGCAGCCTCCTGCGCACTTGACCCATCTACAAGATGCATGTCTTCCAAAATGTGATTAGGTACTACCGCGCCTTCCTCCCTGTGGTCATAATTCGTATCCTTGATATGGTAAATTCCAAGGTAGTAAAAGCTGGCAATTCCCATCACATAGAACAGCAGAATGCCCCCTGCCTCGGCAATAAATGGAATCTTGATCGAGTCAAGGCCAAAGCAAATCGCTTCACCAGCACCGAGAACACCACGAAACACGCCAACGTAGTGCGTAAGCTTTTGCGGTGAGTTTGTTATGGCGCCAATCCAGTAGTAAACAATGTTATGCCAAAGTTGCTAAGGACACGACTATGAGCTTCTGATGGTTCAGTCCAGCTTTGGGAATACCTAGGTAACTCACAGAAAATACCCAGTTGAGCATGAACAAGATGAAAATCCAGCCAAACCTCGGCTCATCCCAGTCGGTTGGGTCCGCAGGGGGCGCGTTCCTGCTGTAGTCACGAGTACGGATCTGAGATCAGGTGAGCAGGTGTGTGATCAGAAACTGAATACAAAAAAGAGAAGGGAAAGGGAATAATTCATGAAAAGTCTTACCATCTCCCAGATCCAGGCAGCCACAAGAGGCACGGAAACAGCTGTCAATCCGACCAACCCACGCTTTCGCCGGCCCCAGGCCTCATGATCCAGAATAGATCTTAAAGCCCAACCAGCTGGGATCTGAAAGCAAACAGCCACGAAAGATAGTAAAGACCGCGTCCTGAGGTTGTTCAGGTGTGCTATATCAGGAAAAGTCAGAAGAGGCATGTATGTAGCGAACGAGTGAGACTACAAACCATTGACCGAGCCGCTGTAAACCAGGAACCCCTCGGATGGGAAGAAAGCTGGAACCATGATCAGCAGCACCGGATCCGTGAAGACCATCACATTGGACTTCAACTCCTCCCAAGCACCCCGGGCAGGGTGGACGGCAACCACTGACCCGTCATCTCGTCTGAGTTCCTGAGGCCGAAGCAGCAATAGGCCGCAGAGTCCACCGAGGATCATGATCACGATAAAGGCGATGTAGACCGACCGAGGGACGCCGGCGACAGTGGCGGAGTTCCTATTGATAATGACAGGGATGATGCCCCCAATCACAGAACCCAGCGCCTGCATGTTCATTAGATTGGTAGCAAAGGAGCCTTTTTCTCGCTCCTCAGGATACGCAGTTGAGATGTAGCCTGCGGTGATGAAGACCATTCCGGCCCCGATTCCGATTATAGGTCCGGCCGCGTACGGGTACCCCTTCTGGCCTGTCTCGTCGTAGTACCAGAGCGATCCGACGTAGACGACGTACGTTTGGACGCCAATGCACATCGTGATACCGGGACCGAGCTTGTTCAGGATGCTGCCCCCAAAAGAAGACGAGAAGAACCATACTGAGCAGAGCGTGGCGTTGACGACTTGGACGACCTGGGCCGAGTCGGGTCGTCCGCCGCCAGCACCCAGCAGGTTGAGGGCGATGTACATGCCAGCTGATGCGCCGACGCAGACGCCACTGATCATATTCTGGACCCATGGGCTGCGGTAACGTAGCTGTGGGAGATTGAAAAACCCCATGGTGATTAAAAACCTAGGAATCGTAGAAGCAATAGGTTAACTGGTGTGCGTGCCAACAAGCAGCAGAGAAGGCAGGTCACAGAAGATAAGAAGCGCTTCGACAAGCATTATCAATGGTAAAAGAATTTCCAGCTACGGAGAATCACTAATTGAGAGCGGGCAACCGTACGCCGATCAATATGCATATCATTTACACTGCACTTGTCTCTATCGGGGTAGGCAAAGCAATTCAGGATATGCATTGCATCCTCTCAACTTTCAATGAATCTTCCACAGCACTGTGAGCTTGCTCAGAGCTGTCGTCTTTCTCCAAGCTCGATTCCATACATACTCGTCGCTCTCATCATTCTCAGCACTCTCATCCTTCTCAATGGTCTTCGTGATTAACCCAAATACTATGGTCATTGCCGCCATGTTTCCAGACAGCCTAACTTAACGGCCCTTGCCGACAGGCGCGAAAGCGACAACAGCCTGCTCCAAAAGTTTGGTGTTTCTAAGAAGAAGTCCACTCTTTGAATTCCAGGCTCTAGTTTCGAGCCGCTTCGGCTCAGGCCTTCACCCAGCCATATTTGAGGACGGAGGGGGTGGAGAAGATTAGGTTCGCCACTGTGGGCTGATTTTGCTTTCTCATTTTGGGCTTGTTGCAGGCAATATGGTGGCTCTAGCTAGTGATGGATGGTAATGGTTTGCAATTCTACGCCTCATCAGAAATCTTCTAATTATTTTCCTTGTTAAATGTTCCTTTGGACCCGTATGAAACACAGGAATGCGCTCCTTGCCGGACGCTTCACAACGCCGTACTTCACCAACCACGTTCTGATTTGTCTAGGCCACATTGCCGTACGCTATAATTCACAGTATCATTTATGAAATTAAACATAGTCTTGTATTGGTGCATAGCCCCTCATGATGGTGGCATCCCGGGCGATTTGCACTGTCTTTCTCTTGTTTAGGGGTAGCACTTATAGTGGGGGCTTTCGGGTTGGGCGGCCATAAGCGGAGTTTCGTCTATATTACTGGTCTCCTCGGTCTTCAGGTGTCAATATTGCGGGTGTTTGCCCTGCACGTGTGCATGAGGGGGTGGTAGCGAGTCTACCTCAGCTCCTCAATTGGCCGTCAGCATGATACGACCGGGCGAAACTCTGCTCTTGGCAATGCTGTCAGACGCCGATCGATGACAAAGTTCATGGCAACAATCGACTACTCAAAAAGCTACCACGTCTCGAGATGGGTGTAAACACCCTTTTTCAGCCCCTCATTCCCTTTATTCATTGCTTATGGGTGGATTCTCACGCCGGACAGAATACGGAATCATGGCGCCTAATTTGACAGACGAGGAAAGGTACCCGGAGCTTTTTCTGCCTGACGCGAACATCGACAGACGAACATGCCACCGAACTCTGCCAATGGAGGTATTGAGTCTGGGGCTTTCCAGGACCGGTACTACATGTGAGTGTCTTATCATGTGATATGAATAAATTCACAATGACTAAAGGCTCACTGTGCATTGCAGCACTCCGGCAGGCCTTGATGATCCTCGGCCACAATGAAGTGTACCATGGCTTTCGGCAGTTCAACAACCTTAGTGAATGTGCATTTTGGATCGAGGGGTTCAAGGCGAAATACGATCCAGCGCCGGATCAGAAACCATTTGGCCGTGAGGAGTTTGATCAGCTCCTAGGGCATTGTTCAGCGGCTTGTGACACACCTGCCAACGCTTTCGGCCCAGAATTGATTGCTGCTTACCCAGGTAAGTTGGTGGATGGAAATGGAGACTGCTATTCTTGCGTAATGTTACTTGTTTCTGATGTTTCCATCCTAGACGCAAAGGTTGTGCTTGTGGACAGAGACATCTCGAGGTGGATGAAGAGCTTTGACGAGACCATCATCGAATGGTTCTTTGAGAACAAATTCATCCGTATCCTTTCTCTCCTCAGGGCTCCACAGGTCGCAGAGATTGATGATGTCATGCTGGTATGGCTCAAATACGTCTTCAGATGCACCAACAGGGAAGAGTTCCGGGCAAACGCGCGACAAGTCTATGTGGACCATTACAAGACGATACAGGAAGTGACGCCTCCTGAGAGGTTGCTCAACTACAGACTTGACCAGGGCTGGGAGCCACTGTGTGAGTTCCTGGGCAAAACGGTGCCGGATGTTCCTTTTCCGCATAGCAACGATACGCAGGCGTATCACGAACAACTTGAAGTCGTGACATGGAGGGCCGCCCGCATTATGGTGCGGAAAGCAGCCCCATATGTCGTGGGGGCAGTCATTACTATTGGAGTGGCGGTGATCAAATTCAGGAGGCACAGGGTAACTATCTAAGTTGATATGGCAATGTGGAGTCGAATGCAACACGTCTACCTACGTAGGCTACGTACCAATGAATCTGGTGTAACAAGTGACTGCATAATTGTCTTTTGTTCCAAAGCAATCGATACTTGACCCAGGCAGGGCCCCCGAGGCTTGCATCACTCTGCTCAATCATCCTCCGGAAGTTATCCCGAAGGGAACATTTCGAACAGAGGATCTTCCTCGGGATAATTTCCTCTAGTACTCTGGGCTATGCAAGCTCATCATTCAGAAGACTGTCCTGTGGAAGAACATCATGCCATCCGATGGGAGGCATTGCCAGATAGCAAACATGCCATCTTGCTCGTAACCGATCATGATGTTGAGTAGCAAGGGGGCATCAAAACTAACGGATCTTTCTACGTGTACTTATGATCAACCCATCATCAAAGGACTCGAGTAATGACTGACAATGCTGACGTAGGCTGCCATTATCTGCAAGTATTGGTTGCTTTAATGGCTTTAGCTATATTATATTTTTTATTTAACTATATATTTATCTATTTATTATCTTCTTAACTTTTAGACTAATTATTAGCTTATACTTTAAGTATAAAGTTAATAATTATTTAATATATACCCTTAAATTTATCTATATATAAAATTATTAACTTCCTTTATAAAGCTCTTTTTTTTATTATATTCCTTATATATTATATAAAAGTAAATAAATTTTTAATAATAAAGTAATATATTTAAAGGAGGAAAATTTAGTTTTTAAGTATTTAAATTTCTACTTTTCTTATATAATATTTATTTAATATATAGTAAATAAACTCTATTTAACTTTTAAAAGAGTTTTAATTTTTTATAAAATTTATATAGAAAGGCTTTCTTAAATAAGTTTATTATTATAATATTATTATTCTATTAATAGTTATATATTTAAAATAGGGATTATAATATATTTAATTTACTTAATAAGGGTAGATTTAAGTAGCTATTAAGTATATTAATAGAGAAAAGTTAGTTTATTAAGTTTTATATTATAGAATTCTTTTTTTATAGGGGTTATTTTAAGACTATTTTAGTCTTATTATATAACTACTTTACTAACTTTCTAATATAATATTATTAAGAGTAATACCTTCTAGCTTTATCTATATAATATAAGGCTTAACTATATATCTATATATTATATTCTCTTTCTACTATTATTAATACTATATTTCTTTAAATGTTAAGTCTTAAATATTTACTACTATATAAAGGTACTATATATATTTTATATATATAGGGATTAAAAATGAAACTACTTGGTTGCTTTAATGTTCTGTAGGCAGCAAGCGGATTACCAGTGGGCCCTAGGTCCAAGTTGCGGCTGTGACTCAGGTGCTCCCAGCGGCCGCAGTGCTTGGAGCCAACAGTTATAAAGGTGGCCCCTGAACGGATCCGGCAGTGCTGCTACCATTCTTTTTCTTCACTTGAAACACCCACGCAAAGATTTCATGGTAAGTACGAATATCAGGTATTCCAAGACCGATAAGAAACACGATGGACGATCCCCGATGGACCGCCACTGCCCCTCCTGAACAGTTGGAGGCATGCCGCGCGAGCGACATTCTCGACGTCAATCATCAAGATGTCTTCGCCACTGCGATGTCAAACTTGCTGTCCACAGACATTGCAGAGCAGACGTTCGCACAAATAATAGATGGTCTCCCTCTCAAAGACGTCGCTTTCAACCTGGAGGCTACCCAGTACACACGTCGCGATCCCGTCTTTACCCACGTTGAATTATGCCCTGGTGTCTTGGAAAAAGCGAGGATGTTCCGAGACAGCTTCGATCCGAGAGCTATGGAGCTGAGGACAGATGTATGCATCACTCGAACCAACGTATTACGAGTGTGCTAACGGTGCCATAGGTCCTGCAGAGATATCAAGACGTCCCAGCGAGGTCGAGGGCGTCGAAGCTCCCTTTACTGGAGCTTGTAGCTGTAGCCGTCCACACTATCGCAGCGGAGCTCTTTGATCTCGATGGAGCTCTTCACAAGCGAGATACCCCATGTACTCGCTACACAGGTAACGAGAGCGACGCAGTCTCTCGACTCCCACCTTGGCCGACTGTTTTTGCCGTGTATTCGTACACGGATCCAGCACGGTTTCCCAGGGGAATTTCTGATATAGCGGGCTACTGGGCTGAAGACATCATCTTTGGAGGAGTTGTCCTGTTCGGCAGAGGAGAGAGTGGGACTGGAGTGAGTAAACTTTCATCGAGAAAGGTCTATCGGCATCAGAAGACATTGGTTTGACTGACTGAGTCGAATTTCCCTCCAGTACGACGGAATCTGGTTTGACTCCCATCGCGAAGGAGTCACGTTCCGAATCTACGCCTTGACTGAAGAGCAAATTGAGTCGCTGTTGCATTTTCTAGAATGGGAGCCCAAGTCTCAGCCCAGTCAGCAAGAACAACGACCAGAATGCCCCCTGCCGATCTTAGGAAATGATACCAACCTGACTCGGGTAGACCCGGACGTTGCGATCCCCTTGCACAATGTTTACAGAGACCGTTGGGAAAAGCCGGCATTTTGGGGAAGCTATGGTGCATACTCATTCCGCAAATCCGGACCCCGGGATGAGCTGAACTGGCCAGAGATTAAACTAAGAAAGATACATACTAGGCCCACAAGAAGTCAAGGTGGCACACATGAGACATTCGGTGAGTTGCTGGCTAAGGTTCAGGAAAAGAACAAGAAGCCTGGGTCCGGGTCCGGTACTTGATCCATGATCAGTCTGCATCTGCTTTGAGCCGCCAGCACCCCTCGAAGCCCGTTGTTGCCAAATTGTCAAATTGGGATACGGTTTACTAGTATTGATTTGGACGGAACAAAGCGGGCGATGAAGCACTTTATTTGTTGGGACATTTATCCCATCAAGAGCTCTTCAACAAGTTAAATGGTCGCATGCGTAGTGATGGTGCGATCATACTAGCATCTCCCTAGCAACGCAACCCCTCGACAAGTTCCTCTTAGAAGCAAATCAAACTGGTGAATGCGGCAATTCAAGTTCCAGGGTTCTTTTGTTCACTTGCAAGTTCCGGTTCACATGATGAAGCAACTTGCTAAGTGCAGTCTCATCAATTGTTCACGTCCAATGATTGACATGATGGCTTAGTTAGGTAATCTTTTATTCGTAATGGGGGTATGTACCAAGGCTTTTGATTTTTCGGAAAACAATATAGACACGTGCGACATATATAGACATGAAACGCAATTGCAACCAGTGATAGCTGATTCCAAGCTCCCAACAGCTCCATTGGGAAACAGTAACACTTCTCTCACCCCCTAGAAATCTCTGCCTACTGCTTGCCTACTGCCCGAGCACCAACTCTTGATGCTTCAACTGTCGCAGACAGTAACCACAACGCCCACGGCCGACATCCACGGCTTAAATGAGGAGGTAAGAGACGAAAGCAGAAGCCGCACCAAAGACACTGAAGCCCACGGACGCAGCCGCACCGGTGACAACAGGCGTCGACGAGGTGGAGTTGCCGCCCTCGCCGCCAGCAGCAGCCGTGGGGCTCGCCACGGCGCTGGTGGCCATGCCGGAGGCGGCATCGGCGGTGGCGGTGGCGGTGGCGGCGTCGAGGCCGGCGGACAGCGAGGCGCAGCGCTCGCGGGTGCTGGGCTCGTCCTCGCCGGTGCACACGGCCAGGTCGCAGCTGCACAGCTCCTCGCTGCGGCCGCCGGCCACGCACTTGCGCCAGGCGCCCTGGCAGTCGTCGGTGCCGGCGGCGGCGGTGGAGGTCGGGGCGGGCGCGCCGCCCGAGGCGGAGGCCGACACGGCCGCGCAGTAGTCGGCCGTGCGCGCGTTGTCCTCGCCCGTGCAGGTCGCCAGGTCGCAGCCGCAGAGCTCCTCGCTCTTGCCGCCGGCGACGCAGGCCTTGTACGTCGTCTGGCAGTCGTTGCTCGCGGCGGTGGCTGAGGCGGAGGCGGAGGAGGAGGAGGAGACGGCGGATGATGAGGAGGAGCTGCTGGTCTCGGCGAGGCTCAGGCCGGGGAATGCGGATCCGACGCAGGCGGCGACCTGGGCGGCGCAACCGGCCTGGTTTCCGGAGACCTGGATGGCGAGGAGGAGATGTTAGCATCTTTCACTCGCTTTGTAGTGATCCGAAGCCGGATATTGTGAGACTGTGTTCAGAGAACAACCACTTACACCGTTGCCAGGGGACCGGCACTGCTGGTAGTCAGTCTGGCACTGCTCGCACTGCATCTTGTTGGAGGAACACTGCGCCTGGTTGGCGCCGGGGCCGCTGCGGCACTCGTTGCTGAGGGCGCTGCAGTCGGTGACCTTGGCCATGTCGATCTGAGCGTAGGAGACGGCGGAAAGGGCCGCGGCAACAAGGAGGAGCTTCATCTTGACGGTAGTATTAAGACGATCGAATTAAACGACTGGACACAGAAGCTGGAAAGAGCTTCAAGTGGAATATTAATAAGCAATAGAACTTGTAGTTGCGTTGGTGAATTCGACTAAAGGAGGCAGGGTGTCGGTGTCAGTCGGAGCCGTTGACCTTATACCCACGACTAGGCCTGATTACAGTGGAGAGCCGATTGAAAAGGTCCGCGGTGCTGGGGACAACATCGTAATTGGAATAAACTCATAAGCTTGTACTTCCCTGCCAAGAACGGGGCTCGAGAGTCTCGACATCCACAAGGCTCTCTACAGGGGAGTGATCGCCCAAAACGGGAGATTTGTTTTGGTCGTCCTCACGCTCACACTTGTCCCGAACAGTCCGCCTGAAGGAACGGGTCACATCGCGGTCCACTTTTGTCCGTGTTGGGTTATGTCTAAGAGGATCTACGATCCCCACGAAGTTTATATTTTTAGGACCGTAACCCACGAAACCATGTGTCAGTCAAAGCCAACGCCTCCACGGCGATGCCCGATTCGCCCCTTGTCGGCAACGGACCGAGCCCGTGATACGGGGGGGGGGACAAAGATGACATGTCAGAACGTTATGTGTCCGTTCAGCTCAGGCTTGAGTGTCGCGTCAACACCATTTATGGCATCGCAATTTGCTCCACACACGTAACCAGCCGTAAATCTTTATTCGCTTTCGCTAGTCCCTAGACCTCAAACCCGGACCCACCCCCCAAGGTTCATGCCAGATCCCGAGAGCATTGATCCACAAGCATCAAGCTTGAGCTCGTAAACGCTTCTCAAGTTTGGTAGAACTGGTCCAAGTGCCACAGCTTCTTGGGGTCGCCTCTGATAATACTCCAGACTTAGCCCGAGGCCGACATCCGAACAATTCTCAGCTCTACCTGTCGGACTGCTGCCACGACGGGACCCCACAAACACCACGGCACGCTTCTCGATGACAGCCGACGGCGCGAGTCAGTAAAACAACCCGGATCCATCCGGCCAAATTGGGACAGCTGCGATGGCCTCCTTTTTGGGGGATGAATTAAGCCAGCCGAGTTTCACCCCCGATTGAGGTCATGGGTTCGACAGCACCCTGTCGGGCATCATCGTTACGATTAGCCGACGCACTTGGTTTGTGATATTTTCTTCCGTCACTTACACAGTAGTCCTCTGTAGTAGACATGGTGACTTCTGCCAATTTGGGGCACGAGGTTAACCACTATTCCCGTTTTTATGATGGGGTTGGATGTTGACGATCTCCAAGTGTCCGAGGCGAACGAAAATCGTCGGGACCTCGGGTGACACAGGGCCGATTCGTGAGTGATATACGAGAAGCAGATGATCAACGCATCGGATACTCCATACCTGAAAATTAGAATTCAACCACTTACCATTCACACTTGGTTGTCATTCTTTGCAGCTGAGAACATTTCCCAAAACAGACCTCCCTCTTCACCCGCCAATGGGACGGGACGCCCGATAAGTGGAGTTTAAGGCCTTCCTCCTTGCCCAATGCGAACCACGAGTGAGCTGAAACCCCTTGGATGGAGGGGTTGACTAGTTACATGGCTTCCATATTCCTGTTGCGGGTATCTGTCAAGTGCGTTACCCGGTTTCGCTTCTATTCCGTATACGTCCGAGGACATCCATGTCGCCTTCATACAATGGTAAACGCCCGAGACCGCGTGCTTTAAAAAAGGCATACAGTGTCGAAAACAGTGGTAAAAAAAATACGATAGGTGCCAAGTGCGCTACTCACTGGATGTTGTCTCCCTGTGCTGAGAGGTCAGGTCAAGTTCAATAATCGAACCTGATTTGTTCAGCGGATCCAGTCACTCCGAGTCCTTCACCGAGGTTCAGCCACAACTTGCTATGTCGTGCCTGCCTCAGACTGTTGACTCACAGGAGAGGGTGGGCAGTTTTAGCATCAATGGTAGCAGATATCCGAGTTCCATGCGAGCGTGGAGGGTTTCTTTTCACACGTCTGTCACCGGCATGGAGAGAGCACGGCAAAGAAAGTCCAAGCAGACGCGCACAGCCTCACAAAATTTAACTACATACCCAGGGTATGTACATAGGTGATTTGATCCTGCCCAACGCCTTACAGTCCCAAATAGCATACCCAAGCGACTTTTTGTCTCGCAGCAGAGCAAACAGCACACAAAGACCACCACCCCACCCCCCTCCCACCTCTTCACTCCCTCATGAGCGAAACAACATACGTCCGCTCCTCCCCAACCATCTCAATCCCCACCTTGGCCGTCACAGTCCGCAGGTACCTCCCCCTGAGCCTCAGCTGCGCCGTGTGCGGCCTCACCGAGTCCTGGTTCGTAAGGTGGCACCGCTCCAGGTCCCTCGTCTGGGCCTTGCCCGCCCTCCGCCACGCCACGAGCCCGACGTCGGGGAACCCCCAGCGGCTGGACGGGTCGACCCGCAGCAGCAGCACGAAGTACTCCTTGGCGCCGCCGGGCTGCCGGGGGCCCTTGCCGTTGAGCCTGTCCATGCTAATGAGCGCCGTGGCGGTGAGCCGCCCGCGCCGCCGCAGCGTCAGCGTCCCGTCCTTGGTGTCCCAGAGCTCCTCGGGCGCCGCGGAGACGATGTCGTAGCCGCTGTTGTGCGCGGCCGTGACCGAGATGCTGGAGATGCTGGGCATGGTCTCGATGCTCTCGTGCTTGAGGGTCGTCTTCTTGAGGAGGAAGACGAGCTTCGTCTCGGCCATCTGTGCCACGTTGTCCGACACGCAGGCCAGGGCCATCTTGCCCGAGGAGCGGCAGTGCACCCCGGGCCTGTCCTCGCAGTCCTCGATGTATATCCCCATGAAGCCCCCGTGCGGCTCACCCGTATGGCACCGGATGATTGCGATCTTGGTCTTGTTGTCGATCTCCACTATCGGCAGGAGGATCCTGATGCCCTTGTTGGTGACCGTGTATGGCTCCTCCTCCTCGCCCGGGTAGGTCTGGAGGTTGTCCAGGCCTAGGAACTGTGACGGGTGCGATGCCAATGCGCCGATGTGCACGTTGGGGGACTCGTTCCAGGGGCCGTCCTTGGCCTGGTTCCGCCTGCCCCAGGCAAATATGGAGTGGTCGTCAAACTCCTTGATGATCTCTTCCTGCAGCCTGACAAAGGCGCTCTGGCCGCCCTCGCCATATAGGAGCGGCATGTGGACGTCAAAAATCCCCAGCAGGCAGTAGGCCAGATCCTCGGGCCGGGTGGTCTCCCTCTTGGCGGCCCACGACAACCTCTTGGCGATATTGGCCCTCCGCCAGAGCCCGTTCATTAAGAACTCGGTGTGGATCCCGGAAGCAGCTTCTATCAAATCACTAAGGCCGGATTTGGCACCAAGATAGACCCAGTTCTTGTCGACAAAGTACAAGTGCGCCGGGGCAAGCAGCTCCTGCAGCGTCCAGCCCCTCGTAAACCACCTGCGGCGCTTGAAAGCGTCCCTGTCGAGATCAACCTGGCTGGGGGGTGCGTCGCTGGGATGGTCGTAGTCGTCGAGGAAGGCGACGCAGAAGGTGGCCTCCTCGTACCAGGCGAACATGGAGTTGATGGCCTCGGAGAGCTCTGAGCTGCTGGACTTGTCGATGCAGCACGTGTCGACCCAGATGTGGGTGGGCCTCTGGGTGGCGGGCCGCACGGGGGAGGCATTGTACTTGCGGCCGCTCCTGCGGTCTCCGTCATACCGAGGATCCCTCCCGGCCGGCTTTGAGTAGTCGGCGTCCCTGACGAACTGGCCGAACTTGAGGATCTTCTGGTAGCCGGCCCTCTGCTCCAGCTCCTCCCGGGGCTTGGTGGTAATGTCGGCATAGCTGACTTCGTCTGGGCCCCAGGTGTGGGACAGGATGGCGTATGGGGGGATCTTGCCATAGCCGATGAAACTCTCGAGGGCGAGAGTGTCGAGGTTGATGAGCCTCATGCCGGGCCGATGTGGAGATTGCCTGCTTACCTGCTTGACTACTTGACTAGTGAGCCGGAGAGACCAAGCACCGCCCAATTGATGTTGAGTGCATGGTCATGGCTCCCCATCCAGGTCAATGGCGCGGTCAGTATGGCAGCAGAGCCAGACTGGTGATGTGAGGTCGTTGAGCCGGGGTGGGGGGTTGTGACGGGAGGTTGAAAGACGGGCGATTCGGGACGAGTAAAATGTGAAATGGGCAGAGACTAACGGGTAAGAATTAGCACAGCCACGGAACGCAGTACTCGGTACCCCACACTGCCCCCCAACACAGAAGCCACTAGTCCCGGCAGTTTGGGACCTGGGCTGCTGGGCTGCTGGGCTGCTTGGAGGGGCATTTTGGACAGCACGCTACTGTAGACATGCCATAGTATTACACGGTTTCATCATTAAGTAAGTACCTAGGTACCTAGGTACTTATGTACCCTCCCTGCATGCTGCATCCTGCCTGTGTGCGGTCCAAAATAGGGCAGTCTTAGCCATGTGGTTTAAAGACCACTGCTAAGCTGCATCAAGATGCCCCCAAATTTTAGAGGGACGCGCCCTAGCCACGGCTCCGCATCGGAGGCTCAAGTGCCTCTTTGCAGCTCAGCCTCTTTGCAGCTCAGCCTCTTTGCAGCTCAGCCGTCGGACCACAAAGACCCAAGACCTCTTCCCGTTGGCTCCCGCAGTCTAGTGCAGAAGATATCAGCATGTCTCCCCCCTAATCGTCCCTTTCCAAGTGCTTCCCTGTATCCAAATTGCGCAAAGAAACAACCTTGAAAATGGCCAGATGAATCAATCTCCTGTTCCCTCCCTCCCCCTCAATATCATCCAGGCAACTCAGCAATGGGATGCGCAGCCAACTCGCTCGGCGCACGCCTCGCCGCCTCACCATGAGACCCACCAGCTGTGCTGGACGAGCCCCGCGATGAGGCGTGGTTGTTGTTGTTGTTGTTGTTGTTCCCCAGCTCCGAGCGCAGTGACCACGGCCGCGCGGCCCTCGAGTCGAGCTCAGACACCGCCGACGTGTCGACGCTGCTCGGCGACGGCGACAATCCCCCGTGTGCGATGCCGATCCCCAGGTTGAGCGGGTCGGGGTCCGGGTCCGTGGCCGAGCCGCCCTTCATGGTGACGCCCTCGTTCATGAAGTTCTCCACGCGGCGGTCCTCCTCCTGCTGCTGTAGGCGCTTCTTGGTCCGGCGGCGGCGGAGGCACATGATGCCCACAAGGAGGAGCAGCAGTACGAGGGCACCGGCCACTCCTCCTGCGATGGCGCCTATCTTTGCGCTCGGGCTGGGGCTGGGGCCCGTCTCGTTGGCTTGGTCGGGAGGTGCGGCGAGGTCGGTTGCGGTGGTTTGTGCTGTGGGTGTGGCTGGGGAGTTGGTCAGGGCAGAGGAGGATTGACCTGTTGCTGCATCGCTTGCCGTGGTCGGGGTCGTCTCTTGGCCTGGGTTCAGTGTTGGGTAATGACCCACGCTGAATTGGATGCTTCCCAGTATCTTGGTCGGCAGCGATGCGGTACCAGGGATGACGGAGGACTGGGACAGCGTGGCTGTTCGGTCGTCTTCGTCCTTGGGACACCAGCATGCATCGGGCTCGGTCAGGGTAATCGGGTGCTGCGCCTGATCACAGAGCACCCACTCGTCGCTTGTGCCGTTGCAGTAAGAAAGACCCAGCCAGGGCGTCGCTGGTATCACTGGCCGATGGGAGGGGCAATGTCAGCGGTGGGGAACGTAGAAGCTTGTTGACGTTGACTGTTTTCCACTCTGGTGTTTACTTACTCTGGTAGAGGAACTTGGGAGGGCAGCTGGGGTGCTTGTAGGCAGGATCGGTGCACCCAGAAACATATGTGACGCCAAAGTCGATGTTGAAGCAGACGCTGCTCTCGAGACAGTTGTCTCCAGCCTGGCAACATGCAGCATGCTCGTTGGCAGCGTTGCCGCAGGGGATCATGGCCTTGTCAGCCTGCTCGTTCTGTCCAATATAACATGTGCCATTGGACACATAAAGGTTGATATCGCCAGGCATCTCGTCTTCTTGGCCGTCAAAGGGTTGCTGTGCTGGTGGGGGTGTTGTGCTGCACAATCTCTGCAGTGTTGCGACCGAGCTTGGTGAAGCTGTGTTGTCTGCTGTGATAGTGTTTGCCAACAAACGGGTGGCTGGCTTGGTTTGAATGTGCAGGAAGTCGAGAACGTTATCCACCTTGAGGTGCTTGACACAGCTCTCAAGACCACCTCGGCAGTTCTGTGTCGTGTTGAGTTGTGCGACCGAACAATCTCCAAGGAGGCAAAACTGTCACGGCAACTGGGGACAACCAGAGGGCAGTTCTGACTCCAGGCACTTGGGCACTTTGGCCTCCTGCCTGCGCCACGATAACAACCAACAAGTGCACCCACTGTTTGGAGATAAGGGGCAGGTGAAGACACCAAGCAGGATGGGCACCCAGGATTTGATCTTGTTGACTGTCTTGGGGTTGCTTCCCGACGCAAGTTTGCTGGTGGCTTCCAAAGTGACAGGTTACACAATTTCGTCTGATGTACAGCGCCCACGGGTCTGCCCCATCACTCGACCAACCTTCCAATCACCATTCACTGCGGCCACCTGGGGCCAGTACAACTTGGGTCTCACAACACGTGTAGGTGCATGTCACAACATGGGCATGGCAGCCATCTTCATTGCTTCTTTTGGCCCTCCGCCCTGCCCGAGATCATGGCAGACAAAGAAACCAGGAGATGAAGGACATCACGGAGCATCGGCTTCTAAAGCCCACCATACCAACCTCAGCGCCATCCCCCTCTCATCTGGAACAACAGCAACTGCTTCTATCAACATAGGAGACATCCAGGGTCTCAGCTTGACCACCATGTTCCAAATCACCAGCTTGCGGTTCATGCTGTGTCACCTGGAGCCGACTGCCGGCCGTTGAGAATGACTTCAGCACTGGTTGCCCCTGGGTGCTTCCAGCTTGGGGCTCATTTCCACATTCATGTTCGTCTGGGGTGTGCTGGAAGCATTTAAGAAAAACCTCATCTTAAGCAGTACCCTGCTCGCACCTCAAAATATCCCTAGAATAATACACGACATGTAATAAGGTGATTGAGTATATTTGGTGCCTTACCACATGCAGACCTGCTGGATGATTTCTTTCTTGGCCTACTGTTTCAGTGCCTGGAGAAGAGCCTACTCAAACGTTAGAGATCAGAGATTAGCAGCTACAAAAATAGAGGGCACACCCAAGGCCCGTAGGATACAACTTGCTGGGAGTAACTAGCCACATATTAACCTCAAAACTTTAATCTTTAAGTTATCTTATATCTTCTTTATGTATTATTAATTATGCATACTTAATTATGTACCTAGGTAGGTATCTACCCTTATACAGATGTACCCTCTATTATTATAAGTGTAAATCTTCATTTCAACCTTTTTACACCATTTGTAGCCCAGGAGGAACTTCTTATGCCAAACAACATTAGATGATTGTTATTTCTATCTCCATCATAGTCAGATATGTGCTTTGGGTTGTGCGTTTCAATAGTGAAGAGAGCATCTTAGATCTAATCTACTATCAGAGGCTAACTATATCTCGCAAGCATTTCAGCGATTTAGCCACTCAGTTTCAGCAACCAAGTTCACAACTCTTATCAGAAGTCAAGAACACCTAGTGGCCAGACCCAAATATATATTTCGAACAACCGAGCACCTGAGAAGTTCCACGGGGTAACATGCACTCAGTAAGCGAAGAATATCTTGGTCTCACTGCCATTCTCCCGCAACCTCTTATTTTCTCTCTTCAGATCCCACCTCACAAACCAGCATAGAGCAATGGTAGCGAAGCACATGCAGGCACTAGTGGCCATTGGCAGGACGTATCGAGGCGCTGACGAGTCCGGCCATAGATACTGCCCACTCAGGTTAGTCAGGAGGTCTACGCTGCCTTGGGTGAAGGGCCCAAGCCAAGGCTGGGGAACTGATGATATCAAGCCCGCCAAGACGAAAACAACAACAACAACAACAACCAGGAATAAACCAACGTACCGGCGTCCATATCAAACTGAGACTCGACAGCGTATTAACAGCCGCCAGCGACGCAGCCCTCTTCTCACTGGTCTGCCCACACGTGATGCCCGTCCACGAAAGGATGAGCGAGCTGACGGGGTACGTGGCCGCGACAAACACGAAGGCGGCAAAGTACCGCGCGCCCGTGTTGAGCGTCGCGCACGCCAGCACGAACCCGGCGACGGACACGAGCTTGCCCACGGTGACGTGCCACGTGCGCTCGTTGCGGCGGCCCGACGACAGCCCCACGAGGACCGAGGCCGCGCCGGCGAGGATGTAGGGCGGGCACGTCAGCACGAGCGTGACGGTGCGCGAGAAGCCCAGCGTGCCGATCAGCGTCGGCAGGAAGATGCGGAAGCTGCTCGTCGCCGTCTGCAGGTGCTGCGCCGCCATGAAGGCCCACACGCGGCGGTCGGCCAGGCATTCGCGCAGCCCCCGAAGCAGGTCCACGTCCTCCCTGCGGCCCACCGTGTCGGCGGCGATGCGGCCCCCCGCGAGCCGCTTCTGCGCCGGGGTCAGCCACCACGTCGTCGCGGGCTTGTTGGGGAAGAAGAAGACGCCCGTGATGCTGAAGAGGAGGCTCCACGCGCCCATGATCAGGTACATCCAGCGCCAGCCCGAGAGCCCGCGGGCGCCGCCCAGCTCGCTGTAGATCGGGGCTGCGATCAGCCCCTGGAAGGCTGTGGCTAGGATGTTGGCGCTGAAGAGGATGCTGATGCGGGTTGCTATCTCCTTGCGCTTGTAGACTGTGCCAGTGGGTGATGACTTGCTGTCAGTGCTTGATGGGATACTCAGGTACGTAGTGGCTCGTCATGTTATCTGGGAACATACACATGCTAATCATATACATGGCCCCTGGGTAATACGGAGCAGCTATGATACCCAGGAAGACCCGCTGCAGGATAAGGCCGGTATAGTTCACGACGAACACGTTCATCATGGTGGCGATGCTGGTTAGGGCCATGGCCCCGCAGATGTACCACGCCGGCCGCACCCGCGTGAGGATGAGGTTCGAAGGGACCTGGCCGAGAATGTAAGAGACGTAGTGGATCGATACGGCCGTGCTGAACTGCGTGTCGTTGATTCCTAGGTCCTTCTCGAAGCTGTCCAGTCTGGCTACGGATATGGCCTGTCGGACGAATATGCTCATAAAGCATAGTATCCAGAGAAAGGGCTACCAGTAATTAGAGACCATGAGTAAGTAAACAGGGCCGTAATGCGCTCAATGATATCAGCGAAGCAACTGAGACGTCAGATGCGTACCATCATGCATAGATCGAGCTTCTTGACCAGCGCGATCTCCGCCGGGTCCGTCTTCCTGGAAGCCCCGGCATAGTCAACTGATACTTCACTCTGAACATCCGCCGCCTCCAGTGACTGGCACGTTGGAGAGGATTGCTTCTCGGGAGTAGATTCGTTTGTTTCTGTCTTGACCGTGGTGTCCATCGTGGCTTCAATGCAGTAGTAGTCCGGTTGCTGAAGTCGTTGCTCTCACTTATGATTCCGATGAATGTTCAGCAGGGTTGGGAAAGGGTTCGTGGGACGTAGATGGAGCTGATGCTTTAAATTTGTAGATGCTACCGGTTCATATCTAATTGAATTATAGGAATGGGTTGAGTCCCCAATCATACACTGCCATGAAGACCTCCCAATGCAGTGTCGCTGGCGGTGTCGAGGCAGTACAGCAGTGATATGCTTTTGCCCCGTGGCCGCCAAGAAACTCACTGCTTATATTGCCTTCCTTGACCTCGCGGTTCTCCGATTACTACTATGTTCCGGTAGGCTTCGGCCCGCGAGATACCAACGCACGTCGAGTCAGATGGTGCGAGGGGCTCGGGTGGTCATGCCACATCGAGAGATCTTGTCCCAGCCGGTATGTGAAAACCATAACCGGGACAACCGCCCATTACTACCAACCAGTACGGGTAACATGGCATATGTTTCAATGCGGATGGCGGGCTCGGGGCATGGATCGGAACTTGCCCTTCGAGAAAAGTAAACAACATGGCTCATGCCCATGCGCCATGTGGCAAGAAGATGCCAAGATAGGCATTATCCTCAGAAAAGGCATAACCCCGGACAAAAAGTGTACTGGGCCGTTCCGAGCCATTAGCGCGATCGGGAGTGTCTCCTTGCCGGTGTAGATCACGTCTCCCGACAATGTTTCCAATGCTAGCTCGAGTTAGGTCGAGATATTGATAGCGTTGTAAACCAAATGCCTGACACATGTAATCACATCAGACGAGGCCGCAACCGCACGGCTGTTCTCAGATGAACTGGACTGACCAAGCTGAGAGCCCTAATAAAAGTAGACAGACACCAGTTGACCTCACGGCGCCTGTGTGGCCAAGTAGCTAGGATAGTTAGCCAATTACTTTGAGCTATATACAAAAACCGTCTCCAGCCTCCGCTTCAAATGACATCAGCCAGGCTGACGCATATCGATCGAGATACTTACCCACTCAACTCAGCCTTTAGCTTAGAGCTTGCCAGGCAACTTACCGGGAAAGGCCACCTGGCCAGACAGACCGGCCCCCCTTGGTTCGAAATCCTCATGTGTCACTCAGTCAAGGCACAATTTGACATGGTGAATGAGCATCCGATCAGAGCGCCGCTTGTTGTTTGCTACGCTCAAATGTTCAAATAACCTTCCTCTTTAAGGTTATGGTCTCGGTGTGACGAGAACCTTGATTTGTCCAGTCAAATTGGATGGCCAGTGGATGTCAGGCCAAGAGCGGGGCAGAGCAAAGTTAGAAGCAACATTGTTCGGCCGGCAATTCCTGAGCAATTGCACCGCCAGCCTGAGCCATGGACAAAGACTTCGGGACCCGAACAAACAGGAACTTAGAAGCACAGACCCGCGACAAGACGTAATGGCGCACATTGAGACGCAGATTCGCGATACATGCGCGTACAGAGTGTTCATATTCGCGGTTCCTATGTGTCATTATCATAACCTGCGATGCCATGAAAACGTCATTCGCTCGAGCGATGAAGCAACCGATCCGTCATATAATAGCATCAAGTAAAAACAGCATATACGCCCGCTTAGAAATCCATATAGAAAGGGTGCACCGTTCCTCTTCCAGGACTTTTAGAACATTCACCGTCGTTCACTAGATCACTACCGCCCCGCTCTTATTGTGTCGATGATGACGGCGCCGCCCTCTGACTCTCGAACTGTTTAAACAGCCGCAGCTGCAATTTTTGCACCATATCCACCACTTTTCGCGTCTGCGCCGCGTCTCCAACAAAGCCAAACTCGCGCTGGACCTCCCTTTCTAGCTCACGCTGGACTCGCGGTGGCAGGCTCTGACTCAGGTATGTCTCATACTCCGAGGCGGTGCAAAGCCACGGATCGGATGTATCCACTTGCTTGCCAGTAGAGCTTTCGGGAAGACGTGTCTCAGTTTGCTCGTCCTCGTAGACTGAATGGCGCCATGTTAGTATGATGCTGTTGCGTCCCAGGCTCCGGGCCGGTATAAGGTGGAGGCAAACTTACAAGGCGAAGGCAAGGCACCAGTCCCCTCAGGGAACAGTGTGAGGTACACCTCATTCCACCTCTGTTCTTCCGTTGTGTTTGGAGGTACCCGTTTCTTGATCCTCAAGGCTTCTTCTTGGGATGGCATCATGGTCCCCTCCGGAAACGCGTCTGTCTTGGTCTCACACGGAACCGAAGTCCGCTGATGCGCCAGAAGCTCTGATGCACTCTTGCATTTCTTGAGACACCGGCTGCAGGTATGTTTTCCAATAGTGTGGCACCGGTACAGGTGCTCTTTCACTCTGTGTACGGTTGGCCACCCTGGGCCGCAGCATGTTCTCTTTTGTCGAAATTTGCCTGGGTTACTCTTGTCTGTTTTCTCTCAATTAGCTGTTGCCTGACAGTGACAAAACCGCGTGGAGACCTACAATATGGACAGGCAAATCTCTTTTCGCCTGCTTTCAGGCTGCTTGCCGCGGGCGACTCCTCAGCCGTCGAAGAGCCACTCTCCTGCGGGCTGGTGCTGGTCTTCGGCGAGACTCGCCTCTCAAAACTCTCGGTCTCTTCGCTCACCTTCCTCTTGCGCTTATTCTCAACCGAAGCGCTTGGCTGGCTGAAGACTTCGTTGTTCCACATCACTGGTGCCGTATAATTCCATGTGCCAAGCACATCAGCACAGTTGAGGCTGTCGTAGGGCGCGAGCCCATTCGCTGGGAGAATTGGAGCCGTATTCCACTGAAGAGGGCTGAGATCCATCGAGAAGTTCCAGGCGCTGTTTGAAGCCCCAGGGATATTCTCGGTGGTCGTGAAGTCAAGGGTGAAGTCATCAGGGCTGGTTGATGACATTGTTGTGACACTGCTGACACTGCTCTCTACCTCCCATAGGGACGAAGCAAGCGGGCTTGGTGCGCAGTATGAATCGTCCTGACGACACTTCTCGTTCAGGGTATTCATGTGATGGGCAACTTCGTCACCAGATGCACGGTCGGCAGTGGCGCCTTCGATAATGAACATTCGGTGGGTGATGAAGTTCAAGAAGTCCCGGATGAAGGGAGACGCGTTCTTGTGGCGAGAGAGATCGTTGATCCAGGCAAGGACTGATCCCTTGAGGATGGCGCCAACTCCTCCCGTCTGGCTGGGGTCCACGAATGTATCGAAGTACTCGTCGGACAGCTTGCCAGAGGCAGTCCTTGTGGTACGGCGCTTCGCGAATTCCTTGAGGCCCGCACGACCCAGAAGGAACCAGGTCACGAATTCAAGATAGGTACAACCCAGACCCCAGACATCCCAAGATCGGGAGACGGGCTTGAGTTTAGTATCATACTCCGGCGGTCTGTATGTGACTGTCATTTGGCGAAGGGGATCGGGGTTCTTGGATGCGTCGTAGAAGTCACCACCTCCGAAGTCACCAATAACAAAGTCTCTGTCGTCTGTGACACTCGAGGGGCTTTCGCTCCTCGAGCTTCTATCCGAGGGTGTGCTGCTGCTGCCTTTGCCGGTGGTGGGCGGGCCCATGGCAAGTTCCTTGGCCTTCTGGCCCTTTGAGAAGATGAAAATGTTTTCAGGTTTGATATCACCGTGAATTCCAATCTTGTTCATCAGTCTCTGTTGGCCGGCAGGGTCGTCGGTGGTTTTCAGCCAGGATTCGGCACCAGCATGTACAGACTTGAGGGCGTCAGCAATACTAGCACACTGGTTCGCCAGCCACCGCATGTCCTCCTTTCCGGGTTGCTGCGGGTTATCCGTGGACTGCCAAAGTCTTCGAAGATCGCTCTCGGCCCAAGGGAACACCAAATGGTAGCTGCCCTTGTACTTGTACGTTGCCAGAAGGGACAGCAGGTTTGGATGATCTGCGTTGTGCAGGCGTTGCAAGTTGCGAACTTCTCGGTGGAAGGCCTCCTCATCCTTGGACTTGAGCCTCTTGATGGCAAAGTACGGATTATTAGGCATGGCTGTTTGTAGGTTCTTGAAGTTATGATGGGCCTCGTGGATCTTGACCTTCCAGACCTCGGAGTTACCACCCTTGTAGTGGTTCTGCTTCTTGTCCTCCCACGATTCGATGTACGGAAGAATTATCTTGTCCTCAAGATCGACGTAATCATCCTGTTCTTTGGTCACGTTGGTGAAGACCGGAGAGAAGAAGCGCCACTGTGTGCTCTCGAAGGCTTCAATGTCTGCCTGGGTCCAGTTGCTCAGGCAGGGATCTGTGAAATCCACCAGCGGCAGCGCCAGGTGTTCCTTTGCTAGGAAGACGGTAATGCTATCAACCTTGGCCAAGAGCACAAGAAGCCCAAAGACACGGAGTAGCCTAAGATCTTGTCCACTGGCTGTGATGCTAGTAGCCATCTTCTGGACGTCTTGGGCCGGCAAATGGGGGAACTGGCTGATCAGCTCAGCATGGACTGCTTGCTGTGACAGAACAGTTTGAAGTGCATCTTCCGGGATGAAGAGGCGCCCACCATCTCCCCGGACAAGGGCGTTGTTGATCTTGTCTTTGAGGGACTGGCCTGACCCGTCTTCCAGGCCCATCATTGTCCACGAAAGGTCCATAGACTCTCCCTCCGTCACTGCGCTGTCAAGATCCGTCCCAGAAGGTAGGAGCTCTTGAGGGAAACCCAAGTCTAGCTGTGGGTGGTTGGCAAAGTCGATGGAGTCGACGCCAGCAGTGGACGTTTGTGTCGCATGACCGATGGGTTGATCCCGGCTGGGAGTCAGAGAATTGCTGCAGGAATCGAATGGTCCAAAGAAGAGGCTGTCATCATTGAAGTTGAAAGTGTCTAGTGTGGTATCCTGTGTGGTGTAAAAATGGTTCGACAAGGACTGCGAAGGGCATTAGCAAGGTGTGATAATCCATTGATGCGGAATACAAGGCTCTGAACCTACTGAGTCGTGCCAGAAGTTGTCTAACTCCGTCTCCGCGGACGAAGTCGACGACCATGTCGACCTGGACTCCATCGTGGTGGCCTCGGCTCCGGTGACCGGGGCTCCGTCGAGATCCGACATCTCAGAGAGTAGGCCTCGCACAGACTAGGTAGCCACGGTCTGACTGCTGCTGCTGCTGTACGTCTCGCCCAACGCTGAATGCTTATTGCCCTGCTTAACAAGAGGATGTTGGTAATCACAAGCTCAGGCACAATTGAGCATTAACAAGTCTGAGCAAGAGCAGGGACTTTGTCATAAAACATCGAGTGGACCCTTGGCCAAAAGAAAGACGAGCACACGTCTTTTGCTCTCAGTCAAGTAGGAAGGAAGGACACAACAGTCATACACACACGGAGCCACCGACCCACCACCACATCTACCCGGGCCAGTTAGAACCTTCCAGAGTGGGGCTCCCGCGCGAATGCGCACGCACGAAACGGGGCGCCCCAGAAACGGAGTCTTGGGGCATCCGTTTCGTGAACCTGAGGCAAACGGTCATCTATTACATCGAAAAGTGTACTGTGTAAGCACTTGAGTTGAAGTTTTACGGCGCATTGGCACGAACACGGCTGGTTTTTTGGCTACATGCGCGGACATCTTGAAAATACCAGTACAGATTTCAACTCATGAGATCGAAAAGGCATTCATGCCTAGGTACTTTGCAACGAAGCCTGTAAAGTTGCACAGCGTCCACCAGACGGCGGCCTCCAACGGAGCCCTCAACGGCATCCCACCACGCCAAACCGTCCCACGCCCTAGTGCTGACACCACCACCACCGTTCAAGTTCGTGCTCAAATGCGCAGAGACAAAGCCGCCCGCCACCTTCAGACCAGACCACACCTTCAAAGTTGTGCCCGAGGCGCGAGGCAGGCCAATATGCAGAAAAAAGGTAGACACACACATGCACACCTTGTCACTCGGCAGTTGTGTCTGCGTTACCCCAGACTTTCCGTACGTACCCCAGAAAGACATGTATTCTTGGGATATCTTGCCCGAACCCGATCTTGCGGTTCCTTAAGAGACCAATACACGGATACTGTTAGTGCGACACCCGCGAGGACCTAGGTCCCTCCACCCGGACGCGCCAAAGCCCGGGCACCAGCCCAAGAGGTCCCAGCAATCCAAGAGTTCCCCGATCGCTCAAGCTAGATACCTAGGTACTTTTGTTTCTTTGTCCTCGTTCGCTTACTCAGCAACGGCAACGACTTGGCTTCAGAACACATGTGCGCACACACACGGATCCTGACAGCAAAGCTGTGTGGGTGGGTATCATAGAACCTGAGGATGACTTCAAGTCCACATGACATCTGGACGACATCTCAACAACATCCACGCCGAATGTTGTTGAACTACAAAATCTCGCAACACCAGTCTCACCAACACCTTCAAATGCAGTAAGTAAAGAAGCCACATCGCGGTAGTGTGCGCAAGCGATAGAAGACGTTCTTCGTTCGACGTTATAAAGCGTCCTCGGGTCCGGACCTTGCCAAACCAACGGCGTCCTAACCTCCTCTCACAATCTGCAGGCCCGCCCGCGCTCTCCACGTTCCTTCCACCTGGACCAAGGGTAAATCAGGTGACGACGAGAGGTTCTACACTCAAGCCTCTCGTTTACCAACATATCCTGGCACACATTTTTTTCTCGTTTCCCACCAGCCAAAAACTTCCCACAATCGATTAAGAAGCATATAAGCACCCATCAATCAAACCCAAACCGCAACAAACCCGGGAATGACTGTTGTGTTGTTTCTGCCCGCCACACAGGCTCGAGGAGCTGCATTCGAGCCTCTCTCGGCCTTGCGCAGCGTCTGCGCCTCCCCCTCTTTTCTCTTCCCATCGGCCAAGAAAATGGTTCGATGGAAGCTCTCCTACACCATGTTATTTTTCTTTTCTTTTTCTTTTGCTGTCTCATCGTTGGCGAGATCAGATGAGGCCGGGTACAAAGGTGATTGAAAACCCTTTCTCACTTCACTCCCTGTGGGTATCAAAGTGTTTTGTATTTTCCAGAAATTCGTCCTTGCCCATCGCCCGATATTCTCGAGCTTTCGTCATAGGATATTAGGTCCATGCTCAACGTTGTCCTGACTCGGGCTTGGTAGCCGAGGATTGGAACTTCGACCACTTTCAAGCAGTGTCCACCCGAGTCTTGGAATAAACACACCTGGACTTTAAAAGGTTGTTGTAGTAAAGCAAAGCCGATTCTTGGTAGAGATGTGAAAGTCATACTAATGCGTTGAAATTCGTTGCTGTTGGGGCTCATTGGATGCGATGGGGATTTGTCGACAGAAGTAGGTGTCAAGACCGAGAAACGAACGCCATGTAAAAAGCAAGTCGTTAGGTTAGGGCATCAAGGTATGGAGGCCTAGTTCCGAGGCCGGGAAGAAAAAGTAGAAGATAATACTGGGTTGTATCATATTCATGGTTTCAAAGCACTCGTTCAAGCTGCCGGGGCGATGGGAGCAGGGACAGGGGCCGGGATACCAGCAGCGGCCAAGTCGACCTCGGTGTTGTTCACCTCCCCGTTGGTCTGCTTGGTTGGGCAGTCCCTCGAGATGTGACCGGCCTCGCCGCACTGGTAGCATGTTTTGCCAGCGGTGCTGAGCGGGCCGCCGTTGGGAGCAGGACAGTCCCGGGAGATGTGGCCAAGCTTCCCACAAGCGTAGCACTTCATTGCCTGCGCCTGACAGTCACGAGCAAAGTGGTTGGGACCACCGCACTTGTAGCATGTGGCCGGGCGAGGACCACCACCGTATCCGCCGCGGCCGTAACCACCAAAACCACCACGGCCAACGGGACCTCCACGACCCATACCAACGCCGGCGGGGTTGGGACAAGCACGCTGTCGAGGAATGTCAGCAGATGTTGTGGGAGATGCGATTGGAAGGGCGTTTACTCACAGCCAAGTGGCCAGGCTGCCCACAGTTGTAGCACCGACCGGCACCGGCACCGCTCAACCTCAGGGTTGGGCAGTCGGCCTGTACGTGACCCAGTCCTTGACAGTGGTAGCACTGCTTGGCCTCGGTGGTCCGAGGGAGGGGGCACTGGTTTGACTCATGACCTGGCTGCTTGCAGTTGTAGCAAAGGCGTTCGGCCGAGGAGCACACTTCGGCGTAGTGCCCGACGTTGCCACATTTGTAGCAGGCACGGCGAGAGAGCGACGACATCTTGAGGATGTAGGTCTATTGAGCAATAGGTCATTAGCCTCACGTTGCATTACTTCTGTAAAGCGCAAAATTCACAGCCTCAACGCTCAGCACCCGGCGGCGTCTCGAGAATAAGCACATCCAGATTATTTGGGAGGCCCCCATCAGAGCCACGCAGCGAGCTCGGGAAGATGGATCCTTATATATTCACGAGCGTGTCCAGGTAAAGGCCGATGGCGCAAAAGAGGTCTCGCTTCGGCGCAGTTGCAATTGCGTGTCCTTACAGCCCGTATGCACTAGATAAGGGTCGTAGGCTGGTGGCTTGACGTGTGTCTGACATTGAGTTCCCTGCAGCATGCACGGCGCCCTATGAAACACGCGATCGGGCGCAGTGTTCGCGTCCTTTGAGCTCGACTCGTGAACTCGTTGGTGCCACCAAGCGAAAGCGGTCCAGTCTCGGTTATCAGCTCTGACAAGCAGAGGCGAGCGCGATGTAGGTCTCCTAGGCCAGAGTTTATATAAGACGTAGGCAGCTATTTCGTGGCCCGGATCGCACGAGTTCCGGTCCATCTTGGAACGATTCCCCGCGGTTCTGGGACGGGCCGGCGCCGGCGCGGCGTGGTGTAGCGACACAGCCTATCATAAGACAGACTTAAAACCAACCTCGGCCAACAGTGAGCTCGATGCATGTGTTCCATGTTGATTGTTGAAGGCTCAACCTGGACGACAAGACTGGTGGGGTCGAAGGAGGTGTTGGTGACAATGCGCGCTTTTCGACAAGACGGATTTGGCGGGGTGCTCGGCAGATCCGGGAGCTGGCGCAAACAGATGTTGTCGGCACCCGCGGCCGGAGCTCTGGGGTCGAGGTGGACAGTGACGGCCCGGTTGTCGCTGTCGGTTTTCGTGGATGGACATACTCATGTTGGATGGGAGCGCGAACGGGGGAGTCGAGGCCAAGACACCTCGAGGCGGGCAGAACGAGCAAGGCAGCAAAGCAAGAAGAGGGAGAGTAAGAAAGAAGCTCGAGTGTACTCACAAAGATGAAGATCAGGACGGCGAGGTGCGTCAAAAAATTCTGTCTGTCCTTGCACCAAAAAAAAAAAAAACACCAGCTGAGTAACGGCCTTCTTCGTCACGATGTTCAACCTTGATCCTGACCAACAGCGACGACCACTTCCAGCTCCTCAACTCGCACCAAAAAAAACCTAAAAGAGCTTCCTTCGGGACGGGGTGCGTGAAGGACGGGTTCTTGCTGAGGGAGGGGAGGAGAGGGAGGAGATGGGAAGGACAAGGGAAGGTGCGACAAGATGGATACCTATACGCAAGAACAATGGGGCCCCTGTGGGCTAGCTGGCAGCAGGCTGGCAGGCTGGCTAGGACATCTGGGACCCGGCGCAGGCATCTGGACCTGCCTACCTGCCAGCACGGTGGAGCGCAAGGCAGGAAGGCACTGTCCAGTGTCCACTGCCCACTCCCTGCTCCCACTGCCCGGCCCTGCTTGCCCAGAAGAGGGAAGACTTGTGTGCAGTGGTATTGACCTGGGCCTAGCGCATGAACGGGGACTGGTTGGATGCGCCTACACTACAGCCGTATCCGTACCTTTTTCCCAAGGTTGCTGGGTTCCTTGCTGGGTTCCTGACCTGCCATCCATTTTTCGAGTCTTGGCCCCCTGCACCCCGTCCTTGCAGATGCACTACATCTGGGAAAACCCAATATACCTGCCTGCAGATATTGTGCAGAACCAGATGCAGAGGGGGGTTGCACCGGCTGGCCTGCGGCTGAGAAAGAAGCTGACGTCGTCGGCAGTGTGTGTTCTTTGTGTTCCTCGAGGCGAGACTTGGACAGCGCAATGCAAGGGGCGCACAAACAATATCCGTCCGCCCTTGAGATGGGCAGGCATACCGCAGTATCATCTATCTGATATCTAGCGTCTGGTTGGCGCTGACTGTGGACAATCAACCTTGAAATCTCCACCGAGAAATCCCGATATTGCACCCGTCGACCTGAAGGGTTCCAAGGCTCGCAAGGTTCCGTCCCGCCGTCGGAACGAGACGACGGCTCGGAATTTCACTCTCTATATTGGAGAGGCGTCCCGAGGCGCGCACCCCGGGAATGGGGCTGGATTCCTTACCAATGCCTTCATTAGCCAACCAACCCAAGGGATACGTGGGATTCATTCCTGGCATATCTCGCTGTTGTTGTTGTTGGCTGATGGCCGATGGCTGATGGCTGTTGGCTGTCGGCAGGATCCAAAAAGTCAAAATGCCATGCACCTTCACGAATCGAGGGCATAAGCCGCTCGAGCGCCCCAGCGTCTCCTCGGGCTGGCTTCCTCCTCCTCAGACTTGGTCAATTCTGTTTCATTGGGCCTCTTCGCGCACGGCGCGTCCGCACTTCTCGCCGATATGCAGGTCCATTATAGACTACACGCCCTAGTACTGCAGTCCCGGCCGTACCTTGGTATATATTTGGCCAATATAAGAGGCCATAGAATAACGCGACAACCGGCAGTTCTCCGCCGGCGCCTACAGAAGCGCGCCCCGGACCGACGTGACGGGCCATCTATCACCAACATCGCCGGCGATCCTCCCTTATCCGTTTACCGAACCGCCGGGACCAGCCTCGAAGCAGCTCGCTCTCGGCGGCGGCAGCATCAACAGCAGTACTTGATCCAAGGCCCGCCGAGGTCAAGGCAAGGCTAGCCAGCCACAACTCCAAGGCGCCTGGCCCTGCACGTAGCTTTCACTCCCTGACTCGAGCTGCAGGATCGTCACCAGTGCGCGTGTCTCGACGCGCCGCCCAAGGACAAGGCCGCAGGAGCATCAATGCCACCCCCGAGCCTCTCACTCTAATCCCTCCCCCCCATCTTTTGCAGGGATCGCACGTGCCCGGTTGCTTGTTGGCAGCTGTTGGATCTATAGATCCGGCTGCTCTTTTGGCCCCCAACGAGCCCGAGCGGGTTTCGTCGTCGCCGTCGTGCTCTGCTCTGCGTACATACACGGCTTTTTTTACTTGTTCGGCAACAGTTGTGTTGCCCTGTGCAACGTGACGAATGCCTCCATCAGCGATCGATCTCGCGATATGTCGTCGTCGTCTTGACGCCGCTACGGGCTTCTCCGCGCATGAGCTACGCAGCCAGCCAACCACTGGGCCGCCGGATCCAAGTAGCCGCCGTTGCGGGTCGCCTCGCAACGAGAGGGGAGGCCGTTATTACCTAGGTAGTTGGCGCCGACTAGATCCACGAGAACGCGGGGGGAGTTTGTCAAGCGCCACATGGCGAATGAATTAAGTAGTAGTCTAGTCGATACGAGAACGCATGACCGAGGCTTCTTTTCTAGGAGGCGGCGGGGCGAAGACTCGCGCAAGTCCTGGGCACAATGTCGCCCGGACCGGATCTCGGTGTAGCCTCGGTGGCCAGATCTACTGGCGGGATCTGATAGGTGAGGCGATATCCTCACCGAGGCAGAGCTGCAACCAGCAGCCGACTGAGTGCTTCGATCCAGCCGTGGAGGAGATGTGCACTATGTGATTACCAAGGGCACACGAGAAAATTGACATGTTTCCGAGACGCACTATTCGTGTGCCATTGTCTTGTATTAGCTTCATTCCCATATGATCCAACTGAAGCTTTTCTCCCAACCACACGCCTCCGCCGTGCAACCAACCCCCACTGCCAAGGCAATGAATGTGTGTGTATAATGCCCACCTCCCATGATAAAAAACAAAAAAACAAAAACTGGCCGCGACCAATGTGACCCATTTCGCTCCAGACACCAATGCTAGAAATAATAATGTAGGCGCAGGCAGACGAAAGGTCTGCCAAAAGCAGTGAGCATATCCACCACCACCGACAACAACCAACCACCCACCACGATCTGCAAAAGATTTTCGAGACGCGACGCAAATTCACCACCGTACTCTTACATATACACATGCAGCAGCAGAAGCAGCAGTATGATCTAGAAAGACACAACAACGGCCTCCTTAAAAGACCAGTGACACGGGTGATCTATATCCCCTCCCCGGATCACAAAATCAGAAAATCGGCGCGGCGGCGATCCTCCCCGCCTCGGAAGGGTGCACCGGCAGCGGGACCTCGGTCGTGGGCGCGATGGACCGCGGCTGCGCCTCGATGACATACGCGACGCCGTCCTCGGACGCGTACGACGGGGGCCGGCGCTGCTGGGCGCGGGACGACGAGCCCGCCTCGTCGCCAGAGGAGGCGTCGTCGGAAGAGTCCTCGCTGCTGCCGCTGCCGCCCGCGCGGGACATGTCGTGCTGCTGCTGCTCCCCCGCCTCCTCCTCGGGGACGGCGGGCACCTCGGTGTTTCGCTCCCAGTAGATGCGGTTGGGGTCGACGCGCTGATTTAAACAAACATAGGCTTGGTTAACAAAGAACATAAACGTCCAGGGGTGGTTCAGACTCTTGCAGAAACTACTCACCACGCTCTCCCTCCACAGCCCGTACGCGGGCGGGCTCATCTTGGTCGTCTCGCTCTCGATGCCCGCGGCCTCCTCGTCGCGCGCCAGGACCACCCGGATCGGCTGCCGCGGGATCGCGTAGCCCCCGGGGCCGTACATGCCCCGCAGCGCGTTGCGCCGGGCCTCGTCCGACGAGCGCTTCGGGCGCAGGACGAGCAGGCACAGGCGGATGAGGCCCTGGCAGAAGAAGATGGTGGCGAAGAGGATGATGAGGATGAGGAGGACCGTGAACTCGCTGTTGTTGATGTTCTTGGTGAGGGAGAGGGCCAGGTCTGGGGCGGATGGCACTGGGTTAGCTTGGGGATGTGCTGGTGTTGTGGGTGAGGTGGGGGTGGTGAGTTCAATGTTGGGTGATGTACTCACAGACTGCGAGCAAGGACACCAGGAATGTCCCTGAGATAAAGCACTGCAGTATCTGCGACCGGACCTTGCGGCTCTTGATCCACGGGAAGCAGAAGAGGAAGTGTTTCGGGTGGGGCCTGTCGCTGTCACCATCCCCGTCGCCGTCCTCGACATCCCGGATCCTCCTCCTCCTCCTCCTCTGACGGTCCCCGCTGCCGCCGTCGGAACTCCCACCCTGGGAGCTGCTGCCGGGGACCTCGAGGCGGTCCCGGTGCCGGCGGTGCCGGTGTCTTCGGCTCCGGTCGCTCCCGCTGCGGTCCCTGTGGTGGCGCCGCCTGCGCCGCCCCTCGTCCACCAGGTCAGCCAGGCTCGACTCCGCCGGGTCTGGGCCGTGGAACCCATCGCCGTCGCCGCCGCCGCCGCCGCCGCGTTGCCGACCGACCTCGCCGAACAGCCGGCCCGAACCGTCGCTTCCGGCCCGGCTGCCGGGGCCGGTTGGCCGCGCGACGGGCGCGGGCTCGGTCACCGTGACCGTGGGCACGGGTGGTGGCGCGGTCGGCCTGCACGGCTCGTCCAGGGACGGCCGCAGGGCGGGGTGTATCTCGTGCAGGGGCGGCCTCGACGTCGGGGGCCCGTTGGATCCCTGCGTCCATGTGCGCTGGAGCATCGGGAGGTGCAGCCTCGTGCTCGGCAGGTCCACGATGATGCTGTACCTCGAGGGCAAGGTCGAGTCCCTGGGTCCGGGCTGCCTCTCGAGGTCCTCGTCATCCTCCTCCTCGGGGTAGTGGCTGCTGCTCGGCCTCGGGGCTGGGTGGGTGTTGGATCGCGAGGCACGGGTCGTGGTGGAGCGGGCGCCTGGCCATTCTGTCCCGTTGGCACTTGTCGCCTGCGTGCTGCTGGAGAACCTGAACCTCGAGGGTATGCTCGGCCGTCTTATACCCATCCGCGAGAAGCCGCCCTGCTGGCCCCGCTCAGCCATCTCCGGCTCGGGTGAGTCAGATGGGTCGCCCCGTGGTGAGAGAGGCTGGTTCTCGATGTCGTCGAGTGAAGACCGGCCGCTGGCCGGGTCGTTCCGGCGCAGGATGACGCGGCTGAACATGTTGTCGGTTTGTTTCTCTCTGCTGTGATCAGTCTGGCTTGGTCAATACTGCGAGGTCGACTAGATCCAGGTCGTGGGGTTATTGTGGCTTGGTTCCAGTCATGACTTTGTCCTCCAATCGTCTGAGGGTGCAGGGATCTTTGAGTTCACGGTGATGTCGCACTCGCTTCTGCGATTCCGTGTTGATCGTGAACCCGAAAGACAAAGACCCGAATCTCGGACGACGCCTCGAGCTGACAGTTGCGACCGTTACACCTTTCGGTTTCACTGATCCCAACTGAGTGAAAACTTGCTCGACGGGCCAGCCACACGGGCTCAATAATCTCAGCTCGGGAGGTTATTCAAAGACCAATGTCTCAGAGGAAAAGCGTTGTCGGTTGGTCGTGGTGGGCTCGGCGCCACTTGCCAGTCCCAAAGGGGCCCGTCCGTTCGGGTCGGAATATGTATGTATATCGATTGGGTATCGAATGGGTGAAGAGGGCCAGCCGTTTTCTTTGGTGGGGATCCAGTAGTGAGTTTCTCAGATATGGAGACCAGATCTGTATATCCGAGTAAAATGAAGGGTTGTTGTGATCGGCTATGACGATCGTTGCTGAATCGACGGTGTTTCTCGACGACGTTTGTACAAGTCCCCCACGAGTCTGGCAGAAAACAAGAAACAAAAAGGATGCAAGAATTGAAGGTCGATCCGAGGCTCACAGAGCCAACCGCAAGTAAAATTACTGTCGTGGTAGGATTTAGGGGAATTGGGGGAAAATAAAGACCTGGGTAGGAGGGAGGTCGGTCGAGGGCAAAGAAGGTAGCCTGGCGAGCGGCAGACCAACAGGAATTATCCGTATAGACAAGATGTCCCGGGGAAAGGATCGACAAGGAATTGCAATGCAATGCCCTTCAGTGCAGCGTGTAGACGCCGATATGCAGTCCACGCAGGTCGGTGGTAGCTGGCATGGCTGGATGGGCCAGTCAGTGGGAAAATTGTGGACGACGTTGTCGTGTGGATGTCGAGGAAGACGGTGGTGAGGGAGAAATGGTTCGTGGACAGGAGCCCGTCTGGCGCCGCACCAATCCAAGCCAGGAGCATGCCATGCATACGGAGTAGGGCCTGCAGGTGTGCGGGTGCCCGTCTGTCTTGTCTCTCGGCCTGTTGCTTGTCAGGCTTGCCCAGCTTGCCCAGGTGCCCAGGTGCCCAGCCCATGCATGCCTGGTGTGGATCAGAATGGATGGGTCCCGGCAAGATGCGTTCACCACCTGCTGCAGGTCCCCAGGAATTCATCTCCCAAGATTGGATTCGACCGGGACACTGCCAAGGTCCAGGGGTCGAGCAAGGCTGGCAGGCTGGCAGCCTGGGCAGCCAAGCAGCCTGGCAGGATCAACAAGAGCCCCAGACAGACACACAGACACAAGAGAGATAGTACATATTCCGTACCTAGACTAGACACAGCAACAGTAGATCGAACCTGCGAAGCCGAAGCCGAGGTAGGGTGTCAGTGAGTGCAGGGGCCGCCTCTCTTTCACGTCCTGCTTCAAACCACCCTCCCAAGCCCCCCTCGCCCTCACAAAACCCGCCAAAATGCCTCCCTCCATCTATCTGGACCCTGGTGCGGCCGCGGAGGCTCCCCCAATTCCGCTAAGCGAACACGGACTGACTGGCAGGCACATCATCAAACAAGTATCATCCTCGTGACCTGGACCATGCCGCGCCGCAACGTCGCTTTTGTTTATAATTAACAATCTCTCCAGCTCACCAAAGTCCCGGGACTAGGGCCTGGCCCCTCGACCAGGCCGGCTGCACGGGATATATGATATCGCATTGGTCCGCTTCAGATGCCGTGGCGTTCTCAGGTCCATCCCATCTATGGTGTGTCTGCGTGTGCAAGCTTATTTCACCTCGAATCCGCCGGCCCGTGGGCTCGCTGTCTCTCAGTCTCTGTCTCTCTACGCAATCTTCCTCCCGCCGCCCATCGTCTTTGCATGCAACATGGCTAACAGGCGGTAATTTCCTCTGCCACTGATCTATATGTCCCTTGCATGCATGTACTGCAACCCCATACGCGCCGTTTGGCACCCCCCTGAGGCTACTCCACAGTGTACCAAGTTGGTAGTACGACCGACCCCAGCCAGGTCTAGAGGACCGGCAAAAAAAAAAACGATGAACTGATGAGAGCCGTCAACGGCGCTCGACGCTCCCCCAAGTCCCGTAGGGGTTCGACGAGGGCAAAGGTCGAGATTGGCTAGGGCCCCACACCATCCGTTACAGCTTTCCCAGCTTTGGGTGGAAAATAAGCTGCATCTGTTTTACATGAATCAGGGGGGCCCCCATTTGCGCGGATGCAGGGGGGGATCCGAAATCTTGGGATGCTGTTTCACCTTGGCCCTCCGTGGCGGCCTCTGGCCAATCGTCCGGGCCTCGCTACCGCCAAGCTCTTGTCTTGGTGTGACGTTGTCGTCGTTGGTGGGCGGGCGGGCGGCCGGGCTGCGAAATATTACCTCGTGAAGCAACATTTTGAGTTGTGAGCTGAGAGACACTCCAGCCCAATCGTTGGGCCCGTTGTTTCTCACTTTATTGAGGTTATTTCAAAAGACAGGTGCCGCCGGCAGCCACAACGTCACCACCTCCATCTCGGCGTCTTGTGGACAAGTCAGTTGCATGAACCGACGCGGGTAGACGAGAGACAAGGCTGAAAGGCATGATCGCTCTCATTATTTTGGCTTTCACTGATGCAAAGTCCGACAACTGGACCGAGGCGAGCCCAGGGAACTATTTCCCCCTCGCGATTGATTGCCGCCTGCGATTGTGCCTATCAAGTTTCACAAGGCGTAAGGCGTAACGAGTTCCGATCGACTCCACGAATGCGTCATCAGATGAATGGTGAGATCGCGGGGGATTCTGATACAAAGGGCGATGCACGTGGTTGTACGCCAGCACGCATCAAACATTCTCCTCACCGTCCCAAGTCCAGAGCCCCTACGAGGCGGACGGCACAGCCACAGTCGCATGTGCCTGACTTCCTGACTGCTAGAACTGCCTGGCTGCCTGCCGAGGTCTCGCGAGACGGCCGGCCGGGTCTCATTGTCCACCGCGCCCTGCTTTTATGCCGCTCGCCCAGTCTCCTACGACGTCCCCGTCACGACCTTGAGCCGCATGCTGCGGCATCCGGCTCGGCGAGTGCGGACTGTCCCCGGGTCCCGAACTGGGCCAGGACTCGCGTGTCATCAGCACATGACAATTTCTCAATGTGCCAGACTCACTCCACGACCGACCCACACAAGGGCCCGCCGAAACGTCTCCATACATATTGAGACGAACACCCGCAATTTTTCTCGCGGTCTGTGAAAGACCGTGCCATCGGATCACTTGGTCTGTGCTGTAGAGTCGCCATATTGTCGTCCCTTCTCCTGGTAAAACACAAGTCGGTTCCCTCCTGATGTCACAATCTCACCTCAGTTCGCCGAGCAGCATTGTCCGGTCTGCTGAAGCCGACAGGATAATGGGGTCTTTGCCGGGGGCAAACTCCGCAACATTCACAGTGCCCTTGTGGCCCGGCAGCTTGTAGAGTAGCTTGCCGTTGTCGCTCGACCAAATGACAACAGTGCCGTCGCCGGCGCCAACGCCAATCTTCTTCCCATCTTTGTCCCAGCTGGCCTGCACCAGGTTCTTCTCGATGCCCACCTGCGCGCCATCAAAGGTGCGGATGTGCCTCTCGGTCGGTGCGAACGGCCGAATGTCCCAGGTCCGTGCCGTCGAGTCCATCGAGTATGACAACAAGCTCTGCGAGTCTGGCGAGACCCTGAGGGTGGTGATGGTGTCCTGGTGTCCCAGCATGGAGTAAACCACACCCTTCTTCCGTATGTCCCACACCTTGATGTCGTTGTCGATGCCGCCCGAATAGATCTCGTTGCCAGCCTCGGAGATGGCGACCGCTGTGATGGGGAACTGTGTCTCGATGTAGTCTGCCGCGTTCTTGGTCCTCGGGTCCCATATGCCTATCGTGCCGTCGTCGCTGCCGCTGATCAACGTCTCCTCGCCGCGCTTGCTGATGTCCAACGTGTTGATAACCTCCTCGTGGCCAACATAGCGCCGTATCCTCTGCCCGGAGGTCAGGTCCCAACTGGCAAGGTGCATGTCGGCCGAGGCAGAGAAGAGAATCTCGGAGTCGCGGGACCACTGGAGGTCTAGGACGGCGCCGCGGTGGCCGGTCAACAGGCCGTAGTTCTCGCAATCGCCGTAGGTCCGCCAGAGCACTGTGTGGCTGTCAGCAGCGGTCGCAAACGGGAGTGGCGTCAGAGGAAGCTTACTGATACTGCGGTCCATTGAACCGGAGGCGATCAGGTTTCCGCTGGGGTCAAATTTCGCGGTGAAGATCTCCCCCGAATGCCCAGACAGCTCCATCACCGGAGCTTGAAGGCCGCTCGTCCGTGGTGTCTGCTCACATGTCAGCTTTCCTCAGGCTCAAGCCAACTGGATTGTTTCACCCAAGAACGTACCGACTGTATCAGGGCACTGCTGCCAGAGGCATTGGCTCTTGCGAGAGCCCTCTCGCCCAGGTTCTGGCGCTTGACCACCAGTTGACCCGAGGGGTCGTCGGACGCGGGTCTCTTCTCGGCAGACATGGTGTCTTGTGAGGTGGGTCTTTGCGCGGAATGCCAGAGAACAGCGCTGAGGGCTTCGAGGGCGGTACCGGGTCGCTTAGTTGTAACTTGAGCTTGAGCTTGGTTCGACAGGCTTGTTTACATTGTGACGCTGCGATCCTGGAGTCGCAGCTTGCTAGCTGAGATTTTGGACGAGAAAGCGGCAAGGCTGGTCTGTGCTCGCGGCAGCTGCCACCTGCCTGCCGCGGCACAGCCTCCCTGTAACCACCATCAGCGACCCTCGCGGGAACATCGCATTGACAGACCAACACATTTCCAGGGCAAAACACAGCAGTGATCTTGGCTTCGTTGTTTCTCTGACCAAGTCCTTCCTTGAGCGTCTCTAGGTCCTGACTTGGATGGTTTCATGATTTGGCGTTGATCGCAGCCAAGCTCGATACGAGCTGCTGACCCCCTCGTTGCCATCTTCGCGCCATGTCTGCAAGCAAAGCTGCCCGGGTGGGCGAAGAGTACGTGCGGTGCCTCACTTGTCCATCATATCGTGGGCTTGATAAGCTAACATGTAATAGAATATGGAAGTAAGCATGTCGTGCGATCTCGATAATACACCGGATCCGAACATATCCCCCAATCGAAACTAACCCGGATACAAGGACACGAATTGACAAGGTCAACTCTGAGCTTGTCGTGCTCACCTACGGCACCATTGTCGCACAACTGTGCAAGGACTTCGACAGTGACTACGTGGAGGTCAACAAGCAGCTGGATAAGATGGGATACAACATCGGGGTGCGGCTGATCGAGGACTACCTGGCCAAGTCGAACACGATGAAGCGCTGCACAAACTTCCGGGAGACGGCCGAGATGATTTCCAAGGTATGTAAGCAGGTGCTGCCGGCTAGATGCCGGCCGAACGCTGTCGAAGGGTGGTGGTGGCGGTGAACAGCGGGCAAGGGCTGACACCAAATGTGCTTGCTACACTCAGGTCGGCTTCAAGATATTCCTGAACATAACACCCACCATCACGAACTGGACGAGCGACAGTAAGCAGTTCTCGCTGGTCTTCGAGGAGAACCCCCTCGCCGACTTTGTCGAGCTGCCCGACGACGGCCGCGCGCAGGACGAGCTGTGGTACTCGAACATCTTCTGCGGGGTGCTGAGGGGTGCGCTGGAGATGGTGCAGATGCAGGTCGAGGCCCACTTCATCAGCGATGTCCTGAGGGGGAACGACACCACCGAGATGCGGATAAGCCTGATTCGGTATATTGATGATGAGCTGCCGCCTGAGGACGACTGATTGGGCGGCCAGGCTGGTGACAACTGGGACACCAGGGGCGTCTTGCGCAAGTTCCCGACAAGTTACCTAAAAACCTGCGATACTATTTTTTTATGCGGCACGGGCAATTCCGTTCCGACGTCTGGGGCCGATGTGCTGCGAGAAGCCATCCGTACACAGATGCATTATCTACAAGATCACTCGTGGTTGGACTGAGAAGGCGGCCGTCACAAGGATGAGTGAGTGGCTGAGCCAGAGCTTCAATAGACAGGCGGGATTTGTTGCGGTCTACGAGATACGTGTCCGGATTTCAGAGCATTTGAAAACTCTCGCACGCACCGTCAAGGCGGTGAGAGACCGCTGTCTGTGACTATACATCTAACTGTCGACGACTTCTCTGACAAGCGCCACCGCCTGGCCACAGCATGAGACCCCTCCGCAGTGCCCGTGCAGCAGACGCTATCCCTGTCGCACACCACCCTGACCCCCTCGGAAGCAGGTAAACATGCGGAGGGTACAGGATAAAGTGCTGACCCGAGACCTGTCACCAGTAGCCGGGCCTGGGTGAAATGGCAGGCAAGACATCCAAGGGTCTGGCCGTGTTACACACAGGCATGTATGTGGGCCATAGTTGGCTTGCGTTGTTTGTATGCACAGTTCGCCCCTAGAGAAGAGTGGGTTCTCCAGCGGTTTGCCCAATGTCTCGGGTCACCTTTTGTCTTTGATTGATAGTTATCATCCAGATGTCGTTTCCCTTTTGCGGCTCTCTAGAACAATGCATCGCGCGTACCCGCGTTGCCGTTTGTTTTTATATATAGAATGTGTCTGCGACATACGGATATATCGGTTGACCCCACAGCGCAAGCTGCCGTGTGGTTGAGCGGGCCGCGCCGAGAGCAGAGACGAACAAAAAAGAATAAAGAGGGCCCAAAGAGGCAAGAGCGTAGAAAAAGGGGATGGAAGAGCCGCAAGAAGAATGTAGGTAATAAACGCGGTATCCACCAGAATCGTGGCTCAGCCAGGCCTGGCGTGCGCCGTCCTGTCCCGGCCCGTATTAAGCTTCGCCATGTGGGATCTCCTGTTGATGATCCCTGGCCTCGCCTGTTTTCTGTGCTGGGTCCCTGAGATGGGAAAAAAGGACCCGTTGGTGGTTGTCCCCCATCCCCCCCCCCCCCCGGCCCGTAGATAGATAGATCGGCACTTCCCTTGGGAGCAGTAGGGTATATGACAGGTGGTGGAGGATCAGCTTACCGTGGCATTGCCGTAAGGCTGAACTGGGATGTTGGTGTAATATCGGGGGCGGATCAATCGATGGTGGACGGCGCAGCAGCGCAGCATTGCAGGCGGCGATCAAAAAGGGCCCGTCAGATTCCGCGCCTCGGTGCCGCAGGCAGGCAGGACTAACTAACTGGCAGAATGTCGGCGGGTTGGGAGCCCTTCCTGCAACATGCATCTAGTGCATTCTTTTTTTGACTTTCGTGTTGCGGATTACACAATGTGCTACACTGGAACAAGCGCGGCGGGCGCGGCCTAATGCAAGGGACAAGCCGAGGTTTCCCTCTCAAGCCTGGCCATTTCAGGGATGGATGTGCAGGGCCAGGGCCCGGCGCAGAGAGAGTAGCGAGCTGCATCTGTCCCATCGTCGTCATGGAGGCGAGAAAAAAAAAGGCTGGACCTGGACCCTTGGCCCTGCTTCCTTGCTTCCCTGCTTCGGCCGGCGGCCCACGGGGGGTTTGGCCAAGGGGGAAGACGAGATGGAGGCAGGAGGATGGATGGGGCCGATGGGTTTAAATTCTGGGGCATACTGCGACCTCAAATCACTCGCTTCGGCTGAGGATGAGCCGCAACGTGGCGTATGCATGACAGGCAGGCCTTGAATGTAACCACAGCAGCAGCAATGGAAGTCTGGTAGAACAGACAGCCAGCCAGAGTGATGAAGTGACAGGTCAAGTTGCGACCGGCTGTCGACGCCTCGCAGTGCCGTCATTTCGACCAGGCCTGGTCGGCCGGCCGGCGTTCGCCCACATCACCTCAACATCTGCTGCTGCCATTGACGTGGTCTGCACCTGGAGGCCAGGATCACGCCACAAGTCTGGTGGTCAAGCGGTGGACGACACCACGGTGGGTGTGTTTGTGCATTGGACTGCGCTGCAGATCAGCTGCGCATTTATTTTCTCCGGCCTGGGCGTCAAACTCGCAGTCTTGGATGCGCAGATGAGTCTGGCAGCTTTGTGGCTGGCTCACCTTGCTTGCTTGCCCCTTTGAGTCTTTGACCAAGGCCGGTCAGCCAGGCCGGTGGAGAGCAGCAGCAGGGAGAAGAGCTCTGGTGGGGCTGGCCCCCTTGTGCCTCCCACTCCCGCCGGTGGTTTTGTGGATATTTGCATATCGAGATGGGCGGGCACCACGTCTCCAATTTAACCCGCAAATGGATGGCATCATTTGGCATGAAAGCTTAGAAGATCCCGGCTGGCAAGGGTCCTGGACCCTGCCAACAAATTGCCCTGTCCTGCCCTGTCCTGTCCTGCCACGCCCTGCCCAGATGACTCCCGACGTTGCAATCCATGACCCATGGCCAGCCAAAAGACGGGGAAGCGGCTGAAGACCACATGGCATCTACAAGCCACAGTGAAGGGGGGGTAAAGGAAAGAGGAAATATGATTTAGAATGGAAACTGGCAAGCAGGCACCTGGGCAGTAAGATAGGCAGTAGTACGGAGTAGGTGTGTATTACCTGCAGGTGCGGTCCTGGAAATCCCCAATGCAAAAGAGCTTGATGGATGGGATGTTACACGGTGGCCGGACGAAAGACGACGGTCTTGTTCGTAGTAACTGAATACCGGCCGAGGGTTACGCATAAGACACTCCGTTAAGGCGGTGCCAAGCCCTGGAGGACAGGGGTCGGGGTGGGGTATTATATGGGCCGTAGCCTACTGTCAACTCGTATCTCCGTCTATGCTGTGGACAGCAATATCCCGACGTGAAATGGCCAATTTGGGTTTTTATGGCCATAGAGACCAGTAAGGTGGTAGCTTAGGGCCCTCGAGAGCATTCCAGCGCATTTTCGGAATTCAAATCGGATTTTGACCCCGACATGTCCCAAGTCGCCCCGACTGAGCGCTGGCAGCAGAACACGTTCTACGGTTTTATACGCGGAAGGCTGTCAGGGCTGGGCAGCCCAATCCCTGGCCAGCCGCCCGCTTAGATGCCTAGTGGCTGCATTGATGCCTCAAAGGCGAGGCACCCGGTCCAGAAACGTGCCGTGATCAGATGTACGCAGGCTTGGCCGCCCCCAGTCTTGGACACGGCCAGGGAGCTTCACCCAATCTGCAACATCCATCTAGGTCTCCTTGTCCCTCTCGCTCTGAAGTTGTTCAGTTCCAGCGCGGCCTCATCGAACACACAAAAATCAGGCCGGGCCAGACCCAGATCCCCCTTCTCCTTTCCCTCACCTCACCTGTTCCCCCCTCCCATAACTCATACCTTTTTCCCTCTCCTCCTCGACGCTTCTCCTCCTCCTCAAACCTCGCCTCGCCCCCCCAAAGCTGCCTGCCCTGCACGCCCACGGCTGGCCTCGCATATCAATCTGCCCGTGCGTGTACAGTGCGTGTGTGTGCGTGTGTGTTGTGTGTGTGTGTATGTGTGTGTGTCTTTTCCTGTGCGTGTGTCAGACTGCACCAGCTACAACAGCACCCAGGCGTGTCAGGTTGGATGTTTCCTCATTTGCGCATCAGCTCCCCGTCTGTTGTCAACCCGTCTGCACAGAGCAGCTGAAAGAGAGTTGGAGGTGCAGCGAGCCAGGTGCCAGGGAGACGGGAAGACGTGACGGCTCCACGCCCACCGCTGCGCAACGCACGCCAGCCACAGCCAGCCTGCCTGCCAGCCTGCCTGCCAGCCATCCAAGCAGCACCAGCACCCGCAGCACCAAGCAGCAAGAGACAGACCGGCCCTCTGCTGCATATCGGGACGCTACTCTCGGCCTGACCACCTGCAACCCCCCAGAAAACGCCTAATCAGGCCAACGTACGGCTTTTCCCCCAGCTCTTGGTCCTCAGCTAGCTCGCCACTGCTACCAACCTAGGTGTTGCTCCAGTCCCACCCGCCCACAGGCTCGCAGGGCTCTGCTTGCCGGCCATCTGCACTCCTGGCAGCGCTTCCTTCCACAGTGGAACCCCCACAGAACCGCAGAACCGCAGAAACCACCTGCAATTCCAGCACTGGTCCTGCCCGGATCGCCCAGCACCACCACCCATCCGCCACCAGGGGACCTCTTGACCCCCGACACATCGACCCTCGGAGGCTCACAGGGCTGTCTGCAAATCTCCAGCCCTCTAAAACTCAGTTTCCGGCTGCCCACCCACACTGTGCCCCCCGCCGCCCGCCTGCAGCCACAGCACAGTGTCCCGGCAGGCCCAACCCCCCCTGTTTTGGCCGTGCTGCATCTCTGCGCGACCAGCACCAGCGAACAGAGGTTGGCCCTCTCTGCCCTCTCTCCCATCATTACTCAACTCAAACCCAACTCGACCTCTCCCGTTCCAGATCAATCTCCTCCTGACGGACCGGACCTCTCTCTGAACTCTCCCTCTCTCTTTCTCTCGCCTCGCCTCGCCTCGCCCTCGCCCCCCGTTATCTGGTTGATGCCAAATCAATCCATCGACTCATTTGGCCACTCCAAACCAGACCCACGACCACATTCCGTCCCGTCCTGGACCACAACCACGACGCCGACCGCACACTCCCGCAGCTGCCTTAGGTCGCATCTCCACCCTGCAGTGATCCATCTGTCACTCTGTCCCTCAACCTTCCACTTCCATCACGCGTTTCAGACCAGCATCCTCTCTGCGCCCTGCGTGTTGCGTGCATCCCTACCCTGTCCTCTTTCTCTTCTAGCCTCGACAATCCATCCCTCTTTTTTTTTTCTTATCATCCCGCCCACACATGCACCTTTCCGTCCAGGACAGTAGCAGCATCAGCAGCAGCAGCCTCTTCAAGAGCTGGCTCGGAAATTAGCACCAACTACCGAGCACCTCTATCCGCTGGACCAGGGCCACGAGTCCCGCGACAAAGTCCGCCCCCGTCCACAATAACCTCGTCTCGCTGAGACTCAATTGTCAAAGCGTTTCCGCCCGCCCATCCGACTTTCTCCGCCTCTCCTGACTCCGACCCAGCCCTTCGCTGCGGCAGACTCGTTCTGCGATCGCAGACGCGCCGCCCCGTAAGGATGAACAACGTCAATATGGCCAACATGCCCATGGGTGGCGGGCCCGTCGGTCCTGCCATGCCCATGATGAATAACGGCGCCGTCGCCGGCCCATCTGCGCCGCGACCGCAGCAGCAGCAGCAGCAGCAGCAACATCAGCAGCAGCAGCAACAACAACAACATCAGCAGGAGAACAACAGGCATCTGCTCAACACATACATCTACGAATATTTCCTGCGCAATGAGATGTACGACTGCGCGCGCACCCTACTGAGCGAGGACCCGCAGATTAAGACCACGGACGGTCCAAACTCTCGGCGCGACGAGAACGGGAACCTACTCGGCAACGGCGTTGGCGACTCCATGGACGTCGATAGCAAAGACGGTGTCGATTCGAAGAGACCCGACGATCTGCCGCAGCCTATGATTGCTAACCTCTCAATCGACCAACCGTTCCTCTTCGAGTGGTTCTGTCTCTTCTGGGACATGTTCAACGCCCAGAAGGGCAAGAGCGGGAATGGCCAAGTCAACTCATACATGAACCACACTCAGGTATGTGTAGCTAGCTCGCATCTTGGTCCCTCCCGCGTTCGCAGTTGCTAACATTCCCCCTAGAACCAGACTCGACTGCGTCACAGCCAGCAGCAGGAACTCATGCGCCAGATGAGGCCAGACCTGACGCCCGCCCAGCAGCAGCAGCAGATGATGCAGATGCAGATGCAGCGCAATGGCGCCATGGGCTTGGTGAAGCCGGGCAACAACCTGCCTCGCACAGCCATGGCTAACAGCCAGAACAAGTGAGTGCGGCCCAAGAACCCCGCTTCGAAATAGTCGCACGCTTGCTAACAACAGCGTTCCTCCCAGCCCCAACATGATGCAACATATGCTCCAGCAGCAACAGAAACAAGGCCAGATGCAGCGAGAACCCTCGGACATGGATGGAAACCGACCACGGCCCTCTTCCCCAGGCTCCGCCGACAACGCACCATCTCCCTCCAAGCGCATGCGTCTCTCCGAGGGCGGTCCTTTCAACCCTGCCCAGAACGGCATGATGCCCAACGGCCGACCAGCGGGACAGGGGATGCCAGGCCAGCAGCAGCAGCAGGTAGGAACCGGCCCTTCTTCGCAGCACGCTGAGCAACTGCTTCTTCAAAGTGGTATAAATCCATCAACGCTGAACCCTGAACAGTTCGCAACCTTTCAAAATCAGTCTCCAGCGGTGCAGCAGAAGACAATCCAGACTTACGCCGCGAACCTCCAGCAACAGCAAAGCCAGCAGATGGGCAAGCCAATGCCCAATGCGAACGGCCCTCCTGGACAGGGTTCGCCCATGGTTGGCCAGGCTCCCGACGGGGCTACCATAGGCTCCTTCTACAATGCCGACGGGGGCATGGCTTCTGCACCTCCAGGTGCGATGAGGGGCCCCGGCGGTCCCAACGCCACCCAACAGGGCGGCAGCAACCACGCTCTCCAGGACTACCAGATGCAGTTGATGCTTCTCGAGCAGCAGAACAAGAAGAGGCTGATGATGGCGAGACAGGAGCAGGATGGTGGCAACAATATGCCCATGGCCAGGGACGGCGGGCCTGGCGGCCCCGGGGGTCCCGGAGGTCCTGGTGCGCCTCCCGGCGCCGCTGCCCCATTCCAAGGCGCGTCGCCACAGGGAGCCCGACCTGGGGCGTCTCCAAACCCCACCGACATGAAGCGTGGTCCCCAACAGATGAACCCAGCCGGCATGGGCTCACCACTCCCCGAAGGTGCGCAGTCTCGCGGCTCGCCCAACACCATGAACTTCATGGGCAACCAGATGGACCCGTCTCAGGCACCCCACTTCATGGGTGGCGGTGGCGGCGGCAACATGGCCGGCGGGCCGCAGATGAACGGCATGCGACCACCAAGCTCGCACCCAGGACAGCCACCGTTCAACGGCCCGATGAACCCCCAGCAACAGCAGCAGATGATTGCCCGTCAGCAAGGCCAGATGGCTGGTCAGCCGGGCCAGCAGATGCAGTGGCAGCAGCAGCAGCAGCAGCAGCAGCAGCAGGGCCAGCAGGGAGGGCCAGGAGCTCCAAATGGTGCTCAGATGGTCCCACAGGGCCAGACGCCCCAGCAGGTGCAGGGAACTCCGCAACAGCGTCATGCTGCGATGCCCCCACCGGCCCAGCCCGCCGCTGCTGCAGCCGCCGCAAACGCGCGGAACACGTCGTCGCCACAGGTCAGCAACGCCGCGCCACCGACACCCTCCCAGTCGGCCAAGGCCGCGCCTAAGAAGAAGGAGACGAAGAGTGCGAAAGAAAAGGTGAGAAGTCATTTTGCCCCCTTTTGCGTGCATATCAGTGTGTAGTAACGATTTCTAAACAAAGCGCACTGCGGCTCAGAAGAAGTCAAACACAAATCTCAATGCCGCTGGAGCAACCCCTGTTGCAGAGCCCGCCGCCTCGGAACCGGAAGCCCCTACGCCAGCGACGCCCATCACGCCGGTCAACCCGCAGCAGCAGAACGTCAACAGGCCAGGAGGCCCGAACGCAGGACCACCTCAGCCCATGCCAAATGGCCAAGGTCCAGCGCCCGTGCCTCAGCAAGCCGCGCCCATGGTGCCTCCCGCCGATCCCAACCAGAACCAAGGGTTCAACATGGACATGCAGGTGAGTGTCCCCCTCCGGTGGCTTGCTCGTCCCTACTGTGCCTTCATGCTTGCTGACCTCGGACGTGCTCTAGGAGTTCGGCCTCGATTTTGCCAACCCGCTTGCAACAAATGATGTGCTGAATGACTTTGACTTTGACTCCTTCCTCCACGACAACGAAGGTGACGCAGGCGGTTTCGACTTCACTGGGGCTACAAACTTCATGGATCCAGAAATCGAGACCTAGGGGCTCGTCCCAGATCCTGGTAAACAGAATTTTGACCCGTCCGATAGAGGAACCGGGCCGGGATCCTGATCCCACATCGTCATCCGGGGCAGGCGTTTACAACTTTTTGTCGATACCCAAAACAACCATGTATTCTTACGATCTTTTTGGAGCCAACCAGGCCCGTGGACACCCTTTGGCGACATCCGAGGTTGGGTTTCTCCCCGATCAACCACACCAGATGTCAGAAGTGCTCAGCCCTGGGGCAACAACCACGAAATGCTCGACCCGTCAACATCTCGCGCCGTCTGATCAATGGTCGCGCTATCATCCACCTTGCTACAAATTTCCTTTGGGTTGGGCTCGTTTTGGTTTTGTTTTAACCGGTGCACATGGGTTCTCATGGGGTTTTTTAGTATAATATGTGCCTGTGACGGGAAAATTCCACGGCACTCCTGTCTCACTTTTTGTGGGCTTGGTTCATACATGGGGTTTTCGAGATAGTCTAATGTTTTTGTCGTCGCGCCTCTGTTTATTTTCATCTGCGCTGCCATCCATCTCACTCACGCCAGGCATCCATACTCGGCTATTCTCTTTTCTTTTCTCCAACAGGAACGCAAACGCAACACCTAACCTGACCCGACACCTGTCTTCCAATTTTCCTTACACTTGTTTAACGAGCGCAGGGCATACCTGGGCTCTGCATCCGACGAAACGAACCACTGTTGAAAAAAAGGCGAGCGAGAAGCGGGGGAGGGGAGCTGAGCTGAGCATAAGTGATGTGATCGAGAGGGCGAGGGAGAAACTTTTGACCATCATCTAGCCCGCTGGGATGAAGAGAGGCGGGTCTGATGCACGCTGGAGAACCTTGGGAAGGTGTTCGGTCCGGGTGGACGGGCAGGTCCGGCAGTGTGGAAGGGGGCGTGCGTGCGTGTGAATCGATGGAATGGCGAATCCGCGTTCGAGGAGTCGGTGTACTTTTCTACTTGTATTGGCGGTTGATAGTAGTCAAGAAAGAAGTGATGTCCAAGTCCACTGCTTTGTTCCTTGTCCCGCCGTGTGTGGCAACTTCCGCGTGTGATGTACGGAAAGCCCTGTCTGTGGTGTGGTGATTGATGACTTGACCGCGCTGAGCAGACCGAGTCGCCGGTGTTGTTTGTGGCCAAGCACACGCGGAGATCGCCCCGGTCTCACCAGCGTATAGGACTTCCGTCCCTTTTGCTGCCTTTTTTGGCAGTCCTTATCAAGCCAAGCCTAAGCGGAACCAGAGGGGAAATCCGGGAAAGGAACTTGAAGGACCTGCCTGGCTTGAGACGGGTGAATGCTTGTGGAAATGCTCGAGTTGGTGTGGTAGACCCTTGAATTCAACACTACTGGTGAATAGCAAAAGTTAAGTCTATAAATTATTATCCTCCTCTAGCAGCCTTCCTAGAGCTTGTAAGCGGCCTCCTAGTATAGGCAGGAGGAGTTGAGTCCCCGCCTAAGTTTTGAGGTACGCTTATTAGAATTGTCCTTCTCGTTAGAATTTCTAGGAGGGGGGTGAACCCCATAGAAGAAGAGCCTTGGAACCTTTGGCGTGATATCTGCCGACGAACGAGTACCCACCCATGTGCAAGGTATCTATCTGGACGTACATCTGTGTAACTAGCCGTACCATTTCCCCCTACCGGACACACCATGCTCGCTGCTTGGCAGGGCTGAAACAGAACAGAGGTGGTGATGGAATCCATACGATCAGCTCCCCACTGTTCATGAACAGTAGTAAGCATCATGTGCATCCAGATAAATCGGCTGATTTCGTTTCTATTCCGCATATGTCTGAAGACATACATGGCGCCTTCATGCAGTGGTCAAGTATTATATATTTAGATACTAAGCGCTTTAACTACAATATAATTTCTCACCTACGTAAACAGGTGCAAAGACTGTGGGCGGCTGGGGCGTGCGCAGATTCCTCTCAACAAGCTCGCAAGGCCGGCAAGCAAACAGACAGAGCCTCCATTATATATTCCTACCGGATGGTTGAATGAGCAAGCTATTTTCCCAACATTCGAGAAACTGTCACAGCTCTCCCCAGTGGTTAAGCCGGAACCCAATCCTAACTAGTTTCGACCTAATCACCCTAGCTGACATGCTTCAAATGTTGTCAATTGGAGCTTACGAGATACCACACGAAATATCGAAATGATCAGACTGTCACAATTTCCATCGTATCCGTCTTCTATATATAGTACAGTAGTACCGAGTGTTCAGCCTCCCAAGTCACCGTCGGCCCTGGTACAGGCCCCAGAGAGGAAAGGCTTTGAAGCACGAGTGACGATGGAGTGCTTTTCAGAAACTTTCCAGTTTACTATGTGATTGTTCATCTCAATCCGAAGACAGGTGGTGATTCGGAGGTCGTGAAAATCTACGCTAGAGTTCAAGATGATCGAAGATCCAAGGCTACGGGGCTTAAGCAATGCCGAACTAGAGAGTGAGTAGGCCGACCGCGTAACGCTGAGAATTTCGGGGTGTCCACAAAGCGAGGGCTATTGGTGGTGCTACAGCTGCGCTGGACTCGAGTGTTTTTCTGGTCGTTGACGACGGTGTTGTGGGTTCGTTTTCTGACGATTATCCATGCCCAGCTGTCTCCGAGGGCAGGCGAGCCGTATCTATTTATGGTAGATGTGGCCGAACTACCTTCAGCCGAGGTCGCGGAAGGGTACTCGGGCTGTTATTGAGTGACTGTCGATGCGGTGCTCTCAGAGCTGTATTATCCCAGAATGGTGTGGGTATGTCCGCTTAAAGACTACGGGACATGCTTAGGAACGAGCAGGAAATATAAACTGGCGACAAAGGATGAAATCGTTTCAAATTTTACTAGGCACAGAACTGCTGTCGTTGTAAGGTGACATCTGGAGTGTTGGAACCGCAACCAGGGGCAAAAAGGACCAAGTCGCTATATATAGATTTCAAGAGCTACCACACCCTAGAAACACTGCTTCACTCGGCTACAAGAGTGTAAGTTGGGCCTAAGAAGGCTAGGTATAACTAGGTAAGCCCCAGATGATTCAAACAGTAAAATATAGGGCTACAGGTGGCTATCCAACTTAATATTGGAAGTCGGATATTCGCACAACCCCCTTTGGATCCTTGTACAACCAATCTGACTAATCATGCCGCCTTATGTGTATGAATTTATTTTAACTAGGGTCCACTATATGATTTATTAAGACTAATGTATAGACTAAAATTTCCCACTATGTTGACCTATATCCTCTTTACCTGGAATAGTTAGGGACTAGCACTATTGCTATAATGTCAATAAAATGTTATTTAATTAGATAGAGATAGTTTTTAGTACTGGATTGATTGATTCTGTTAATGATTTAATTGTAATCGGGATATGTGGGTGGTGGGTGTGTAGTTAATGTATGTGAAAAGAGGTGGTTACTAGGTGTGTCGTGGAGAGAGTAAAAAACACTGATTTGGGCACCGGGTGAAATAAAGTCCTCTGATTGGCTGCAGCCTTGATTAGTTAGATTGGTTGTGTGAATATCCAAAGGGGGTTGTACAAATATCCGGCTTCTAATATTGGACTGTTAATTGGCTGCATCGGTGTTTTAGGACGGCTTGCGCAAGAAAGACCAAATAATCGAAACCACCGTCAGATCTGTGCCAACAAGATTGAGATATTGGCAAGCCACCGCGACGAGAATTATGGGATAGGCCCCGTTGGTGAGCGGCTACAACCTGTGGGCAGCGAAGCGTCAACGTAGATGCAATGTTGTGTCTCAGGGCCGCTTCGTTACTCTTGACCGAGTCCAAATAGATTGCATATTCATCCAAAAACGAGATACCAGCCAAATTTGTCTCAGGCGCTAGACGCTAGGAGCTCATTTGCAGAGGTTCGGCCCACCATCGACCCGACCTACAGAAAACTCGATCGCATCGTCCAATCGCTTCTGGAAAGGCAGCGCTTTAATGAGAAATTGGCAGAAAACTCTTCTTCAATTTTGTTCCTCAGACACCCCATAATATCCCGGACAGATTCGGACTGGTTCCTCGGGAATCAGTCGTGATAGCCTGTGCGTCTGCCCTGTGTCTTGGCGGACGACTCTCCCACGCATACTTCTTTTCAATCCCATAAGACGTATCCAGTAATCCCTAGACGACTCATTCACCTGCCTCTCGAACGTTCCCGTGATAACCATCTCTGCTTTCACGCTCCCGCCCCAAGGTTTCACCATGTGAGCGACGTGGGGCGATGAGCTGCCCTCCTCCGAATCTGAAATCTTTCTCTGTCCCGTGAATCGTTCAACCAGCAACCAAGCCAGTATAGCCTTGTGTCCTTTGGCCGCATCAACAGCTGAACGGTTCCCGCTCCCTCCAATATAAGAAATGGAGGCTCCATGACGAATCAGGGCCTTGACAGAATCCAGACTACCCGAGGAGCACGCTACCATCAAAGCTGAGCCGCATGGGCATCCTTCGAAGTCTACTTCAGCACCCAGCCGAAGAATGTTCATCACTGCAAGTGTCTGATTCATTGAAGCTGACATGCAAAGCGGGCTCCACGAATCTGTGGGCTCGAAATTAGCCCATGCACGGAGCCTATCCAGTCCAAGTCGTCGCAGAAACAACTCGAAGTGCTCGTTGAGGAATGCTGGAGGCGCACGCATAAAGTTTCCCGGGTTTGCATAAGTTACCGCCTCCCCCGCCTCCAATACGCAACCAGAGTTGAGAATAAAGGAGCTGAATACCCTGTTCCATGACGCATACTGGATGGCCGACCACCCGAGGGAGTTTTTGGCGTTAAGGTCTAGACCATGATTCACAAGCCACACGAACAGGTCCAGTCGGCCAGTAGAAGCTGCGTGGTGGAGACAAGTCTGCGAATGGAAATCCGCGGCTCTTAAATCAGCGCCAGCATCGTGAAGGGAGCGAGCCAAATATCCATTTCCTCGCTTTGTTGCTATCATTAGAGCCGTTTCACCGACCTCATTTCGATGCTCAAGTGCTGTTCCACAGCGAAGCAATAACCTCGCCGCTGGAGATTCCATGGACGGTTCAAATGCAATAGCTCGTTGCAGCGGCGTCATCCGCTGCCCGTCAGTTGTATTGACGTCCGCGTCGTAATTCAGCAGCAATTTGACTGCTTCTGCATTGCCTCGACTGGCAGCCAGATGCAACGGTCTTTCACCCTGCAGCGTGGGTTGGTTCACCCATGAAGCACTCTGATAAGCAGGAACTCGGTTGCCACTGCGTGACGAGTCAGCCTTCGCTTATTATGCTGCCAGGAATTCGGCGAGACTCACAATTCGGTTCTGTGCCTTGCGAAATGGTCAAGAACGAGCTCAAGTCCAAGATTGTTGTTATTCTGAATTGCAAGGAAGATCAGATTCGATATGTCGAAAAAGACTGAGCCGTTCTCGCTCTGGCCTTGGTGAAGCAAAAGGGGTAGCACCGTGTTGAGTTGGGGCCGCATGATCATGGCCTGGAGAGGGGACATCCAAATCCCAGTCATTGTACGAACTAGCCCGGCAGCCTTTGCGCCATTGGCTAGAAGCCACTTGATGAGCTCTTGATGCAAATTCTCAATCGCTAACATCAAAGCAGAGCGGCCATATTGATGCGGTAAGTCGATATTGACTGGGCAGCCTTGGCTGCGTAAGAGCTCACATCCATTGACATCCCCTCGCAACAATGCTTGCTCATATGCGTAGGAAAGTTTGTGTTCGCGTTTCCTGACCTCAGCCTGGTAGGCTAGATATTGCTTTGTCTTGCTGAGACAATCAATAATTGATTGGTCCTGTAGCTGTATGGCGTATTCGATGGGGCTTAGTCCGCGTGTATCAGCACCCATATCACTTCCATTCTCAACAAGAAACCGGACAGCTTGGGTGCGACGCATGCGCACAGCTGCGTGGAGAGGTAAGCTTCCGTCAGCGGACTTCAAATTAATATCGCCACCTCGGGAATACAGGAGTTTGATAGCATCCATGTGCCCGTTGAGGGCTGCCACATAAATTGGGGTCATCAGCTCGAGGGACATAGCGTTGACGTCCGTAAGAAGACCGTTGTCCATGTAGAACCTCAACGCATCGCATTCACCAGTCCAGGCGGCCAAATGAAGAGCGTTGAGTTGCTTCACACCGAAATTAACATCTCCGAGGCCCGAGACCGGCAGATTAGATGAGAAGGTTCGCTGCCAGTCAATTTGCCAATTGTGACCGTCGCCTCTTTGCAGGCGACGAAGGAAGGAAAGATCGCCTCGCCAAGCAGCAGCCAAGGCAGCATCTATACCAGATATACTTGCGGCTGTCGGGTCGGCTCCACTGTCCAGCAGTGTCATCGCAGACTGTGATGACCCTTCAAGCAAGTGCAAGACGACAGCTGGCCACCCTTGAACATGAACGTTGGTGCAAAGATTGACATTGACGCCTCGTTTCAGAAGCTCTTCGAGTTGCCACACCTTCCCAGGCCCAGTCAAGTAGTGGATCAACCCCTTTCCCTGGCTTTGTTCGGGATTCACCTCGTCAAGGCGGGACGAGTCGGCGTGGTCGAGAAGAAGGGTGAATATGCCTGTCCTGCAGCCATCCAGGCAGGCTTTTTCCAGAGCGGATAGTGCTGAGTCTCGACGCTCGTGCACGCTGACTCCCTTTTGAAGCAGAAGCTCCAACAACTTGGCATCATGAGAGGAGACTGCTGCTTTCAATAATCTTTGCATAGCTTTAGACTCGCGAAAAAAGTTCCTAATGGTCGTGTGCTCCAATATTTTGCAGAGCGTCTCGCTTGAGACGGGCCATAACCCGTCGAGCGTTGCATGTGCATTCCTGATCAAAGGCAGTATCGCGGCCGAGTTGGTGACCGCCTCATAAGACTGAATGAATTCGAGTTGCGTCAGGCCGCCAAGCGTTTTCGCAATGAAGGTTTCCAACTTCCATTTTTTCATGTCTTGGTAGGTCTCCTTTTTGAGTCTCATATCTCGTATGATCCTCGAGATATTCTTCCACACCACTTGCTTTTCTTGCCGGCTGAGTCCCTTAGGTTCAGGTGCGGCCAATAATTGGAACACATCGGTGTTAAGAGCAAGAGTCCGAGAGCTGCCGAGAATGCAAGCCTCAAGATAGGCGTCCAGTGGAAGTTTGCTGTCAATTTGGAATTTCTCGCCATCAGAAAGCAGGCCAACCAGTTCAAGAACAAGCTCTTTGCTTGTCTTCGGCCCCACGTGATGCAGCAGCGGTGCCATATCGGCCTCTGAGCCAATTCCTGCACGACGAAGAACATTGAATGCGTCGCGTGCGTTCTGCGCCACACACAAGCCGAGAATGCCGGCTGCGTCTCCCAAGGACTCAGGGTCGCAATAGCATGTCTCCAGAAGGAGCAGAGTAGCCTTTTGATGTCCGCAAGAAATAGCGAATTCTATCGGCCTGTCTTTGTTCTCGTCTGGTGTTCTCAGAGCCTCCAGGATGTTATGTTGTGTCTCCGTTCGCAAGACTGCTCTGATGAAATTGAGAGATTGACAGCCGAGATGAAAGATGTTCTGCTTTGCAAAAGTTTGTGCTGTACAATCTGTTCCTCTTGAAATGAAAACGCTGAGAATGTCGAGAAGAGAATTACACCAGCTATCATCATCGTCCCAATCGTCCCATTGAAGTCGGGCAAACGAATGTATTGGCAGCAGTCCGTCACGATTCGGTTCATTGACTTCTATCCCAGAAGAGACTAGCAGTTTTATTATCTGGAGCGCGTCGAAAGGATCATCCCAATCCTTCAAGTTGTCAAAAGCGTATTCGAAGATGGTCTTGTTGCTGTCGTCAGTCAAACTCGCTATGTTGGCTCGAGAATCTTTCACGGCCTCAGCGAGTGTGTCCAGGTCGCCATTCCGGACCGCCTTGAAAATTGTCTTCGCAAGAGCATCCCGTGAGGTGGATATTCTTGTGTCAACAATGCCGGTAAAAGGTTGTCGGGTAAACTCGCATCCCATCTCAATAGCAAGCCACCATGCCGCCTGGCATAGACGGAAATGAAGAGTGGACTCGTCGGATCTGCGTACTATCGGCGTTAGAGAGCGAATCAGACCCTCAAGCCGGTATTCATCAGAGCCACCGCAGAAGGGATCCTCCAATGCAGACTTGCTGAAATCGGCGAATTCGCTCAGGTCAGCTTCTCTCAGTTTGTAGCCAGCCGCTAGAAGGATGCCGACAACACTCATGTTATAGATCATTCGTCCCACTTTCACTGCGACCGTGATCAATGTCTGGCCTGCAAAAGGACTCGAGCAGGCAATGACATGCTCTGCACCCGAATTTATGAGGCGGTTGATAGTGCTTTTCCGTCCAAAACCAGATATGTCCATTTGTCCGTCCCAATAATCGCACTGTTGATATTCGTCGGGGTAGTAGCCACGCTCCTTGAAAACAAGGCTTTGTACAGCACATTGTAGCGGACAACCAAAGCTACTCCTCTGATCTATGCTCAGCTTGGATACATCGATCAAATTGGCGCAGACTGCCTCAAGCGATAACGCTGCCGCCATGTGAAGGGTCGTGAAGTTTCTATCAGCCAGTTGAGGAAGAAGCCAGACCATAGTGTCTTGATCAGGACGTATTTCGGTGTCCATGAAGATGCTCCTATACGGTGACTCGTATCCACTTGAAACAGTGTAGGCGAGCTCAAGAGTCCACGTAGTAAAGTTTCCGGTTTTCTCTGGCTGGAAGAGGACTTTGGCGGATTGCAGCAGTCCATCATCCCCCCAGTGGTTCCTCGCCAGGATTGGCCAAAACAGCGCAGCGTACGTGTAAAATGGATGTTTAATGTCTCTTTCCTCAATATAGTCCAGCAATTCCTGTCGTTCAGTGGGAAGGGATGTAAAGTTCCGGCAGAGAAGGTAGTTCAAGCATTGCTTTGCCAACAGAAGCTGACAAATGCTTTCAGATACCTGAAAGGCCTCAAGCTCAGGTATTGTTTTCATCTCGCCCTTGAGAAATTCAAGAACAGAGAAGTGCGCGAACTCGTAGTAGCCGCCACCGTTGGACTTGCGGATCAAGGACCGGCAGACTTTCGAGATTATCTCCTCGCGTATGACGGAATTTGAGTTCAATTCCAGAGTGTGAACCTCGCTTAGATTCTCGGGAACCGAAAGTACTTCCCTAAGAACCCGTGTATCCATCCGAGGCTTGGGGAATGCGATGAAGTTGAGTACCATCTGCGCGAGACGTTTTCTTTCTTCTGGCACACGTTCCAATATTCGCTGGTAGGATCCATACAAGCTTGGAGGCAATTTTCCGAGACTCTCCCGACATTCCTTGTCACTGGCGCAGTCACCTAAAATATCCAATTGGCAGGCGACCCAGCGAAACCTGTGCGTGGTCAGCGGTGGATCACCGATACGGAATTACGCACACTCACATTCCCTTGGCACCGTCGACAAGGCGGTCAATAATCTCACCCTTGAGGCTCAAATTGTCAATGCGTAGGCTTTTGTTCGAGATTCGCTTCTCAATCTCCGAAGTGACATACTCCGTGATATCTGCGGTATGGGCTGCGATTTCCACTTGAGTGAAATTCTCGAGGCGACTTGCAATGTTGTGTTCGTCTCTACTGAGCAATGCGGTCGAGACTGGGAGGTTGTCACGACACTCCAGGATGTCAAGAACACCTCTCATGACATTGTCAGTGTTTTCGCCACACTCATCCAGGCCGTCAACAATGAGGTGAACATGTTTAAACAAGTCAATCATATTTATTAGGACAGTTTGCAAACCCGGAACATCGGGCCGCCTCTCCAAGGCGTTTGGAGGGTGTAGCTCCCGATAGTAGTCACCGAGGCAAGCATAGGCTTCTTCTTTCTGTATCGCAAGCTGCGATGCTAGAGCGGACAGTATGTTTTCCGTGGTCTGGGTTGTGGTATCTTTGTAGTCACAGAAGAAGAAGACGGTCGCAACATCTTCAGAACTTTTCTTCAGGGCTTCTCTGATAATGATGCCGGCAAGAACAGTTTTACCGGCCCCAGGAATTCCGCTGAGCCACAGGGCTGAGCCAGGACGTTGCAACCAGGTTTGGAGTTGAGGCGACTGAGCAAGCCAAAGACCGGTCCTCGGGTGACGAAGGGAGCAGCTCATTTCGTAGTTCTGCTGAGGGTTGTACCGGAGGAAGTATTTGATAACCTTCTCGCGTTCGGAATCTTGGTGGATTCGAGTGACTATCTCCCGGGTTTTTTTGGTATCCTCGAGCAATTTTTCTGTGTTCTTCTGTAACTCCTTGCCTATAGACAAAGCTTGGAGTAACCCTCCCATGGAGTCTGCTGTGAGAGCGAGGTTGATATTCTCCTTGTGACGGGAGATTTTGGCCAACACCTCTTTCATTTTGTTGGACTTGAACGGCCAGGCGAGCTTTTTTATGACTTTACAGTCCTGAAACCTTTTCAATTGCTTTGCGACTTCGTCAAGAGTGTTATTGCATTCTTGGATATAATGCATCTGAGGATCGTCGGTGCTCTGATGTGTGATTCCTCCTGCATCAAGGCCTTGCGCCAACTTGGACAGACTGTGCAAGGCACCACCGAGCAGGAGGACCTCCCGAGCAAAATCCTTGACCTCGTCGTCGGCGTCCTTGACGGAATTCAAGTACTTTCTCGTCCGAATGAACACCACGTCTGCCAGGCTGATGACTCCGGCGATGCTGGCAGCGATTGATAATGGATCCGCCATTGTTGGAATTTAGTTAGGCTTGGAGGTGAGATTGGTATGCAATCTTTCTAGTCAACTTAGCCCTCAGATCTGGTTGATTGGAAAGTGACCTTGAGCGGTGGAAATATACGAGCGCAGTGAAAACCGAGGTCCGACACAAGCCGGGAGTTTTGAGGTATTCGTAAATGTGCGGGTCAGGGGAAACGTTGAGGCTCAGCTTTGAAGTGTTGTCTCGGCTTCGACACATGCACGAACTGGGCCTGACGTGGCTATGCATGCCCCCGACGGGGCCAAGTATGCGCTGTACACAGGTGTTGCTGTGCATTCTGTTACCTTGAGCGGCTCTGAGCCTGGACTCGTAGCCCTTATTCGAGGTCGCTATCAGCCCGCAGGGTCAGTGTCGGCGCGCTACACGTGTAGATCGCAAGGATTCAAATTTCTTCAGAGGTCCACCCAGCCTTGAATACGCGCCCCGCAAGAGTCTTTTCTCACGAGATTCTCTACGCCACGGACAGTCAACTTAATGTGGAATTGCATCAACACATACACCAATCCGCTTCCCTTTTTCGTAACTACCCGCATCGAATGATAATGGATATACAATCGCATTTTCGGCCGAGCGTACTGGTCGTGTTGGTCGCCACGCTCAGTAATCTCGCGTCCATGTCAGTCCACCGTTACTCGTTACTGGCCCCCGCCGTCAATTCGCAGCCCACTATCGGTACCAGCTGGTGGCTAGATCCATCAACAGAGAGCTTTTCTTTACGATTCGACATGATACCCGACTTGCCCCATGCTATTAGACAGCACACCCTGCTAGAAAGCATTTGCGGGCACTTCTGTGCTTGCGGCAACATGTTCAAGTTCTGAAGGAGCTGCATACTATTAGTAGTAGGCGTGCAATCTTGACCACCGAGTCGGACAATATAAAGATAGTTCTGTCGCTCAACTTGAAATTTGAGGACTACGGGGTCAGCTATCGACTGAACGCATTCAGGCCGCTCCTGGAAGAGGGCTTCTTTGATAAGGACGGCGACTACTGGGCTTCTTTGCGAGCCCTGATCCAGCTTAGCTTCGCGCGTGACCAGGTCGCTGACTTGACGGCGTTGGAGGACTTGATCAGAGACCTATTCTTGTTTCTCCTGCATAATGGAGAGACCACCGTGGACTTGATGGACCTCTTCTTCCGCTACGCGATCGAATCTGCCACCCAGGAGTTCCTGTTCGGAAAGTCCGCGGGCACGCTGAAGCAGCTGGTAGCGTTGATGGAGGACCCCGACTGCGCCCAGCATTTGAGGTATTTCACTTCACCCAGAAGGCCATCCTGACATGCGGAATGCTGGGCTTATTGAATGTGTTCCTTTGTTTCTCATAGAGAAATCATACCTGAAACGCTGGGTATTCTGTCTCGGATCTCATTGTTCCCGTCTGACTGTCTTTGCTTCTTGTCAACGTCATTTGCAGACGTCTTCCTCCCACCCCGGATTCTTGCCTGTGGGCCCCAGGGGCGGAGCAGAGGGAGGCCAAGCATGGGAAGGATGTGTGGGTTCGTAATCCAAGCCACTTCAGCTCTTGTCTCAAATTCCGGTGCATACCCTCGGGTTCTACTCTTACTTCTACTTTCAGTAAGACCAGCACCCTCATGCCTCGAGGTTAAGGATGTACTGCTATAAGGTTGTTGGATGCCCATGTGATGCGATCTGGCAGAGAAGTGGTTGGCGTCCTCGCAAAAAGTTGGGCATTTCGACAATGATCGCCGAAGTCGGTGGGCGGCCAGGGCTGCCAGGCAGCCAGGCAGTGCAGACTCTTCATCGATAGACTGCTTACTGCAGTGCTCAAGTACACATACGTAATTAGACCTCAACCCCTGCAGGCCAATGTTGCTCACGCATCAAATGTGGGGCTGTTTTCAATACTAGTCGCCCTTGTACACACATGTGCAGCCCTGGAGTACTGTAGACCCGGCCGCATGGCCCCCGGCCGGGCGCGTTCTTGGTTCGGCTGTTTTGCTGCCTGACTGCGTGATACAGAAAATTCCCTGCTGACAGCATAAACGAGACGAAAAGGGTGAGGATGTGCGAAGGATTCGGCCAAGGCCCGCTCAGTCGCTTCTCGGCTCGCTATATGAGTTCCCTGCCAGCCAAATTCTGGCAGGGCGGGCCGGGAACGAGGGTCGCAAGCCACTTGACTCTCTTTTTTCTTTCAACAATCCCACGCTCATTCCCTTTCCTCGAGGAATTCAGAGGTTCAGTGTGGAGCTACTGCTCCTACTATGCTGCTCCATCAAAGTACAGCACACGCGGCGCGTATACCTTCACATGCCAAATACGTTGCGCCCAGAGGAGAATTTGTGCCTTTCTCTTAGTCTATCGACACTGCATCATTTAGACACTGGCTGTGCTGGGTATTTGCTCAGCAGAAAGCCGCAGGGGGTGTTTTCCAACAACTCAATAGTGTGAAGCTGCTGTTACGACCGAGCGAGACGTATGGCTCCCAGGATTCCTCGGTGAAGTTCCGCTAACAAAACTGGATTGAAGAAAGGTCCATCGTATCATCACGCAAGCATTGGAGGCGAACCTCCATCCCGTCCTGATCATGACTGCCGCGGGCTGGCCCCTGGGGTCCCTGAAGGCTCTCTCACATATGGTTCAGAGTACTCCAAGGCGATTCTTACGACTTTCTGTACTCGTGACAGTCACCTTGCTGTTCCTAGTCTTCCTCCTGAAACCACGAGCCTCCACTTCCCATCATCCGCCCTTTGAGCCTCCCGCTACCAATATCATTGTTCATGGAGATCCTGTCGACGGCATCCCGGAGCCATCGTACAGTTTGATACCTTTCCCTGATTCTCCAAGGCAGTCATCTACGAGCTCTCCCGATGCATTTGACAGTGTCCTCGAGTCCTTTGTGCCACGCCCGTGGCTCGCTGCCGTCATTTGCTCAGTGGGAGATTTCGCGCGCCGCAGGCTGATACGTTCGACTTGGATGTCCTTGTATCGCAATATTCCATTCGACGGCCGCTTCGTGGTGGCCAATCCAGGATCGCAATGGACCGAAGCCGTCGCAGAGGAGAATAGGACATATGGCGACATGATTGTGCTGGAGAACATTGCGGAAGACGATATAACGGCAAACACAGTCAAGACTTTGGAGTTCTACAAATGGCTGGTTAGCCGAAGTCCACGCCGATATGAGTTCGTGTCCAAGATGGACACGGATGTTTGGCTCAATGCCCATGGCTTCTGGAACCGGTTCCTCCTACCACAAATGGGCAGGAAGGCAGAGACTTTGGGGTATTCGAGAAAATCAAATCGCACAGTTATCGGCGAGCTTTACTGGTCAGAGACATACGACCTCGTTTTCCCCCACGGCGCAATGTACACCGCTAGCTGGGACATGGTGGAACTACTCGCATCATTGCAAGAGCAATTCAACGTCCTGACCGGAGAGGACATGGCAGTTGCAGTCCTGCTGCTTAAAAGCAAGACACTGGTCAATTTCATCAATTTCAGAGGGAGTGAGAAGTTCGACTTCGACGAGGGGGATACTCGGGGAGACGGGACGGCTTGGGCAAGACCTGAGACCCACCCCGATGCCACTTACCATGCCCTTGTAGCGGGCAGTAATCCCATTGCCGTCCACCAGCTCAAAAGTGAGGAAAGCTTCCTCAAGGTGGCCGAGTGCTTCGATGAACAAGGGGCGAAGTCGGGGCCTGGGCTGGAGGAATCTACTGGTATTTCGAGACAATTGTCGTGGTCAACAAGCTGGCATGACTTCTGGACTTCCATTGGCCTTTCTGGTCAGTATGACTCAAGATTTGACAGAATACCAGACTCACTTTGGTCTCAGGAGGACGGAAATTGGATATGTGATGGCATTTGGGACTTGGGCAAAACTAAAGAGGGCCATGTTGAAGGCTAACCTGATTTAAGCGTCGAGCAGGACCACCTTACTACTAGTATCTCAGTCGCGATATTTAAAATCAAACCATGACTAATTAACCTAATTTCTATAAAGAACCAGAGTCAATCTTCGGGTCCTTGGGAGCAACATTTGAACTCTGTCCTAATGCAGCAGCCAGATTTGTCGATATTCATCATAAGATAGTCGCGCTTTGCCCCTGGGTCCTCACTGGAATCTCTCAAACTCCACCAGTGGCCCATCCTCTCCCTCCAAGCGGACATCGACTGCTATATGCGACACAACACCGCGTGAGTCCACATGGAATTGGGCTCGGAGACAGAAGAATATCAGATCAGGTACTTCTTCGAAGACCGCATATAAAAGCCAAAAGTCACTCGTCTGGTGCTCCAGGTTGCCGGTCAGCTTCACTTGGGCCTGTGGACTTCTGGATAACCGGAGTTTGCAGTGTCCAGACTCTGAGCCTTGGTCAGGCGCCAGACTCGAAGGCACTGCGGCATCATCGTTGCAAACTAGGCTGACAAAGATATCGCCGTAAGCCACATGGCGAAAATGGCCGGTGTGGTTCGCTAGCGGAACTGATGCCGGTATGGGGGGCTTAGGTATGTCAGGGTAGATGCGGTCCGAGCAGGTGGCGATGTTGTGTGCTTCGAGTGCGTCCGCTTCTTCGAATCTGGGATGGATTAGTGTGATGCTTGATTCTGATACGGTTTTGTGATGTCTTAGTACTTAGACTCAAAGTCCTGTCTTCGACTCTCCTCGACGCCAAAAAGGTCGTAGAGTATGCGATATGTAACCAGCTCTCTTGCGTGTGAGTACCCATTACCCATAACGACTATCCCAAAGCTTTTGGACGGTACCATCATCATGAAGGTCACAAACGGGGTAACAGTGCCGGTGTGAAAGAAGACCTCATGTCCTTCGAACACACCGGACATCCAGCCCAACCCGTATGTGACTGGTCCCACAAACAGGTCCTGATGCATATGATGGAACGACCTCGGACTCTTCAGTTCCCGATGGCCTGCTTTGGAAAGCGGCCCGTCATCGTTCATCATCACACGAAGGTACTTTGTGTAGTCCATGACGTTTGATACCACGGCCCCACCGCCCTCATCTGCTCGAACTGAATAGCTGGTAGTCCCTTCAGGCTGCTTGAGGTACTTCTGGGAACTGTTAATCCACCAGTACCCATCAGCCAGCCTCAAGCCACTCGAGTTGAAACTCGGGTCCCAGTTCCCAAGGAACGTCTCGTTCATTCCCATGGGGCCCCAAAGGTACTGCCTAAAGAAAGCGCCCAGACGGCAGCCCGACAGCGTCGAGACAAGGTAGCCCGCTGTTCCCCACATTATGTTGGTATACTGGAATGTGGTCCGAGGTTCCTTTGATATGGGAAGATGGCGCAGGCTGCGGATCATACTGCGCGTGCCGCCGTCGCCGGTGGAGCCGACGGAGAAGTCATGCGCTGCGTATCCTGTGCGATGGCTTAGTGCGTCTTCAAGGGTGATATGCGCCGTGGCCCAGTCATCTGAGAGCACGAAGTCCTCTCGCAGTAGTTGCGACACAGGCGTCTTCCAGCTGATCGACTGGTAGTCCGACGCGTTGTCAACTAGCAGCGAGAGGGCAGCTGCTGTAAAGGACTTGGTGGTGCTGCCTGTCCAAAACAGTGTATGCGGTGTCACTGGAGTCGACGGGAGGGAGGCATAGCCGAAGCCCTGGTTGAAGTCAGCTTCAATTTGCTCTCCTCATTCTCCTGCGACTTCCTCAAGCCCGTAATTTTGTGCAGTAGTAGAGACTCACTTTGGCCCAAGTCGCATTGCCGTTGATAACAGCGACTGCCATGCCAGGCGCGTGCCACTTCTTCATCGTGCCCTCGATGTACTCCTCGAGGTCTGCTGTCGAGAACGGCAGCGCATTATCGGAAGTGTACCCATCGTCATGACTGAGTGGATGCTGCGATGATGTTTCTAAGGCAGCACAGATCAATGCAGAGCCGAAGACGGCACCGATTGCGCACCTCATGTCGTCTTATTTGCTAAGCTTCTAGATCAGAATAAATGTGGATATATCAAGACAGAGAAGTTGCAAAGTGGAGATGCCACGGCGGGCTGGGATGGGAATTGACGTGGTGCTTACTTCGTTCAACCTTGGAAGCCTTGCCACGGACGCTAGCGCTATGCAAGTTATAGCCAAGGAGGGAAGGTCTCCAGGGTTCTCACCGACGTCGCAAATGACGACACAAAGATAAGAAACGAGTTCCATACAGTCGGTATTGTTGGCTGGGTCAGTCACGTCCCGAAATTGCCAGAGGATGGAATCCACCCGTCAGAAACCATTCAGTATCAATGATAGCAGATATTTTGGGAACACACCTTCATTAGTAACGACTCCTTTGCTACACGCTGGCGAATTAATATGCAGTGTCACCCTTTTTTAGGTGGAGGGATGAGTTACGGCGGTGAATTCGTAGTCCATGATGCCTAAATACATACAAAACATTGCCATTTTCTCCCAGATCTGGCATTGTGTGCTTTCTTTTTTGGGAAAAAAAAAAAAAAAAAAAAAGGCTGGGCGTTGAGGAGCCACATACATTTTATATGAATGGGGATTAGAAACCACCTACAGCTCATCCTCCCTCAGGCCATCGACATGATCGTCCAGATCAGAAAACAGCTTCACACCCCACGCCTTGCTCGGGTTGCTGAAACGGGCTTTCTTGTCCTGCTTCGCAATCTCCTTCATCTCCTTGTCGCTAAACTTGATGTCAAGAGCGCCGAGGTTGTCTGTCAGGTGCTTCTCAGATGTGCTCTTGGGGATGACGGTCGTTCCTCGCTGGATGCCCCAGGCCAACACCGCCCGCGCGGGAGTCACGTTTTTCTTCTCGGCGATATCCGTCCAGAATGAGTCCTTGAGAAGCGGCTCAAGATCGCCGTGCCTCCTATCGTAGGTTGGATTCGTGTTGCCTAGAGGCGAGTACGCAATGACCTTGATGCCGACCTCCTTGTGGTAGTCGACAAAGTCCTGCTGCTGCAGGTAAGGGTGCGTTTCGAACTGGTGGGCGTAGGGGCAGATGTCGCAGACTTCAAGGATGGCTTCAACGTCCTTCTTTGCGAAGTTGGAGATGCCGATGTGCCGGGTGAGGTTCGCGCGGACGAGATTCTCCAGCGTCCGCCAGGTGTCCACAATGCTCGTCTCCTCGTCGAGCTTGTTCCCGTCCGTGTCGGGGACGAATGCAACCGGCCAATGGATGAGATAAAGATCTAAATAGTCAAGCCCCAGGTGTGCAAGGGTCTCATGGATTTGCTTCCATGCCTCGGGTGTGCGGTGGGCGCTGTTCCACAGCTTGCTGGTTACCCAGATGTCATCACGGGGGAGATCTGCTGCGGCAAGCCCTTTGCCGGTCTTGTCCTCATTCCCTGGAATGGGGCGTTTAGCTCACTCAGATACTCATGGGTCAGTGGGAAGGATACGAGGCATACTGTAAATCCAGGCGGCATCGATATGATCGTAACCGTTCTTCAGACCGAATTCGACGGCATGGGGGACAAGGTCCCTGTCGGAAAGCCATGTACCCAATCCGAGCGCCGGGATCTCGTCTAGGGCTGCCGCAACAGCTGCAAGCATTGCGGCGCCGAGAAAAGGCCTAGATAACATGTTGTATTACGAGTAGGAGAAAAAAAGTCTCTCGTGAAGGATAGATACAGATAATAGATGAATCACTGGTATGTGATCGGAGGAAATGCTGAAAGACAAGACGTCCTTAGAGTCGATGGCATCATCGCGGTATCATGGTCCCAGCCCCGCAGTCCAGGGGGTCGTTCAACCAGATCGGCGATACGCAGCCGGTGTAGCCCCACAGGTGAGACGCCAGGGACTGGTTGCCAACGGGGACGGGACCCCGGTGTAAAATATTGAATAGAACTACTCACAAATTTAAATTTCATCGATCTTGCATACATTATCAGTGCAGTACCCCGTCCTCCTCTTGGGACGCCTAATTGAGCAGTAGAAGACTATCAGTAGCCACAAACTCAGGAGCACATCAACCCCATACACTACATCGTGCTAGTGATTGGTCACGGGGTCCTTGATGCATACTGGTCCGATAGAAGAAGTAAATGGAACCTATCTGTATGAATTGTAAAATCCTATTAGAGCCTTGCCTGTTCTCGGTCTGCGCCTTGTGCTAGTTTCGGGCGACTCACCGCAGTGTTTTGCTTCCCAGATTTACGCATCGGCGCCACTCCTAGAACCTTTTGGTTGCAAATTTTTGTGCGTCTCCTTTCCAGCCCGTTCTCATGTTTAGTAGGGAGCGAGGAGCGCACACCAATCTTCGAGGACACTATCATGCTTCAATATTCTAAGTTTACTTGATCAAATCATTTGAGAGAGTGCCTGGTCAACTAAATATTGAAGTACAGTGCTCATTACATGTGAGACATGAGGCTCAGGGGAGTAAGTATACAAAGAGGTCGGCATGTGGTCAGATATGACATCAAATTGTACCCCGCTCTTTCCCAGGTTGTGCCAGACGCTGACCTAGAGCAGGGACATGTAAAAAGGCAGGCGTCCCATGAGTGCCCAAGGGTGAGAACAGGGCCTGATCCTACTAAGTGAGCCGTGTTGGCGTGCTCATGGTCAGGACAAGTCAGAATTAGGATGGCACAGAGATCAGTGTTTTGACCTTCAGGAACGACTGCCCACGTAGGTACCTAGGTATTAACACGTGATTGAGTAATTCTCAAGTGACTTGACTGGAAAGTTCAATCTGGAAGTTAATTAGAGTCCTCCTCGCCATTTCCTAAGAAGAATTGGCCGTGTCCTGTTGGCCCAAACTGTCGCTCGATAATCTCTCTCTGAGGCCCAACTGTACGGGGCGAGGCGCTTCTCCTTACCACCGACTTTTCATCACAAAAATCTCGAAGGTAAATTGGATCAAAAGAGGACCGATTTTCGCAGATTAACAAACCAACAGAAAACACCTGCCACTTGTGGACAACGCACAATCCGAAGCGACATCATCATCCTATTTGCTTCCCGTCAACTCACTTGAAGCGGAAGGGCTCACCAGTCAATACCTCGTATTGATAGAATCACTGAATGAAAGGACGAATTGTGCTTGCAAGTACTCCTCCATAGCAGAGTGTCAAGAATAGCGAACATTTTAGAAAAGGCTGTTCAAAAATTGACAATTTTTGGTTTCCTTTTTACCCTTTGTTTCTTCTTTAGTGGTTGCAGAGAGTGACTGCCAAAGTGCTATATTGGAGGTGGCCCAGATGAACAACAACTCAAGGGCTAGCAACTACACACTTCAGCATGTCCACAGCACCCATCATCACGTTCCACTCCACGATCGACTACTCTTCTTTACGAACAATGACGATCTGAGCAGTGCCTGTGAGGGCGATATTGCCATCTTGATCCACCTGGTAGCCAGGTTCCTTGGTCAGAATCTCCTTATACGTAGTGATAGCCTCATCCCATTTCTCCTCATCATCCTCAGCCCATCCACCCTGAGGCTGGCCGATAACGCTCCAGATAGCGGTGGCAAGCTCGTCAATGTCCTTGACCGGCAGTACAGCTGAGTGCTCATATAACTGACAGTCTTCAGACTTGAACCCGCCCTTGACCAGGAGGCTCTTTAGGTACCCCTTGTCGCTATGTTCTGGGTGTGGTTCGATATTGAGCCGTGCATCAGGACCCCAGATTGCTCGGCGCACCTTCTGAGCACACTCTCCCTGTGGCATGTGTAGCCAGAAAGCTGTAATAGCTGTACCACCGGGCTTAAGGGTACGGTACATCTCCCTAGCAGCAGCTATAGGGTCATCGATTATAGGCAAACCGAAAGACAGGAAGACGTGGGAAAAAGTTGCGTCCGGGAAAGAGAGGTGTTGGACATCCATAACTTCGGCTCGGGAAGGCCAATTCTTTGCCTCGGCGATGCTGTTGTATATGGCAGTCATGGGTGGGGCGAAGTCTGTGGCGAAGATTTTGATGCTGGACGGTGGCGAGGTGGCTAGAATGCTCTCGGTGACTGGGCCAAGACCGCAGGCGGAATCGTGGATGACAGCATCTGCAGGAAACGCAAGGCTTGGCAGGAGTGTCATCAGGTGTTTGGCAATGGTGAGGGTTTCGTCGGCACCGATGATCTCGAAGAGTTTGCCATCGAAGGGCATCACCTTCTTCGGAACGAAACCAGTTGGTGCAGACATGTTGTTGTGAGCTCTAAGAAGCTTGGAATCCGGTGCGTGTTGTCTTGTTGCTGCCGGTGTAGTCAAATGCTGAGTGTTGGGGAGAGGGGGTTGGTTTAGAACAGCGATTCCTAAGCTCTGAGCCTTTGAAGGTGGAGCACGAGGACGACGGCACGAACCAACGGACAGAAGGCCCTCAATCGGCCCCTAGTTAGTTAGGCACTCGCAGGTGACGTAAGATAGCTGGCTGTTGCTGGCGTGTTCACCTGGGCAGATTTATAAGTTAAATGCCCAGAGCCTGTTTTGAAGGATTCCCTGTGCCGCACTCGCACACGCTCCTCCTCCTTCGTGACAAGTCCCAACACAACTAGCATCCAAATTTGAGGTCTCACAGGACAGTCACTGGTCGACCTTCACGTACTCATGCGGCCATGGGCCTTGGCTTAAGTCGGTGACCGGGGATGGCATCCGAATACCAATGTATGGGCCTCCCTTCGCATCAAGACAGCTGAGATGCAATACCCGAGTGAGGTGTATTTCCCGGCCCCCTCTATGTGTGCCTCCTGACTGCTTCCTCAGGTGTACAAGAGCCAACAGCATAGGCCCCTGCTTGTCTTTGTGGTGATGTATCACACGGTAAAGCAGGTATTTTCATTGAATCTTTGTATTATGTAGAATACGCTAGGTATTACTACGTATCCAGTGCAGCCTGCTTGTCCATTGGGTTCAGGTGGCATACCTCCATTACACAGTTGGGTCCTTTGGCTAAAGTGCGGAAGGACCCTGCTGTAAGTGTGAACTTTTTACGATGTCAAGTCTCAGCCCGCATTTGATAACCTAGATGGCTTTGTTTGGAAGCCTTGGTTGGCGTATTTGGTTGGTGGGTTCTATATGTGGACACCAACGTCCAGCCCAGCGCACCGGGAACTTCCCGAGGTCTCTATTCTGACACTGGTTTAAACAGCAGGCAGGAACCAGCAGGCGACAGTGAGATGAAGAACTCTCAGGAACAGTCAACAAGAGCTTGCGATGCAAAAAGGGGAGGGGGACGCGAGGCTGCCAAATGTCAAGCTGTGATCCATTATACACGAAAAGAACAACTCCAGCTGGGACTATTTATCAACTGGGTCGCAAATAGACCCCGCGGTATCTTCTTCAACGAACCATCATATATCGGCTGTATCTTAGGGACCTGAGCCTGGGTCTGGACAAAAAACCACATTGTCAGCGTTTTGAGCTTGGTGGACGACGTGGACGTCCGAGACCAGTTATCTGGTGGCGGAGCCTACCAGTTTGCCGCATACAGTGGCCTGCTGTCCCTGCCGGATGGAGTCCGTCAACAGGTAACCGCTCTCTACGCCGGTACACTTAGCACTACATGGTTGGCGGGGGCTCGGCTTTTCTCTTCTTGGCTTTCTCTTGGTATTTCTAGAGAAGCACGTTGAGGATGAGAAAAGAGCTGGAGACTGAATCCGGTATTGAGGAGAAGACTGACAAAATTGAGAATGGCGGAAAAGTCGCGGATGAGCCGAAGAAATGACGCACTCAGGCTGTCCACTCGGAGTTCGAGAAGATGCTTCCTATGATCTGTCTTTAATGAAATTGTATGACATTTAAACCCTCCGTTTTTTCGGTGCGACTATCCGCTCCGAGTCTCTTTCTGTTTCGCTAGACGGTCTGCTTGATGTCGAGCCACTCTCCTTGTTGACTCACACGCAATACAGTCTGCGGCATTGGGACCTTCAAAGATGCCGCTCGGAATCATCTTGAATAGCCTCCCGCAATCGCCAGCACCGAATTCACCGGAGACATTGGTGGTAGAAGGGCATCTTTGTCAGTACGTCGTTGCGCTCCTTATTTTCCAGGCCTAGTTGCTTTACGACGTTCTGAATAGACCGTGTTTTTGGCTGGTGTACTAGGAGGCTTTTAGTCAGGCTTCTTAAGTCATTAATTTTGACTATAATTCCTGGGGTCTTTGGGTCTCGGGTCAAGTGTATGGTCTTGCGTTTGTCGAACCTCTTCTTTCCCTCCGGCTAATCCTCTCAACTAGGAAGTCCCGTATATTTTACCTGAGCTTGTGGCTCCCATATTTGTAGAGAGTTGTTTCTTCTGGGAAATTCTGAGCGCCTTTCTCAAGCATTCCAGTTATGGTGTGGTACGGTGTTCTTGCATGCCCCATCTCGAGGAGGTTGGACAAGCGGCTGCCCTTGTACTCCAGACCACAAGTTAAGAGGCAGTAGGATTTAGGACGTGCGTCACACCAGCGGAGATCTAAGGAAAAACATTAACTAGGCGAAATTCAACGAGAAATGTGATAAAGAAGGTAGAGGAAAATAAAATGGCAAATTTGTTTCACACACATCAAGTCCAAGCCATTGACGGGCACAGGCTGCAGCGGGTAGGAGAGGTCTGAGAGACGCCCCGGTAGCTCGAATATAGACCACAGTAGCAATACTACCATCGAGGTAGCGAGAGATCGGACGATGAATGCCATGGGAAAGGCATACACTTTGTTGGACCTTCTCAGACCGCCGAACATTTTGAATTGTCGGCTGTGAAATGATACAAGGTCAAAGACCACCCCGGCAGGTATGAAGACGGAAGCCTGTCTTCATGAAATATATCCATTTATTGAGTACATGCACATATGTAGATATGGACTTGTGGCCAGACACCGGTATTCACTACCCAGGTACTATGACAACGCTGATGGCAAACAGTACATCCAACTAGGTACAGAAACAAGTGACCTGTCATCTGCTTAGGCACCCCAGTGTACGTTGGGCACTGGTCGGGCCCGGAAAGAGATGTACATGCGTAAAATACCCTTCCAGATGTGTCTCAGGGGTCGCGGACCCTAGCCAGTGCCCATGTGTAAGATCGTTACAACCAACCAACCAAGAGCCAGCGTCCACACACCCAGCGTTTCCGTCCACGCACCCAGCATTTTCCATTTACGTACCCAGCATTTTCCATTTACGTACCCAGTACCTATTTTTCTTAATAACTCCCGTATATTTACAAGTACTTTCTGAGTCAGCGCCAAGAGTATTCCATGCTAGCTTTTTCTCTAAATTTTCGATACTTCGGGTACAAGCCTCTTCTGGCACCCCTTCGCCTTCGCCTTCTAGTACCTCTTCTGGTACCCATTCTGGCACTCCTTCTGGGCCTATTGGCCTATACGCATTTAGGTACTAACTGAGTATTCAGATGCTAACTGAACGCTAGAAGGCCAGAAGGTAAGAAGGTAAAGGTGAAGACCACGCTCTTTCTGGCCTTCTGGTACCCCTTCTGGCCTTCTGGCCCTCTATACTTCTAGCCTTCTGGCATTTAGTTGGCATCTAAACGCTTGGTGCAGGCTAGCAGGCCTAGAAGGGGTGCTAGAAGGGGTCTAGAAGGGGCTTATACCTTAAGTATTAAAGATTTAGAGAATCCTAGTTAGGTACCTAGTTTTATATGGGCCCTATATGTAAAAATAGGTACTGGGTGTGTGAATGGAAAATATTTGGTGTGTGGACGGAAACGCTGGGTGCGTGGACGCTGGCTCACCAACCAACCAACCGAGCGACATCGACTCCTTCGCGCCCAACGTCCAAGGAGAGCTCGTACTGTCTTCGCTCCTTCTTGCTTCCCATATGGGCAGAACAATGAAAAGTTAGGTCACTCGCAGTCTTTCCCGGACACCTCGGTGTCTAGACAAACACTTAAATCTCTCAACTGCTCTTGCTTCTTCACATACATCTCTCATCGCAACGTTCCACGCTTGTACCAAATTCTTCCGGAGACCTTGCAAAACATCTCCCCTAAGCCTCAAAATGGCCCCCCAAAACAAGACTCCGACCCCTGAACTCGTCGACGTCCTCATCGTTGGCGGAGGACCTGCGGGCCTGACCTCAGCCATAGCCATAGCTCGCAACCTGCACACGGCTATCGTGTTCGACTCACAATCGTACCGCAACGAGCGCGCCAGTCACTTCCACATGCTTCCCACCTGGGACGGCAAGAACCCATTTGCCTTCCGCGATGCGGCCAGGGAGAACACTCTCGAGAATTATGACACTATCTTCTACGAAAATGTGAAGATCGAGAAGGCCAAAAAGAACGGTGACGGGGTCTTCGAGCTCACTGACGAGAGCGGAAAGATCTGGAAGGGGCACAGCTTGGTTCTGGCGACCAGGATCATTGACGAGCCACTTGACATTCCTGGGTTTGAGGAATGCTGGGCTCATAGCATGTGAGATAAGACCCCCCTTTAGACTTGGCCCAGTTCTTGCTTCTAATGCCAATCTGTACAGCTTCCACTGCTTGTTCTGCCACGGCTATGAGCAGCGTGGCAGCGCCTCGGCCGGTGTATTGGCCATCAATGACGTTGCCCCGCTGCCAATCGCCCTCCATGTCTCCCGCAGCGCTGCCCAGCTCGTCAAGTCCGTTACTATCTACACAAATGGAGACACCTCGAACGTAGAGGTGTTCCAGACTGCCATCGGCCCGTCAGCACCTATGACGGTCGACACCCGCCGCATCACCAGATTCGTTCTCGGCCCTGACAAAATCGGCCTTACACTTCACTTTGAGGATGGGACCACGAAATATGAGGCCTTTCTCAGCCACAAACCCAAGAGTAAGCTCAAAAGCTCAGAGTTGGCCGAGCAGCTCGGCCTCGAAATCACGCCTCAGGGAGATATCAAGGCGAACCCTCCCTTTGGTGAGTCCAGCCTAAGCGGATGCTTCGCTGCCGGTGACAATTCTTCCTTTCTGAAAACAACCCCAAATGCGCTCAACGCCGGTGCGAACAGTGCCGCAGGCACCGCCAGCCATGTCCAGAGTAGGAAGTATGGCCAGAAGAGTTTGAGCGATTTCTTGCAGAGCCAGAAGTCTGCTGCGTAGAGTTGACCAGTAAGGTTAAAAGGATAAGTGAAGTAAGCCTCCGGCTAGCACCATGTTAGGTTTGGACTTGGAGAGAATGGGGGGGGGGGGGTTCTGTGTAGGTACTTAGCGAAGCAATGGGTCCCTCATTCGTGACCGTTTCAACCACCAAAGCACAAAACAAGCGTAGACTGTGGAATACGATGTTTTTCTACAGCCGGGGACCAGATAGGCGACATCACGTGTGTTTGGAGTCGTCCAGCCCGAATGAGGGGAGACTAGGTGAGATGGACAGGACGAGCATCTCACCGCGGGCGTACTTGAGACTCAGGTCTTCGATGTCATATCCGTCCTCGGTTGCGTGGCTGCTTCTCGGGGTCCGTTTAGGCCGTTTCTCGGGGCGCGCGTGGGAGTGTCGTGTGCGTCTTGTAGTCGATTCTGAGGTAACGGGAAATTTGGCTGTGAGGCTTAGCCTCGGTATCATAAATGACGCGGATGGCCATGATAATTACAAAAACGCTATAGTCGTCATTAGTTTGCTCCGGGGCCTCGCCCCGGGTGTCCAATGATTCGACTTCGTCTGACCATGAATGCTTTTCAATTTGCCGCCCTCAAAGAGGCACAAAGACAGGAGGATCTGCTCTGCTCCTTGCCAGTAAGGTGAGTTCAAGTGGTGGCCCGAGGCTTGGTAGAGGGTCAACCGCGAGGTGTTCGGGTCGATGGCACCTGGGCTTGCTGCCCACGTCCGGAAGACGTAGATGGTAGTAGTATCGTCTGTCCAGCCAGCCTTACCGTAGGCAAGGATGCAGTTACGACTGTCGTCGTTGAGAGCGAAGATATCGGTACTCAAGCTCTCGGATTCTTGTCCGTAGTACTGCTGGAGAACCGGAGTGGTTGGAGGATGACGGAAAAGAACGACAGCTCTGTGCTGTAATAGGGCTTGGCGTCATCTCGAGCCCAAGGCGGAGTGTAAGGCACGAACGGGTCGGCGAAAAGCATCCATACTAGAATGCGAAAGCTCACCTGGAGGGATAGCTTGCAGATGGCCTTTATCCATGAGCTGTGACAGCTCGGGTTCGTGGCCACGGTGGTTCTCTGGTGTTGTCTTGGGATTAAAGGCAGCTGACGACCCATCGTCAGGATCATGCTCATCGACATTTTGCCCTAGTATTTAGTTGTGTGTTGACGGTTTCCACGTCACTCGGCTGTAAATGGAGCGAGCAGGTCAGAGTAGACGGAGCACTGATGGGAGCCGGGGATATTTTGTCTTCTCCCTTCTGCGTGTTGACGGTCATTTTCATAGTCCTCGCCAAACCAGCTTCGAGTATTAGCGGGCACAATCGCATTTTCGGATCCAGAGCGGATTTCTTCGACGTCACCAGCCGTCATTCGGTTGACAGCACCATGACCATCAGCGCCAGAGTCATGGGGCTCCTTTGAGCCTGGAGTTTCCTTGATTCTGGTCCAGAACATCCTAGACTTGGTCATGTCTGAACCGAAGAAGAGACGCGAGATATTCCACAACTCCGGCTCCTCGTATATAGGAACGTTTCTTTTGTTGTTGCCATCCCTCACAAAAAAAAAAAAAAAAAAAACATCACATAGTTGTTATATAATAACCTTGGTTTTCTTTACACCAGTTAAAGGCCGTGCCGTCCTCTATTCATCTGAGAATTCGCTCTTGATATAGTGTCGTAAGACCTTCCGTGGTAGTACAGACATGGCCCAGGGCGCGTAAATCTCAAGCTGGTCAGCAGCTGATGTCGCAGACCTCGTTCTCATTGTGGTCCTCACTGTCCTGGTCATGAGTCGACGCCTTCTGAGCAGCCTTTCGAGTAACTGCTTCCTGTTCAAGTTGTCTGGTGCAGAAGGCTCGAGTCAAGGCACGCCAAGCAGATCGCAGCGCCTTATCGTGATCTTTCTGGGAGTTTTCGAAGACAGCAATCGCGTTTGTGACTGCTTCTTCCATGTTCATTTCGATGTTCGTCTCCGTCTCCGTCTCTGTTGGCCTCATCCTGCTTGTATACTCTGCCGCCATCTCCTTGCCATAGTCGTCGTTGTACTCGATCTGATCCCTTCTCTTCCTCCGTCTGCTCTTCGCTTCTTTAAAAAGCAACGTTGTCTTCTTGGTCTGTTTGCCGGTCCGAATCTCCATCCTCAATAGCGCTCGTACTGGAAGAAGTCTAAATAGCCAGCCGCTCAGGTCCGTGGTAGCTGCTGAATCGGCGGCGCCTGGTGTTTCTTCTTCGCGTAGTACTCGACATCGGATTCGTCAGCACATTTGCGGTTTGTATTGGCACGCGGCTTTGCGATCACAAGCATGGCTGTTTTTGGGGTCGCAGGTCTCGAGATTTGGTGATGAAGAAGGTCACACATAATAATTTTGTGTCAACAATGTCGACGTGAACGATCATCGAGGCTGAAGGGTACGGATGGTGAAAAGCAGCAACAGAAAACAAAGCTGCAGTAGTCGAGGTGAGTGGTCTACACGCCGCCAGCAGTACCAGGCAGGCAGTAGGGGGAGTAATGCAGGCTGTCTGGCTGTATCGAGAAAAACAACAGGGAAGATGGGTGAGACGCGGTAGGAACACATGTCTGGTCCCGGCGGCCATCCTCCCGTGGATGCTCCACCTAACCTGCCACACTGGCCACGGTGACGTCGATTTGTCCTCAGGAGGAGGTGGCAGGGTGGCAGGTGGCCGCCCTAGACCGCGTGAGAAAGCAGGAAAGAGAAAAGGAGGGGGGCTGGCTCGGAGGTGTCACAGGTAGGTACGACTATTGCGAATATAGTCCAACCGAGGCGGAACGAGCGACCATGTCCTCCATGTCCGAGTATTCATTGCAATTGTCGAGCACTAGTAACAGGGGGAGGACTCCTATCCGCCGTCTTCCTCGAATTCTTCTTCCTCTTCCATAACTCTCTCTAGGTGTTTATTTATTCTTAGTAAGCCTTACCTCTATCCTAGGTAGGTAGAACTCAAGCTTCTTGTTAGTTGCTATCTACTGGTAACTATGTAGGTATGTCATTTGATTACTTAAGTAATATAAAATATAGATATTTCCAGTTAAAATGTTTATAGCTCGCTTAAGATAATCGCATAACCTAAGAGCATGGATATACATTGCCTGGAAGCCTAGTACCATACCGTATGTTAGGGGGTATTAGAGATAGTTACTATAACTAATCTATAAATAGGAAATCCTTTTTTTATAAAATTAATTTTAAATATATTTAAAAAGGAAAGAATATTAACTTTTAAGTACCTAGACCGGTCTGCGCACATCCCCACCAACGCACACACATTTCCCACTAAAAAGGTTAATTTTCACTATACTTTATTTAATTCTATAAAAATACTATATAAATAAATTTAATATAATTAAAAACTAGATTTTTTATTTATAATAGAAAAAATTAAAATTATAAATAAATATTATTATAAATTAGAAATAAATTATTAAAGTTTAATATTTTCTATCTTAACTAAATTACTAATAATTAATATAGAAATTAGTTAAGATATTAAAATTGAATTTTTAATTTAATTTAATTAAATAATAATATAAGTTTTATTATAAAAATATATATTATTATAATATTTATATATATTTTAAAAGTTTCTATTTATAGAAATTTATTAGAATTAATTATTAAAGATTTAAGAAAAGTGGAGTAAAATAAGTAGGGATTTACTCTACTTTTCTTAAATCTTTAATAATTAATTCTATTAATTTTCTATAAATAGAAACTCTTTAATTTTAATTTCAATATTTTAATAGATATTATTTATATAATAAATAATAAATATTATTAAAACTTACTTTTATAATAATTTAAAGTTTTAAAAATACTTCTTATATTAAGTATAGAAACTTTAAAAAAGGAATTTCTAACTTTAAATAATTCTTTTAAAAATACCTACTTATTCTTTCTTTTTTAAAAAAGTACTTATATATATAAATAATAAATAAAGATTTTAACAAAGTAATTTATTTATTTTAAATATTTAAATAGATTTATTTATTAATAAAAATATATATTTTATATATTTTAATTTATTACTTTAAAGAATATTATTTATATAAAAAAAACTATATTATTATATAAATTTGAAATATATTTATAATATATATTTAATTTAGAATTATAAAACCTATATAGAATTAATAATAATATATTATATAGTTAAGAAAAAATATGCGTTAGTGGGGATGTGCGCAGACCGGTCTAGGTACTTAAATAGTTAAATAGTATTTTAATATATTTTTAATAATAAAAAACTTAAAAAGGAAAAGTAGTTATAGAAAAAAGAAGTAGTTATAAAGAGAAGAAATAAAGTTATAAAAGGACTTATAAAAGGGAAAAGGGTTATAAAGGTACCTTCCTTTATAAAAAGGGAGGAGGAGTACTTCCCCCTTTCTACTTCCTTCCTTCCTTCCTTCCTTTCTTTCTTTCTTCCTTCCTTTAACTTTAATATTAACTCCTCTACCTTCCTCCTTTAAGTTAATTAATTAAAATTAACTATATTTAAAGATTTAAAAGTAGAGCTATTAAAAATAGAGTTATTAAAAATAAAGCTATTAAAAGTAAGTTAATAAAAGTTAAAATTAAAAACATAAGAAAATTTAATAAAAAAAGAAAGAAAGGGAATCTTTTTTAATTAATTAATATATTTAAATAAAAAACCTACCTTTAATAAATAAAAAGAAAGATATTTAAAAGAAAGTAACCTCTTAAATAAGTTTATTTTTATATTTATAATTAAGCTAATATCTACTCACCTAGTAATTATATTCACTCACTTAGTTTTTTTTAATTATTAACTTAATATAAGAATTTACATATAGAGCCTATATAAAACTATATACCTAACTAGGATTCTTTAAATTTTTAATACTTTTAATATAAACCCCTTTTAATATACCTTCTAACACCCTTTTTAATACACCTTTTAACACCCCTTCTAGCGCCCCTTTACCTTTACCTTTACCTTTACCTTCACTATTTAGTCTATATATATTTAGATATTAACTAAGTATTTAGATACTAATTAAATGTTAAAAGGTTAAAAGTTAAGAAGGTAAAAGTAAAGACTATACTCTTTTTAGTTTTTTAATACCTTTTTTAACCCTTTAATACTCTAAACTTCTAACTTTTTACCGTTTAATTAGCATTTAAATACTTAATTAATACCTAAATATATATAGGCTAGAAGGCCTAGAAGGCATACTAGAAGGCATACTAAAAGGTATACTAGAAGGTATATTAAAAGGTATACTAGAAGGGGTTTATATTAAAAGTATTGAAAATTAGAGAAAGAAATTATATTATAAGGTCTTTTAATACTAACTTAAAAGGTATTTATAAACATAAGGGAGTTACTTAGAAAAATTAATACTAGGTAAGCGGTTAATAGGAACTAAGTAAGTAGATATAATTACTAAGTAAGTAAATGTTAACTTTTTATAATCTCTTTTTTTTATAATTATTTTTAACTTTTAAAATACCCTTAAAATTTAAAAAAGAATTATTTTAATTTAATAATATATATTATTATAATTATTAAATTAAAATAAATATTATAATAATAACCTTAAAGGAAAAAAAGTAGTATAATAATTAAAAAGTTATTAGAAAGGTATAGGTATTTATAGTAACTATCTCTAATATATATTAATGCACGGTGTGGTATAGTTAGATACACCACAGATGGTTCCACGGCAAGATATCACATCCGCCGCTTTTTAAACTCCCTATAATTAGTGCAAAATGAAAACTTGAAATCTTGCATTACTACATAAAGTACTAGTAGCTGGGCACTCTTTACCACTATATGACGACTTCAACATGAGCTCACAGGAAAACCTCTTGATCTCGAGGGTGAAGCTTGAGTCGAGGTAGCCTGTTGTGAGTTCCATGTACAATATTTGTCACGAATACTAGAAGGGGACATTGAATAGAGCAAATTGACTTCAAATGTTGTTTCCTAACTACGAATAGTGAGCGGGGGAAGCCCGTGATAGACAATGGAGCGGCACAATAGTGGAGCCCCCAGCTCTCGATAACATCAATATTAAAATCTCCCGGTTCTCCTCCAGCGTCTGCTTACCATTGCGTGGAACTCGCCATCTTCAAGCAAAATCAAAGTCTCTCCCTGGGGCGTTGTGACAGTGATTGTAGGAGGCCTCTGGCAGAAGGGGTTGATGCTGGACATGTACTGCGGCAAACGTAGCAAAATAGACTGCTCTTGGTGAGGAAGACCAAGAGAGTGCATCTTCCTTGACCAGCGCCTGAACAGCTTTCGGAACTGTTCGTGGTCCCTTACCAGCAGGTTAAAAGGCCTCGTAACGTCGAGAGGAGTTGGCGAGGACATGGCGAGTCGACAAACGATGGGCGGAGATGTTGGGGATTACCTTGGTGTACTCGGACCAGTCAGGAGATGGACTTACCCTTTTATAATAATACAAGGCATGAGCTTTGAATTGGTCATCTCAAAGATTACCTCATCATTGTTCAATTGACAGCCGGGTTCTTTGACATAATGCTCTTTATTGTTCTGTTTGAAAAGAGATGACTTGCTTTATGTGGCAGAACTGGTACAATATTATTCTGATTATTCCTTGTTATTACCGGCCGAGCCGCCGTTTGTATCTAAAAATCGAGTGAACAATCACTGGAGGCTGGATAACCTAACGGGTATACACCAGAGACAGCAGATCAAGCCGGCTAGTTCTGACCAGGTGGTATTACATGCACTGATTACCTCTTCGTTTCTAATTCGATGCTCCTGAGTTCATTGAATGTCCATTAACTCACTCTTATCCTGTTGTTACAATTCATGAGAGAGTATCATGCCAGATAAACTTGAACGTCTCACGAGTCCATTCCAGATGACAAGGTGGCAACAACCTGAAGTCGACAATTAGGAAGTCGTTACGTTGGAACAATCAAAACTCAATTACTTAACTGGGTGGAGCCCGCGTGCTATTTCGGAAGACGTCTATAACATCTATTTCTCAAGTCTAAAACTGTCCCAAGCAGGCGAGCCCCAGCTGAGATGACCAAGGTCCGAGTTGGCCATGAGGGAGACAACGTGGTAAACTTCCTGTTAACACTCAGTTGGGCCTGAGCCCAGCAGGCAGCGGCTCCTCCTCACCAGGCGGTAGCGCATGCTCAGGGAGGCCGGAGCCGAGCTCGCAGACCTCGTCGAAGCTCCAGCCCATGCCGCCATGGCCGGCCCTGGTGAGGTCCCACTGCTTCAGAGCAAGCTTGCCCGTGCCCGCGCCGCCCTCCTCCTCAGCAAATTCGTAGATGCGGTAGTCGGCGTTGAAGTACCAGTCGCCCGTCAGCGCCAGGCGCATGAAGCCCGAGTGGGAGACGACGACGACGGCCTTCTCGGGGCGGGCGCGCAGGTCGCGCAGGCACGACTGGGCGCGCTCGAGGAGGTGCTGCCTGGTGTACCAATACCTCTCCCCCGCGGGCGATGTCTTGTCCGGGTAGGCCGGGTCGACCCTGCTGAAGTCGATGGCGGGGAACTCGGCGGCCACGGCGGCGACGGGCGAGCCCGTGTCGCAGGGCTTGGCCGAGTTCTCCTGCCAGTCGGCGTTTGCCTCGATGGGGATGCCCCTCTCGGCGGCCCAGTCGCCCAGGGCCAGCATCGCCGTCTCGCAGGTGCGGCGCATGGGGCTGACCAGGATGAGGCCCACGTCGAGGTCCTTGGGGAGCTTCTCGCGCAGGTTCTCCTTCAGCTGCTGGCACTGCTGACGGCCGAGCTCTGAGAGCTCCGGGTCAGGGATCTCGTAGTTTTGTGAGGGGCTGTCAGCTGGGGTTCTCTTCTTTGTAGGGGTTGGGGTGACTTATTGTCGACATTGTGCAAGGCTTGGGCGTGCCTGATGAGGATGATGGTCGGAGGCATTTTGGGTGTAAGTTGAGCGTGCCTTTGTCGTAGGTCGGTCGTGTGGTTTACGGACGTAATAATTCTCAGCAAAGTATAGACTTTTATAACCACAAAGCGTGTGACTCAGTGCTCTAGTTTGCTCTATGTTGCTCTAGGGTGAAATTTTGAAAGACTCTATTTCCCTTGATAACTTGAGAAGGAGAGGCTGTCACTTCCGGAGCGTGTGTTGCCTAGAGTGACCGACCGATCGATGCGGGTCGGGCCGGGGACTGCTGCGCATGCAAACGAATGTCACAGTTCGGTGCCGCAGCGGACAGTGTCAGCCCCGACTCAATTGCACCGTTGCACATGCGAAAAGTTGGAGCTTCCAATCCAAGCAACCTGAACTTGGCACTCACCCACTACTGCCAGGAGGCCCGGCCAGGAACGCTAGACCATTCCACCATGACCAGCATCGACGAGTTGTTCAAGGTGAGCTCCCAAACAGCAGCGCAATTGGCCCTGTGGAAGCTTTTCTGACCTGTCTCCAGGGGCTGCCCAGCAAACGAAAGGCAGAGCCACTCCGCGACCCTAGTACGTGCTTACACTTTCTGCAACCAAGCCTACTTCTGTTTTCTATTCTCTCTCTCGTATGAAGTACTGACCAGACGTCCCTGCCCCGCAGATCAAGTCTACAAGTCCGCCAAGCTCGCCCGGGTCGAGGACGAGGCCGACGACGACGACACCGAGGCCGGCCCGGCCCTGCCCCCACCAGACGGCGAGGATGACGACGGCGACTACGGCCCAGCCATGCCCCCAGGCGGGGAGGGAGAAGACGACGGCGACGACGAGGAGGGCCGCTTCTTCGGCGGCGGCGTGACGGCGGGGGAGTCGCGGGCGCTGGACTACATCAACGAGGCGGGCGACGACCTCCCCGAGGAGAAGATCGACGCGTCGTGGCTCAAGAAGACGGCCCTCAAGTTCGAGCAGCGCATCAACAAGAACGCGGCCCAGCGCGCAAAGTACGAGGACGACCCGGCAAGGTTCATCCAGAGCGAGGCCGACCTCGACGCCGACATCCGCGCCCTGAGCATCCTGGGCGAGCACCCGGAGCTGTACCCGGACCTGGCGCGCCTGGGCACCGTCGCGAGCCTCGTGGGCCTGCTGGCGCACGAGAACGCCGACATCGCCATCGGCGCCATCGAGATCATCGGCGAGCTGACGGACGAGGACGTCGCCGCCGAGGAGGACCAGTGGGACGCCCTCGTCGGCGCCCTGCTCGAGGCGGACCTGGTCGGCCTGCTGGTGAGCAACCTGCGGCGGCTGAACGAGGACTCGGACGACGAGGCGGACCGCACGGGCGTTTACCACGCGCTCAGCGTGGTGGAGAACCTGTGCTCCAACGCCGCCACGGCGGAGAGGATCGCCAAGGACGACGGGCTGCTGGGGTGGCTGCTGGCGAGGATACAGAAGAAGGAGAAGGCCACGACGCAGAACAAGCAGTACGCGGCCGAGATCCTGGCCATCCTCGTGCAGACGTCGCCGGCGAACCGGCGGAGGCTGGCGGGCAACGACGCCGTGGACGCCATGCTGCAGCTGCTGGCCGCGTACCGCAAGCTGGACCCGGACAAGGGCCACGAGGAGGAGTACATGGAGAACCTGTTCGAGGCCCTGGCGTGCGTCGTCGACGAGCCCGAGGGCAAGGCCAGGTTCGTCGAGGCCGAGGGCGTCGAGCTGTGCCTGATCATGCTCAAGGAGGGCAAGAAGAGCAGGCCCGCCGCGCTGCGGGTCCTCGACCACGCGGCGGGCGGGACGGCGGGCACCGAGGTGTGCCAGAAGCTCGTCGAGGCGGGCGGCCTCAAGACGCTGTTCACGGCCTTCATGAAGAAGGGCCGCGACCACCACCACCACCACAACAACACCACGACGACGGAGCACCTCGTGAGCATCTTCTCGTGGATGCTGCGGCTCCTGCCGGCCGACTCGGCGGAGCGCGTGCGGCTGCTGGTCAAGTTCGTCGAGAAGGACTTTGAGAAGACGGGGCGGCTCGTCGCGCTGCGGCGGGACGTGGCGGCGCGGCTGCGGCGGGTCGACGAGGAGATGGGCAGGGAGAACCGCGCGCGGGGGGACATGGCCCTGACCGAGGGGGAGATGGAGGAGGAGCGCTTCCTCCGGCGGCTCGAGGAGGGCCTGTTCCTGCTGCAGAGCATCGACCTCGTGCTGGCGTGGCTCATCGCCGAGGACGACGGCACCAGGGACAAGATCCGGGCGCTGCTGGCCGACCGCGACGAGACGTTCGAGGTCGTCAGGGCCTCGCTGCGGGAGCGGCTGGACGCCATCGGCGACAAGACGTCGCAGGCCGGGAGGGACACGTCCGAGATGCTGGCCACGCTGATGGAGTTTTTGTAAGATTGTTGATTGCTTCATGATGATACCACAGATTGCTTGAACAAATGCATCACAGGTCGGCTGCACGCGCGTGCAGCCTGCTACAGTAGCCAGTGTGCCCTGGGCCTCCTTCTTCCTCTAATGAGTAATGCCGGCCTGAGCGCCCATCATACACCGAGACCCCAATGGACATCCCAGCTCCTCACTTGGGTGCTTACAGCCTCCACCCGGTCCCCGAGCCATAGTCCCGCCGGCTTGCTCGTCTATCCCTTGGTGGGCGGTACGGGCTTGACGTCGAACACGGCGCTCAGCAGGTCCTTGACGACCTTGTCCTGGTTCTTCTTGCCAGCCTCCTGGATCTCCTTGATCTTGGCCTCGGCCTCCTTGTTGGCCTCCTCCTCGGCCTTCTTGTTTCCTTGGGAGTGCTAGAATGATTCCAACGGACCGTCAGTCATGGGCTCCAGCCGTATGATGGGTGGACAACGCGCTGTCGCCGTTGGCGGTGGGTTGCGTTCCGTACCTCGGCCTCGAACTTCTTGTACTCCTCCTCCTTGGACGACCGGTACTGCTCTATCTCCTTCTTGGCTTCGTCACGGGCCTCCTTGACGCGCTTCGTCCTGTACTCTCGGGCTGTATGTCGAAGGCTCTCGGTCAGCTCAGCTCAGCTCACGCCGTACGTGGTCCTGTCGAGTGGGCCGATCGCTCGGGGTGCGTACACTTCTGGACGATCTTGGAGGCATCTTTCTCGGCCTGTAGGTTCTGTTAGCCACAGATGTAATGAACCAGTCCGATATCATCAGCCGTACTTCGAGAAGGGTCTGGATACCCGCAGAGTTCTGGGCAGACTGCCGTGTTACTATTGTTAGCATCCCGCCGTTCAGGCACTCTAGCCGGGGCCAGGTCGGGGCAGGCGAACCATGGTGTGAGGTGCTTGAGGGTATCGTGGAACGGGAAAGGGACGCCGAACTGATGTGGTGGAGAGAGAGTCTGTCGCAGGGTCGTCGTGGAGAGGAGAGGGTGGTGTCAAACGGGCTGGTTAACTGGGCGGATTGCGGCGATTACGACTTGGAGGTCGAAGCAGCCACCGCCAAGCGATGATGGATGGGCCTTGTGGGACGGACAGCTCCCCCCCAGCGGGTAGCTCCCACCTGCCGGGGTCTGCTCTTGGGTACTGGCCCGGCAACATGCCTGCCGGCGCAGCTTGGATGACGGAGTGCGATTTTATTGTATCTACGAAATCGGTCCATCTTCCATCTTCACACATGATCCAGCATGCTCGTGTCGTCGATACCCGCCAATCGTCCAGGATGATATTATAGGACCCCAGAGCTCACGCCCCAACTCCATCACACCCAACCAGCCACTGCCCCAGCCACAATGGCCTCCCGCGGCTCAAAGATCGCCCTCGCGAGCACGTCCCTCTTCGCCGTCTCGACCATCATCCTCGTCCACTTCCAGCAAAAGGCCGAGCAATCCGTACGTCCCTTTTGCAACCCCCTTGCCCCGGCCGCTCTCTCGCACGTACAAAAAATTCAGCTGCTAACATAAAATTGCCCCCCACCACACAGGCAATGCACCAGGGCGTCGTCCGCGACATGGAGCAGCAGCGCATCAAGCGCGAGAGGCAGCTCGACTTCGACCTCCAGAAACAGCTCGAGGCCGAGTACAGGCAGGAGCAGAACGTGCGCAGCTCCGTCGAGAACATCCCGCCGGCGCAGGGTGGTCTGAAGAGGTAGATGGATGGGTCCTGTAGCAGCAGCAGCAGTTAGCAGTCAGTCAGTCCACCCGCCACCTGCGTCGACGTCTCTCTCGCGCTGCCATTTCGCCCCTGCGCGAACAGGATGATCTGTCGCATGATACCACCCCTCCTCCGAGATAGACAAATGGCACGCAGCTCTCGGGGAAGCTAGCGCTGCCTCGCGTCCCGCTGGGACGGCTTTTTTGCCGTATTATGACTCGCCCGGTCGTCCGGTCGCCCAGTTAGGAACGAGAAGAAAGTGTTTCTGGGAGAAGCCCTAGGCGCTCAGAGCACCATGCATCCGGTGAAGAAATGACCAGCAGACCGATTACGAGGGTCCTTTTGAAGAGTCGGCACCCGTCTATTCCCCACTCTCGGGTTTGTAGTCTAGGAATGGGAATGCAGAAGCTCCAGATGCCCTGCGCCATGTACATATAAAATAAGGCTTGTAAACTTCTTGTCCACTCAAACCCGCTTTGCCGTCGCTTTGAATCTATAGGTCCATGCCATTTGGTATCACTTTTATTGTATCTTTGGCATTCATGCCTTTTATCGAGGACTAAAGATCATGGCCCCGGCGTTGTTCTCAAACCCCAAATCGGTCATATCTTATCCGTCTGCGATCTCTGTCGGCCTCTGCTCAAAGGCAGCCAGCCTTGCCACCTGCCGGCCTGTTGCTTCCAAAACTCTATCTACCCATGTGCGCTCTTTTAACAACGCAACGCTGGGCAGGATGGAGTGGCTGCTGCCTCGATTATAACGGTAGCTCCCACCCAAAGCCTGAACGCCGTTGTTCATGCAATTTAACCGCCCCATATACGTACCCTTCGTGGCAATCTGATGTTAAAAGTGTGGTCAATGAAGGTTAAACCTATCCATGACAGCTCAGCGGGGGCGGACCCACTCTGGCGAGCGGACAGCCCCGACTAGTCTCACACCCAGACATGTCTCATCAGTTCTACCTGATCGACACGCCCGACCGGTCGGTGAACATGCGCGAGGCAATGTTCATGGCTGCCAGCTCCTGGAAGAGCAGCTTGGCGGCATATGGAATGTGCACCTGGGCGATCTTTGTCTTGTTCTTGCAGGGCCGGCATTCGAAGGACTGCTTGGTGAGGTTGCTGCATGCATGTTAGCTCTACGCTCTCGTGCCTGAGTTTTCGAGGGCCGGGACTTACGCAATAGGCGTCATGAGTCCACAAATCTCACAGATGTGGACTCTGAACGCATCTGACACCTCGAACAAACGCTCCTTCAGGAAGGCAGCCGCTCCGTGGGCAATCATACAATCACGTTCCATTTCTCCGAAACGCAGTCCACCATCCCTAGCACGACCCTCGACTGGTTGCCGCGTCATGATTTGCACGGGGCCACGGGCCCGGGCGTGAATCTTGTCGTCCACCATGTGACGGAGACGCTGGTAGTATGTCGGCCCGAAGAAGACCTGGGCCCTGAGCTTGCGCCCGGTGTGCCCGTGGTACAGGACTTCGAAACCACGCGATTGGTATCCATGCGCGTGAAGCAGATCGGAGACGGAGTCAACGGTGACGTCGGTGAAAGGTGTCGCATCGCCCTCCATACCCTTCAAGGTAGACACCTTGGACAACAGACACTCGATCAAGTGAGCAATTGTCATACGCGACGGAATGGCGTGAGGGTTGATGATAATGTCGGGTGTAACACCTTCACGACTGAATGGCATGTCTTCCTGACGGTAAGTGACACCAATAGTGCCCTTTTGACCGTGACGAGAAGCAAACTTGTCACCAATCTGAGGGATCTTGGTCGTGCGAACTCGAACCTTGACGTAACGCAAGCCGTCCTGGTTCGTGGTGACCACGACGGAGTCAATGATGCCGCTCTCGGTGCTTCGAAGCGGAGTGGATGCGTCTCGCTTGACGTGCTGAGCAGTGCGTTGTCCGAGTTCCTGGTTGTCAGGGTTGATGGGGGAGGTCTTTCCAATGATGATATCTTCGCCAGAAACCCTGACACCAGGCGCGATGATTCCATCGTCGTCAAGCTTGTCGTATGTGCCGTGCTTCAACCGGAGCGTGTCGGAGCGGAACGGCTTCTCGAAAGACTCAACGACGTTGATACCCACCCGCTTCTCCGAATCGGTATACGAACGGAAGAAGAGACTCCGGAACAGACCGCGATCGATACTGCTCTGGTTCATGATGACGGAATCTTCCTGGTTGTATCCAGAGTAGCAAGCAATGGCCACGATCGCATTCTGGCCGGCGGGCAGCTCTCGGAACTTCAGGAATTCCATAGAGCGTGTTGTCGCCAGAGGCTTCTGTGGGTAGTACAGAATGTTTGCCATTGTGTCCATGCGCCGCGAGTAGTTGGTAAGGAAGAAGCCCATTGCTTGTTTACCCATAGCCGACTGGTACGTGTTTCGTGGAGACTACCGCCTTCGTTAGCAGCGAGCAGATTTGAGACACTGGGGACCGACTTACCTGGTTGTGGTCAGGGAAGGGGATAATGCTGGCGCAAATCCCCAGAAGCATGCTAGGGTGGATCTCACAATGCGTGTACATGTTGATGTCGGTGTTGATCTTAGTCTTGACACGAGCGTTCAGGTCCGTAGAGTCATCGTTCAGGCGATCCAGTTTCTCCTGATGGTGTTCTTCTTCGGTCTGCTTTGGCCTCTTCTTCGCCTCCCGGTACTCATCGAGATCCTCGGGACTCATGCAAATCATCGCCGTTTCCTCTTCCTCGGCATCCAGATACTCGATGACACCACTGTGCTGCAGACTGTCCCAGCCGAAGTAGTCCTCGTCCGCCGGGTTCAAGTTCTGGTCGGCCTCTAGACGCCGGATGTGTTCCTTGTTAAGCACCAAGGTACCCTTCATCGCGCCAGTGTCAGGGTTGTCTTCTTGTTCCACTACGAACAAGGGTCGCATCACGCGACCAGCGTCAGAGAAGATCTTGAACTCCCGGTCACGGATATCTCGGACAAGAGAAACTTCGTGGGAGATGATGCTCTTGCGTCGCAGGTCTTGCACCAGACCAACGAGATGCTTTGGATCCTGATGGACACCAACCCATGTGCCGTTGATAAAGATCTTGGTTGCGTATGGGTTTGAAGCAGGGTCGTACTCTTCAAGCACTTCCATGTTTCGCTGAATCATGAAATCCCTGATAGGGTCTGCCGGTGTTCCCACACTCACGTAGCACATTAGAGACAAGTTCTTGACGAGACCACAAGCCTGGCCCTCAGGGGTTTCTGCTGGACAGACAAGACCCCAATGCGTGTTGTGTAGTTGACGAGGCTTCGCCAATTTTCCGTCACGGCCGATGGGTGTATTTGTTCGTCGCAAATGGGAAAGTGTGGAAGAGAATGTGTATCGGTTCAGCACTTGGGAGACACCGGCGGTAGAACTCATTGCCTTCTTCTGATCGCCCCAGTTTCCAGTTGCCAAAGAGTACTTGAGGCCATTGGTCAAGGTTCCATGACGAATGCCCAGGGTGAGGTCGAACCCCTTCTCTTCCTGGATGCATCGCTTCATGTAGGCCATGAGGTCTCCTGTAAGCTTCTTGACGATGTTTCGGAAGAGCTTCGCCAGAAGAGGACCCGCAAGATCGAGTCGCTTCTTGCCAAAATGGTCACGGTCATCGGTATCACGACGGCCGAGAGCGCACTGCAGCAGCTTGTGTGTCATGTAACCGAGGAAGAAGGCCTTCCTGGTCTCGCATCCCTCAGTTTGAGCAATGTGCGGCAGCATCTCCTTTTGCAGCACATCCTTTGCGTTTTTGATACGGATATACTTGGCGACCTGGTGACCATTATTCCCACGCCTGCCAATGTAGTCCAGTGCGACGTCTCGATCCTGCACAGCAAAGGCTTCCTCGATACATGGCCGTAGCATCTCCAGCATCTGGGTGTCGTTGTGGTCATAGCAGACCGCGTTGAGAATGTCTTCGTCACTGACCATGCCGAGTGCTCGGAACACTATGGCGATTGGAATGTCTGCCTTAATGTAGGGCAAGGTTGTGGAAATTGTCTGGCCGAAGCCGCCTCGTCCAGTCTCACCCTTGGCCTTGAGCTTCAGGGTAAGGGAGCTGATGAGACGCGAGCCCTTCTCCAACGCACTCCGAATCTCGGCATGGTACAGGTCGGGGCTGGGCTGGGCCTTCTTAAAGACTTGGACGATATTTGCTGCTGACCGCTCCTGTGCGATAAGAACCTTTTCACTGCCGTTGATGATAAAGTAACCACCTTGGTCGTAGGGGCACTCGTTCAACAAGAACAAGCCGGCATCGTCTTCGTTTCGCAGGTGGCAAATCTGTGACTTGACCATGATGGGCATCTTGCCAATGTACACCATGTCTCGTAGGTGCTCGGGGCCTGACTTCTTCTTGTCGCCGGCTTTCTCTGACTCCTCCATCTCCCATACTATGGTCGTTGGGCGTTCCTGAGTCTCCTCGTAGTGCTGGCGCTGATCGGGGTCCATGTCTTCATAAGGCACCTCCTTTTCTCTCGCGATCTTGACCTCCTTTGTTATGCGAACGTAGATGGGGCAAGAGTAGGTTAGGTTTCGGTCGCGACATTCGTAGGGAAGAAGGTTCTTGACGGCACCGTCGCCTTCGGTGACGTTGGGTCGGGTCACAAGAACATGACCAAACTTGATCTCGTATCGACGCATGCGCGCAGGTTCGGGGTCGTCGCTCGGTGGGAGCTTCTGGTCGAGACTGACGGTGGAGTATTCGTCCATGAGGCTCTGGACGGTGGTAGTGACAAACTCGTCGAACGAGTCGATCTGTTGCGATACGAGGCCCTTCTTGGCGAAGAAAGATGAAATCACCGTCCAGCAGTCTTCGGCCGTAATGGACTCATCTTCCATTTCTTCCTCATTCTCATCATACTCGTTCTCCCAGACATCTTCGCCGTAGTCCGCCATCTCGAGGCTGTGGATGCGATTCGGTAACGGATTCGGCTCGGTTGAAGATGTTTGCCAGGTGTTTGTCGAGGACGGCAATCTTTGACGGCAAGGTCGAGGGGGGTGGGTCGAGAGATGACGAGGTGGTCGTGCTTGTGCTTGTGCTTAGAAATGGCTGCCCACCACCAGACAGCTCGAGCGCATCAACTCCCAAGATGCGCAGAGAGTCACCTCATCAAATGAAACCCACAAAAGTACCCTGTCGAAGTTAAAGAGAGTGTACGATGATGGATCACAGAGGTAACCCTGTCACAACGGGGTTGGTGGAAGCTGAGGGGCTGATGGGAGTCGAGAATGGGCAGGCGGTGGATTCGCGGTCTCAGGCACGTCGCCTTTGTGAAGATTTGCTGGTGGTCAAGGCTAGGAGCTGTCTCTTGCCGTCCGTGCCTGCCTGCCTGCCTGCCTGCGACCGGCAAGGCGCTAGTGAATTCTGGGACTAGCGCATTCTCAGGTTGCCACTACCACAGTTGGAACCGTCACAGACCCACGGCCAACGAGGCTGCTGCGAGGTCAGCAGTACATGCAGGGGTTGTACAGGACCCCTGTCAAGAATTTTGGCTGCAGCTCCCGGAGTTGCAATCCTCGCAGTCGATTTCGCGGGGCGCCCCACTATGGTGCCTGCTAGCATGCCTGCTTTCCCCCTAAAATGAACTTTTTTTCGTCATTGCCTTTGACCTGTTTGGGTGACTCAGAAGACCTGGGGAAGTACATAATTACATGTGCCTCCGATCCAGACTACTCTAGTCGAATCTTTCCCTCTGTCACCATCTAGCAAACACAGATCAACAGACCCTTTGATCTCACCAATCCGCCCCAACAATGTGCCCTACTCCAGACGAAGCCCCGGCTACCGCCAGCCGTACCAATGGCGCCAATGGCACAAATGGCAGTGACAATTGTATGTCAAATCTCTGCTGCTCCCGCCGGGACTGTTGGGCTCGTCATTGTGGCAGCAGAACCGTTTACTGATGACCACCTTGCTTCCTAGCCCACCCTGGTTACACTGCTATTCCAGTAAGTCCTGTGCTTCGAGCCAGATGGGAAGGCCTACGTCTAATTGCCGTCTCGACAGACCAAGCCTACACACCGTGCGCCCTATGCGCCTGTTGGCGACTTCCTGAGCAATGTCTCCAGGTTCAAGATCAGTGAGTCAAGAGAGCCCCAAGCTCTTCATCCGGGCCTCCCGCATCTATGCGATGCCCTGTCGGTCGCAGCAGGGCAAACCACTGACTCAATTGCCCCACGCAACAGTCGAGTCTACCCTCCGTGAGGGCGAGCAGTTCGCGAACGCCTTCTTCGACACCGAGACCAAGATCAAGATTGCCAAGGCCCTCGACGATTTCGGCGTCGACTACATCGAGCTCACCTCGCCCGCCGCCTCGGAGCAATCGCGAAAGGATTGCGAGACCATCTGCAAGCTCGGCCTCAAGGCCAAGATCCTGACCCACGTCCGCTGCCACATGGACGATGCCCGTCTGGCTGTGGAGACTGGTGTCGATGGACTCGATGTCGTCATTGGCACATCCGCGTACCTCCGTGAGCATTCGCATGGCAAGGACATGACCTACATCATCAACGTGAGTTGTGCTGCGTGCGCCCGGTGGTCCTAGCGGCCAAGCATTTTGGCAGACCTTGGGCCGATATCGGACACCGTATTGACAAACAGACAGACTGCCATTGAGGTCATCGAATTCGTCAAGTCCAAGGGCCTCGAGGTCCGATTCTCCAGCGAGGACTCTTTCCGTTCCGACCTGGTCGATCTTCTCTCCGTGTACAGTGCCGTTGACAAGGTTGGCGTTCACCGAGTGGGAATCGCAGACACAGTGTAAGCCTGCGCCATGCGCTTCAATGTGCCCAGGAGGCCTTGCTGACCTTTCTGCAGCGGCTGCGCTTCCCCAAGACAGGTCTACGACCTGGTGAGGAGTAAGTACTGCGCAATTTTCTTGTTGTCAATTTCCACGATTTGTCCTGCTGCCCAGGTGTCTGGACGTCCCGGAGACCCAGCGATTCTTCCATTGTCTAAGCACCGCATGGCTAGCGCTTGAAGGCATTGCTGTTCCACGACAGTTTGGGAGTCTGGGAAGATGCAGGCACATGAGGACGACTCCATTATTCCCATTCCGCCTCCCCCTCTTCGTGCCAGTGCTGCTGTCTCGGAATGGCGCATCTGTCGCCTATTAATTATGGAGGCATCCCAGAACTGTGGCTGACCAATTACCTCCAGCTCTGCGTGGTGTTGTCAAGTGTGACATCGAGACTCATTTCGTAAGTGGAAGCCTTAGCATTACCTCTATCTGCACCTCCTCATCATGGACGTTTGTGCTAACTCGTCCACACAGCATGACGATACCGGCTGTGCCGTTGCCAACGCATACTGCGCTCTCGAAGCCGGTGCCACACACGGTAAGTCGATCCGCAAAAAGTGTCATGCGGAATGGTTCTAACAAAAGTCACAGTTGACACCTCGGTTCTTGGTATCGGTGAGCGCAATGGCATCACCACCCTTGGCGGTCTGATGGCGGTAAGTCTTGGATTACGACACGATGGGCGGAAACGCATGGCTGACCCCATCAAAGAGAATGATTGTCGCCGACCGCGAGTACGTGACCAGCAAGTACAAGCTCGAGAAGCTCAAGGACCTTGAGAACTTGGTGGCCGACGCTGGTATGTCACTGTCGCCTTGATGTTCTGATTGATGCAACACAGCTAACGGCAGCAGTGCAAATCAACGTGCCATTCAACAACCCAATCACTGGATTCGTACGAACTCCCGATCTACCTCTATCTCTGCCATGTTCTTTCAGCTGACATAGGATTAGTGTGCTTTCACTCACAAGGCTGGTATCCACGCCAAGGCCATCCTGAACAACCCGGCCACGTATGAGATTCTGAAGCCCGAAGACTTCGGTCTCAACCGCTACGGTAAGTGTGCCGTCCACATAAGTTGGCAATGATGATTGCATGCTAATCACTGTTCTGCCGCTCTAGTCCACTTTGCTTCAAGGCTGACAGGCTGGAATGCCATCAAGAGCCGTATTGAGCAGCTCGGCCTCTCCATGACTGACGACGAGGTCAAGCTCTGCACACAGAAGGTCAAGGCCATGGCTGATGTCAGGCCGCTGGCCATCGACGACGCCGACTCTGTGATCCGTACTTTCCACAAGAACCTCACGTCGGACGAGGAGAAGCCTCTGCTTCCCGACTTGACATCCGAGGAGCATGCCAAGTTCAAGAAGGCCGAGAAGGAGATTGCCGGTGAGACCGAGAAGAGATCAGCGGATGAGATTAGTGCCGAGGGTACAAACGGCAGCGCTGCCAAGAAGGTCAAGGTATAGACTTGTCTTCGGAACTCGGAAAAGAAAATGACTACCACTACGAGTCGATGCGTTCCATAGATGGTGGGCGGTGCAAAAAGAATTGGTGAGTGTTGGGTGTATTATAATGCGAGGTTAGGGGACCCCGGATGAAAGTCCTCGCTGTACCGGGGCAAAAGCGATCATCACAGCTCGGTGCTCTCTCATGATGGAATTTGAACAGCTCCGGAACCATGGGTTCGACGAAGAGCAAATTTAGGCACGCCTTGAGTGCCATTTGGCCAGGGAATTTCTCTTATTTTCGTACCAGGTTGGGAAAATCAAAAATGAATATTTCAAATTATCACAAACACTCAGGAGGAGAACCACGAGTGAAGTTCAAGGACAGCAAAAGCCGGGTCCGGAGAAGCAGTGAAGCGGTTCCAGTCCCACACTCTCGATGCCACGTAACTGAAGTGTGGTATTTGGTTCCGCTCAACACCTAATCGGCCACCCTCTCACACAACCTGCGGGCTAGAGGGCCGAAGTCATCGCAAATGGTCGAGGTATGTGTCACTTGCTCCACTAATACAACTACAATCAAGATTTTGTGGCCTGTTTCTTCTGGGCCTGACGGCTTGTCGTTCCCGTGGCACCTTACCGGAGGCTAGGCCCCCGTCATTACCGCTTTCGACCTGGAAGGGGGGTGGTGCAAGCACCTTAGACGTCCCGATTCGGCATGCATCGAAGCTCTGTCATGTGGTCCGTGATACTCAGACCATGTAAACACGATCGTGTAACATAAAAGCCTCAGGCATGGCCAGTGGAAATGTGTGCAGTCCGACATTCGACTCCAAGCTGGTGTTGAAAAGATGCATCAGTCCGTCTACATTTCAGCGGTGACAGCCGTCTTGGCTGGGATCACCCATGCCGCCTCTGGAGCCGGGTCTACCACGAGGTAATAACCATACATTTTCAACGCATTATCTCGTTTCACGGTACTAACTAATCATCACCGTCTAGATACTGGGACTGTTGCAAACCCTCATGTGCCTGGCCTGGAAAAGCCGCTGTCTCCCACCCGGCTTATACGTGCGACATCAACGACAAGCCACTCTCCAACTACGAGGCAGTCTCAGGATGCCAGAGCGGCGGCAGCGCCTACACATGTACTGACCAAGCCCCATGGGCAGCCAACGACCTCGTCTCCTACGGCTTCGCAGCAACGGCCATCAGCGGCGGCACAGAGGCCAGCTGGTGCTGCGCCTGCTACGCCCTGACCTTCACGTCCGGGAAGGCAAAGGGGAAGCAGATGATCGTGCAGTCCGTCAACACGGGCGGCGACCTCGGCGCGAACCACTTCGACCTCCAGATCCCCGGCGGCGGCACGGGCATCTTCGACGGGTGCACGGCGCAGTTCGGGAGCACGTGGGGCGCCCAGTACGGCGGCATCTCGGACAGGTCTCAGTGCGCGACGCTGCCGGCCAAGCTGCAGGCCGGCTGCGAGTGGCGGTTCGACTGGTTCCGGAACGCGGACAACCCGACGCACACCTTCACTCAGGTCGCGTGCCCTGCCGAGCTCACCAGCATCAGCGGCTGCGTCAGGGACGACGACGGCAGCTTTCCGAAGTTCGTCATGCCTTCGCCCGCTACGTGGACGCCTCCGACTCCTACGGTGACTGCTGCGGCTTATGGGCAGTGTGATAGCATGACTTGGGATGTGGCTATGCTGGTAGGTCTTTCTTGAGCGCCCGTTGTCACAAGAGTCCTAGGAGCATGTGCTACAGAAGGGCAAATCTTTCATAGTTTTCTTTTGGCGCGTTGCGATTTGAAATCTCATCCCCCTCACGATTGAATCAAACACATCCGGACTTCGGACCTACGCTGACCCATACAGTGCCCTTCCGGATACTACTGTAGCCGCATAACTGATTGTGAGTCGAAGTTCATCTCCCTCATACTTCACGATGTATGCTAATTGTGCATCGAGACTACTGGCAATGCGTTCAAGGTACCGCGCCTTCTTAGTCGTCGCTCACATAAATATAGAAGAATAGTAGGACAAACCAAAGGTCGGCCAGGGTCGGATAATTTGTAAATGATTTTTATAAAGCGGCACACTTTGAATTGAAATTCAATTGATATTCATTCCAGGTAGTCAAATACATGATGAAATATGAAGTATCTTTTGCCAATTTTAATGCTCGAGCTTCTCACGGCCTGGCCCTGTGGTGGAAGCGAGCCACATTCCCGACGCCACTTTTTGCCATGCCAATGAGTCCGCCATCCACGTTTCACTTAGGGTACTGATATGAGTGGTGTTGTTTCGCGCACAGAAGCGTCTCGAGCACCGATCATACTTTACTTACTCCCTTTTTATCTATCTTACCCTTTCGTTGAAGCCATCCTACCCTTTAACGCTTCGTGGCCAGTGCTGGGATAACAGCGGCCTCACACTGATAGTTGAGCACGAACCTCAAAGATCTGTGTTTATAGTACGATGCGGGAGTCCAGGGTACGGTAGAAAAGATTTGTGGAGCTTACAGGTAACTATATCTTTGATACACCATGGCAATATCTCTTGGAGACGTTGAAGGACAGACCTCGGAAGAGTTGTCGCCATTCGTGGCTGTTGAGTCTCCTCGACCACTACAACGGGTGTCCTTGAGAAAAACTGTAACCCCTGAGGCTCCCCTGGATTAAGTCACAGGACATCTCTCGGTTTATTCTGGGCATTACTGGCAATCTTAGAGGACTCCGGACTGGACCAAGCGGGCAATTAGTTGCAGGATGTTCCGAATATCTCGGTAACGAGCAAATTCCGGTAGCTGGTTTTCCTTGGCGATGAAGGGGAATGGATTAAACGCCGTGAAGATTCGGAGCATTCAAATCCAGCAATAACCCATTTGACTTTTTATACGGCACCTGGGGAGCGTGTCCTCTGACGTACGCCACTTAACGCTTCTCACGACGATAAAATTGCAGAGGTGACATTGCTCTCTATGTGGATGGTCTTCGACCTCCATGGAGTCTCAAGGAAAATTAAGGACTCGGGATTGTCGGCCTCTTCGAACTTTTAATTGAAAGGGCTTTGTGTCATTGGAACCGAAGGCGCGGACAGTTATCCAATCATCGTCACAATAATTGCTGAGAAAATGGCAGGATTTCGAGAAAATGCATCTTGGGGTTACACGACCCACTTGACGATGCTTGTTTGATGTCAACTAGACCGCACGTGGCGGCTGTTGCAATGTTCCACGAGTGAACTGAACCAAAACTCAGAGTTACGAAATAAGACGTCAAATAAGAGAGCTGTATTGTAACTTCATATGCTTCGCTCATGGATAACTTGGATCTAATTGTCTCGTGCTCGGCTGCCTCGCACTGGTCCTGCTTCCCGAATGACCCGTTCCGGACTGTCCAGACTGCTCGGAATATTTACCTCTTGAACTCCCCATGAACGTCAGTTCTTGTGGTTCGTCCGGGACGCGTGCGATGCCCGACTCCAGACTAAGCATTAAGGGCTTGAGGAATGGAACACAAGACGTGATGACACTAGTAGTGACCACCACTTGGTTCAAAATTGTAGGCAGCCAGATGTTGGAATTAATATCGGCGGTGGCGTATGCGCGCCAGTACGTGATCAATTGTGCTACTGCAGCCGCGACGACCCTGGGAAGATCAAAGTTAGCTAGAGTCTGACCTCAGACGCATGGTAAGTCAACCCTTACAAGATTCGTGCCACGAAAACAACCAGTATCAAGACGCGTTGAGGCCTTGACATATGGAGCATGCCGATGATCCAAACGAGAAGGCCGACGTATCCGATTTCTATCACAATGTTCATCACCACGAAATATGTCCACCAAGCTCTCTTTTGAACGTCAATATGTATTCTCTGAACTTCTGTTCCCACAGGCAGCAACATACCTGATCAATACAATGGTCACGATTGACCCAATCCCACACCCTCGGTACTGAGCACTGGAACAGTGATATCAGTGTTGCAGACAGCCACCATAAACCGTTCAGTATTCGCAGGGCGGTATCGACCATGAGATGCGCCTCGTCCGGGGTAAGTCGAGTGATGAATATGGAGATCGACCATTTGATGAGAGCGAGCGTTAGGATGAGCAGTGGTAGGCTGGCGTACAGAAACTTGAAAAAGCTGTCAGCATAAAAGGAGACATAAAGGACAAGATTGGGAATTACCTTGGCGACAATCTCCAGGTCGTCCTGTGCCAGAGAATCGGTAGGCTTTCCGAAGCCATGTTCGGCAGCGATCGTAATGCAGATGCATTGGCCGAGTGTAGTCACCTGTGCAGACAAGTGCTCAGTGAGACTTCCAGGTCATGGGAAAGGAAAGCCACAATATGGTGATGATGCACCTGAGCCAAAACTTGGAGACCGTCATCCCACTCCAGCTCCTTCGAGACATAGTATCGGGTGCCCAGGCGGGCGGAGACGCTGAGGATATTGGTGATGAATAGGAACCAGACCAGAACGTTCGTCACTGCGTTGACGATGTCTTCCCCTACAACGACACTCCGCAGCTGTTCCATAACAGACTCACGGGATCATGAGAAAGCTGGGGACTAATGCAGGTTTGGCGACAAACCCACTGCAGTGGGTCATTTCTCCCTTTTGTAGATTACCCAGGTACAAATGCAACCTTGGAACTGAGACGGCAGTGCACCCCAGGACCACTTCTTTTGACCTCCTGGCAAGGAAATCTCTTGAACCGAAGGGCCCTTATGCAGGTGAGAGATAGAACTATCAGACTTGTTTTTTTTTCTGTTCCCCCGAATCTCGCTTCCTGGCCCTATCTAATCATGGCTCGCAGAATCGGATTGCAGAACTCGGCAAGTTGTGCCTTCTTCTGCATGTGTCTGCACAAGAATCACCCGTTCCTTCTGACCATTAGGCACCCAGCAGCAATGAGACAAATGCGGCGCTGCTGAAATCCGGCTGCGGTGTAGGGAGGTGGCATGTTGGCTGAGTTACACAGCAGCTCAGGTGGCTCGGACGGCTCGGACTGTGCCTCTCTAATAGGAGACGACTGATCACCGGTACCCAGGTGGCCCTGCTCGCACGGAGGACTCAATGCCCAGGTGTCGGCAGTTAAAGCACCACAAGGTCATCCCAACGCTCCCATGTCGCCCTGGGAGGCTCCCGTTCTTTTCATACTGGGCTTAGATTAGAATATTTCATCGTGGGGATTTATTACCGATGTCCACAATGCCTTGGAATCTTCAGCTCGCCAGCAGAAAGGGGTGTGTTCCCCTGCGACCGGCAGCCCGGTTGGTGGCCGAGACCATAGGCAGCTAGTCAGACAGTCAGGCTTGTCGTGTCCTACCCTACCATCCAGGTGTTTTGCATATGCATACCTACTGTGGAACTATGCATGCATGGCACTCGTTTTACCGCCACCTTATTAGAATATACCGAGGTTGCGAGGGCACCTACCCTACGGTCATGCAGCCCTCCCCTTCTGTGTAAGAGCCGCAGGTCGCACTCGTACCGGGGAATCTATGAGGGCATGATCGGCCGATGGCAGCTGCAAGTCGTTATCAGCAAGGTAGCGAGGGTGCTCCAAGCCGCGTTGGAAGCTTGGTATGTCACACCGGTGAACCGTAAATTGCGTCAGGGTCGCTTTCACATGTTCGTATACTATATATAAGTACCCTAGGGTAGCCTTGATCTGCCTTCAAGAACGGGAAGATGCTTCACGGATGGGGTTTCTGTTTCAATGGAAGTACAGAACATTTGAAGAAACATTGAACCAACGGTAAGGTTGGGGAACATTTCCCCCTGCACTAATTGTCCATGTCTTGATGTGGCTAGCTCATGAGCTGTTGTCTGACCATTTCAGGTGCTTGACATCTTGATCGGATCCGGATTTTTCTTTCGATTGTTGGTGCACTTGTGATTGGCAGTGATGGATGAGACCGGCAGACGTGGCCGTGACTCTCGGTCCTGAGTGTGTTATTGGGCCCTGTGCACGGACCATCTACCGACCAAATGCCCCCAGTATGTAGGCCCATCAGGGTGAGTTTGTTCGAGGCTTCCAGGTTAATTCCGAGTCCGAGTCCTTCCTTCCCGAGGTCCTCCTCCCCCGAGCTAGACGACCTCGGGAGGTTCCATTCGAAATTCCACAACTTTATGCAAGATTTTGACAGAATCAACTCTGTTTTCCTCCTGAATTTGACTGCTGCTCTCTATCCTCCAAAATTCTGACTCGGCCCCCATCACAGAAATGGTTCTCGATCTCCAAGAGGTCGACGTGGAGACCGATTTCCCTGCTATTTCCAGGTGCCTCTTCGAGGCGCATGAGGATCCGATTCAGAAATTTTTCCACCTGTGGTTCCCGATTTTCGGTAACAACAAGCAGGCCAGGGAGGATGCCATCGCAGAAGGAGCTGCGAGGTTGAAGCTCTGGCACTCGGAGGATCCGTCCAGCAACTGGAGGAAGGTGGTTGACACGGAATCTGGAAGGATTGTGGGGGCCGCTTTGTGGAACATTCACCTCGAGAATCCCTTTGCAACCCCCGACAGCATGGAGGTGACCTGGTTCCCTCCAGGGGGCGCCAGGGAGTTTGTCGAGGAGATGATCACCGAATATGACGCACCAAGGGCACAGGCCGCCCAGAAGCCGCATGTTTGTAAGCACGTTTGAGATTTGGGTTTTCTCTATTCTCTCGACCCCTTCTCGTTTCCCTTTATGCAAAATATTCATGTGTATCATGCGGGTGTCCGTCACTAAACTTTGAGATTTCTAGACCTTTTTGTATTGTTCACGCACCCCGATTCTCGACGCAAAGGTGTGGGACAGCAGCTCCTCAACTGGGGCTTAGACCAGGCGGACAAGCTCAAGCTTGAAGTTTATCTAGATTCGACTGGCCCAGGAAGGCCATTATATGAGGTCAACGGCTTCTCATACCTACAGGAGCACCATATACGCCCAAGAAAAGAGAACCCGGATCGTGAGTGGCAAGAATTGGAGGAAAAGGTTGGGCCAATTGTCTTTTGGCCGATGAAGAGACCCGCCAACGAGAGGGGGAATTGGACACGGCTGGATGCTTCTACGGGTACTTCGACGCAGGAACTCACGACGGATATTGATCTCTCGATTGGAGCGGGACGGGACGGCAGGGCGGCAGGGCGGCAGGTTTCACACACCGGTAGGCCGTCTGACACACCGGTCAGCCGTCTGGGCGACAAGGACGCGTGCGAATGAGGAAGCTCGACAACTATTGGAGCCTGCAGGACCTGTTGGTTGCAGGTCTAGGCTAGGCACTCAAGAAACATGGCGAACCAGGCGACAATTCATGCGACCCCAATCCATCGCATGTGATATCTTCCAGAAATTTCTGATGAATCGTTCGACTCGGACTCTTCGGTACTTTCTAGCGTTTCTAGAGTGATGAGATACATTTGAAACTCGGGTTGGGAAGGTCGCACCCTTTTCACTGGTCTGTAGTCGTGGTTGCACAACGTTGAATCCGTCTCACGAGTCCAACAGATGACTAGTCGCAAAAGACATGACATGGCTTGCAATGGCTGGAACAAGAAAGCGGCATCTGCTCCTTCATACCCACATAATCTTTCAGTCCCCTGATCAGTAGAATTAGTGTTCGGGTTTCACCTCTGTGCTCACGCGTAGGAACCTCTCGGCCAACTTCACTTCGCATCACCCACAAATTTCCGAGCACCTCTGAGACTCGAGTCAATTCACTCTCAGGAACACCTGATCACGTGTGTTATATTTCCTTGTGGCGGCCTTAAGTTACTCGAGCATCTCTGCTCACTGGGATCAGTGACCTGAACATTTCGCCCACGGGCTCCTCTTGGGGCGGCCCGGAGCCTCACATATTTTCACGTTTCTTGACAGCTTGACTTAGATCCTAAAATTTAAACCCGTGTGATTTCCCATAATTTTGGGATTCGAAAGAACCAACAGACCCGTGGTACTCGTCACCGCTACTGGGGCACCTGCTCCACAACTGCATCGACAAATTTCTTGCTTCTCAGTCTGGCCTTGGAGCAAATACGGTCGCGATGTCTCCGAAGAACTTGGCCCACCAGCAGAACATGGAGCTGGGTTCCTATGGTCCACCGAGGCGCGGAACACACGGTTCTAGGGACGCCGCTGTCTTAGCGCGATTGGGAAAGAAGCCAGTACTCAAGCGGAACTTTGGGTTCATGACAATTCTGGGCTTCAGCTGCGCCGTGTTAATCACTTGGGAAGCTACCGTCACGTATGAGATCCCCACCACCTGTCGGTCTCGTCACTCGTCGGGACATTAGCGGCTAATTCTGCCATAGTGTGTTCCTCCAGGGATTTCAAAAGTGAGCCTGTTCCAGTCCTGGCTACACGTTCGCCCTTACTGACTGATAGGAAGTGGTGGTCCTGCTGGCCTGGTCTATGGCTACCTCGTCGTGTGGGCTGGCACGATATCGACCTTTGCGACCATGTCCGAGTTAGCGTCCATGATGCCTACATCCGGCGGGCAGTATTTCTGGGTCTCTGTCTTGGCCCCGAAGTCAAGTCGGAAATTCGCAGGATATCTAATCGGCTGGCTCACCATCACCGGCTGGCAGTCCCTTGTTGCCTCGGGTGGATTTGTAACGGGGACTATGATACAAGGATTGATCCTCCTCAACCACCCCGAGTATCTCTCGAACATGCAGAATTGGCACGGCACGATGCTGTTCTGGGGAGTCGTGCTTGCGGCCTTCAGCATCAATACGATCTTTGGGAAGCTCCTCTCCAGGTTCGAGGGTTTTATCCTAATCCTGCACATCCTCGGTTTCTTTGCTATCCTCCTGCCGCTGGTGTTCATGTCGAAGGAAAGGTCAGACGCACAGGCAGTTTTCCTCACCTGGTTAAATTTGGGTGAATGGCAGACTCAAGGACTCTCCTTCTGCATCGGGAGTCTCGGGACGGTCTTCGCATTCCTTGGTGCAGACGGTGCTATCCATGTGAGTTCTATCCAGCTAATGATGCTCTGGGTAGCAAAGGCTAATAGACCTGGAACAGATGGCAGAGGAAATCCGAAATGCGTCTGTCGTCATACCAAGATCCATCCTGACTGGTATAACGATCAACGGATCCCTAGGTCTGGCCATGCTCATCGCCATGCTATTTTGTATGGGCGATATCGATGCGGCATTGGAGGAGAATCCCTTATATCCATTCATGGCTATTTTCAAAAATGTTACGGGCTCGACCGCTGGGGCGACAGTCATGGCTGCTATTGTGGTAATTATGTCCGTCAGTGCCACAACAGGTATTCTGGCCTCGACGTCTCGGCTGTACTGGTCCTTCGCCCGTGACCATGGACTGCCCGCATCGTCATTCCTCTCCAAAACTAGCGCCCGTACCAACGTCCCTACCCGAGCCGTGATCACTACTACAGTTATCGCTATCATCCTCTCACTCGTCAACATAGGCAACGCCACCGCATTCAACGGCGTGATATCAATTTCGATCGCTGGTCTCTTCGGATCCTACCTCATAGTCACCGCCTTATTGCTCTACAGGCGAATAACCGGGGCCATCCGCTTGCCGAGTCCAGACGACGATGACCTCGATCTCGCCAACGCCCTCGACTCCCCCCTCGTGTGGGGACCGTGGCGTCTACCCGGCGTCTTGGGAATTGTCAATAACATGTTTGCCTGTGCCTACCTGATATTTATATTCTTCTTTGCGTTCTGGCCGGCCGTCAATAACCCGGATGTGGCCACTATGAACTGGGCAGTTCTGGTCTTTGGGGTTGTTATTATCTTCAGCGTAGTCTATTACCTTGTATGGGCAAGAAAGATTTACACCGGTCCGATTGTGGAGGTATGAAAAATGTGACAACGGGCTATGAGCTTGAGGAGTGCAAATGGTTTAAGACTTGGGGATAGAAATTTTGTAAAAGAACTTTGGACATTTCACATCGGTGGCTTAAACAAATATGTGAGTGATGACAAAAGATTCCGACAGCAGTGAAAAGAAGCTGGAGCATTCAATTGGTGCTAGATTCCTTCAATTCAAATATTACCTCCTACTCCGATCCCCAATTGATGAGCAAGAAGAGATACGTGCTGGTCCTTGATCACATACCGATGTCATCGTATTCTTCTACCGAAGCTTATGATCTTGGTTTTTCGAGGCCCATAGATGCTTCACATGCAGGCCGTCGAGGATTCGCTTTCATATCAGGGACAGCCGGCGGTTGAAAGCTGTCATCTCCCGGCACATTTGCGGGGGAAACGATCGCCGCCGTCTGCCTCTCTCCCACACCAGGCATGTCCGCTTGGGGATTGTCATCGCACGGTATCGTAGAACCCGCGTCCGATTCGACAAGCGTTGAAGTCGATACCTCCACTGTGATAACTGTCGTGCCATCCGGCTTCTCAGTCGAATATCCCTGCTCGACGTCGGGCTTCTTGTTCCTCTCTTCCAATGGGTAGCTTCGAGCCAGATCGGCCAGAGTCTCGCCCGCTTCCGTCAGTGGAATTTGGTCTGTATAACGAGACCAATGGCCAGATTTGAGGCCTTGGTAAGCCATTCTCTGCAGTTGAAGAGTCTCGTCGGCTATCCATTCGAGGTAGGCGTCCTCCTTTAGGTTGTGTCGACGATACAGCCAGGCCTGAATAGGCTCTAGCAGGTATGAAATTAAGACTATCAGAAATCCAATGACATAAATAATGCATAGACCAAACACACTGAATGAGGTGTAGATGCTGCTGAGTATTTTCTGTTAGTTGAGGAGAAGATGTGTTAGTTGTGCTTTCAAAAACAATCAGGCTTTAGGTTGCGTTCAAGCGATGTATGTGTATTATGGTGTTCAAAAACGAGTATGGAATCCTCAGACAAAGCTCCAGTGTCACTTACTTGGCTTTCACACAGCTTCTGCATGTGGGAATTGGATGGCGGGATTTCGTACGGCTTCAGCGCCGGGCTGTGTGTACCATAGGCAATGTTGACTGTGCCTGCCTGCAGAGAGGCCATGTAAATAGCCCACAAATTCTGAATGTCGAGTTGCCACTGGTAACTTGGTATCATGCCGATAATGCCCGAGGATCGAGTCAAACTTTGCTGGGAGGTCAGCGTGTTCGGCCCGAGTATATCGACCAGGGTAGCCGGTGAAGGGACCTGCAGCGCCAGGAACATCAAAAGCCAAGCATATCGCGCAGCAGCAGGCGTCTGCGGGAAATCGTTGGTCGCCATCTGTTCAACTGTCATGTTAACCATCTGATCGTATGTAATGTCGAATAACGGCGCGGCCTGGAACTGTGCGTCGAGAAAGCCTCTCAGCGGACCGCAGCGGCCTTCTTCTGGAAGAGCAGGATTGCAGAATTGGTACTGTCGAAGGCAAGCCAAGGGCGAGGCGGGTTCATCCATCTTATAGGTCATGAATTCAACTTTGGTGGTAATATTTGGTCCGGGTGTATTCACCCGGTACCATGGGTCGTCAGCCTTCTCCAGAAACTTGATTCCGTCCCCAAGTAGGAACGTGAGCACCAGGTCGCCTTCTGGTGACGAGAGGCCAGTATTAGGTGTAAAATTGTCTCCCGAAGGAAAGATAGTACCATTGACGACATAGGTCAAAAGAGAACTGTAATTGGTATGGTACTGTTAGCTGAGTCACAAAAGTTGCCCCTGGGCAAGACAAATGCGGCGCGATGCATATTAGATTATCGTACACTAATTTGAACTCGTTTCCACTTGTCGTGTACTGGGCATCAGAGCTTCTTGCTCTCAATGTGTAATTATTTCCCTTGTGACGGCCGTAATTGTATACTGTGTAGTTCCCGTCCGATGTGGTGTAACCTTCAGTCACAAGAGGTGCACACTTGAGCACACTGCGGAACATGACCCTCTCGTTGGAAGGAGTATTCAAGCCGAGTGTTTCGTGAATATCAATGTACCCAGTATCGAGCTGCAGGTTCGCATCGCTTTGACACATGCCTTCGGCAAAGGGACAGGCCGTTTGGTTGTCCACATAGCTAGAGATCCGTGGCTTGACAAAGGTTCCACAATCAAACATTCCCGACATGTTAGCTGAATAGCACTGCTGAGCATAGTTGTTGGCAGTGTTTGCCTGCCGTGTTTGGTATGGTCCCAGTATGGACTGAGCGCGAAGATCAGGGTCTTGAACGTTGATGAAAGCGCAATTAGATCCATCAAGAAGGACTTCGTTTCCGACGCCCGTGGATATGGTTGAAGAGAAACCTCCGGCAATCGTGAAAGCGACCATGAAGAAGGACGCTGTTAAGATTATAGGAAACACCCGTGTGAATACTCGCCTGGAGGTCTTGCGCCATGCCCAGGCCAGCTGAAAAAACACAAAGAGGCCTGAGTCCGGCGAAGCAGAGTTGCGCAGTATCACTTGTTGCTGATGATAGAGTGCGTCGCGAGGTGTCGATGTTGAGAGCCAATTGTGGAGAATGAAACAGAGTATACGCCAGAAACGCGTTGAAACGAGACCAATGAAGAATGCTGTGAAAGAGAGAAGATAGTTCCCATCCACGCGAGACATTGTTAATGTTGAGCCCATAACTCGCCCACGGGACCAATTTGTCCACACGCCGAGGTAAACGTTGTATTTGACGGTCTCGGCAGCGCCGTCCCAGGCTGTACTGTTTACCATTTTGAAGACGTCAGTGCCTTGAACTGATGTTGATGAGGTATGGAAATCGGTAACATTTAATTTGCTGGGGAAACCCAGATGCATAAAATATGGCATTTGCAAAGCAACGACGCAAGAGCCAAAGGCAGGTACTGCTTGAACTGCTGCGCGTTTTTAAATGAATTTCTCAGCTCTGTGTGCACATCACCCCCTCCGCCCCCACGAAATGCAGAGTTGACAGCCCATGCAAGTATCATCCTGCAGGCACTTTCATATGCGAGGTCTCGTCTAGCACTCTTTTGTAGACGGTGGCTTGGATCGCTGCCAAGCCCTGAAGCCCAGCTTCCTTCTGCCGCTGCATCAGACTCGGTTACCAATCAAGACTGGTAGCATTGCCATTTGTAGCGGAAAATGTACCGGTGAAGCAAGGTGAGACGGAAGGATCTTTTTCCTGGTACGACGCCATCGTAGATTCCCTGGCGCCTGTACGCAAAGACAAACAAGAGATGCCGTGTGCGAGCATGGCACACCTGTACAGGGCACCTGGGCGAGCCTCCTCACCGCTTCTGAAGCTAATTGATCTCAGGCGATGGGCATTCCGAGTTGAAATATATGGAGACATGACTTCGGAGGTGAGCAGGGGTGCATGCCCAGGGTGGCCACCGGCATGGATTTTGTAAGCCCTGGAGGTAACTACCCTCTAAAGTTTTGCATGGTAAAGGTGCGTTACTTGATCTCTTAAGCTACAGGACTATTTGTATTTTTGAGTTCCTCTATTGAGCCGGAAGAACAGTAAGTATCTTATAAATACAGTTTGTAGTACTTTTCAAGGTAAATGCTCTAGGTTTCCCTGTGTGGGGATTTTCGCAATGACGTTCCAGAAGTCCATTTTGCCTTCCTAAAATCTCCTAGGCTACTACAGTAAGTACTACCTACTTAAGTACTATAGGCACAGATGAATAGATTTTCGCGGACCCTTGCAGATCCAGGCTTCTGTTGTATTGAACGGCTCGATCAAGGATATATCAAGGTGCGGATGAAAGTTATGAGAGAGGTCGGGGCTCTTTATACCGGAGCCCGGGGAGTAGATAGGAGCCATATCCTCTCTATGTGGTCCATAGATGTGCATCTGTTGTTTCATTCGAAGAAGTCCAGTTGCTGGCTTACACACGCATATAGGTGATTATGTACCTATGTAGGTAGTGGCTCCTTGGTGCCATCCTGGTAACATGGGGCACTAGCAGCCTTCCAAGGTTGTGTGCTGTTGCGACGGGCAAACATTGTAGCTTGCTTACGCGAAGCGGGGATTGTCTAATTCATCCGAGTCCTTCTCACTCAATACGTTCACCATTGGCCTTTGTACTCATCACCATTCAATAAATTGGAACTAAATATCAATCAGTATCAAGACAGCATCATGGTCTCCACTACAGCACCAGACCCGGAGATTATCCTGTACGATCTGGCTTGCACCAAGAATGTCTGCTTCTCTCCTGTCGTCTGGCGCATTCGCCTGATGCTCAACTACAAGAAGGTCTCTTACAGGACCGTCTTCCTCGAGTTTCCGGACATCAAGCCCACCCTTGAGGAGTTGTAAGTCGATCCTCACACGTCAATTGCCATTCTTTTGCCGGCATTCCTTGTTTGCTGACAATTGACAACAACAGCGGCTTGGTCCCAGGCGACCAGGCTAGGGGCAGATACACAGTCCCAACGATTCAGCATGTGGCAAGCAAGAAGTACATCATGGACTCGGCGCCAATCTCCCGCTTCATAGAGGAAACCTACCCGGACCCGCCCATTCCGCTGGAGTCCGAGCTGGGCCGGGAGATTGAGGTTCGCGCCCGCGCCGTGGTTGGCGCCGTCATGTCCAAGTCGCTATGGCCGGACGAGATCAGAATCTTGGCCCCGCCCGCGGCCGAGTACTTCCGGCACACGCGCGAGGCGATGCTGGGGCATCCGCTTGAGGACCTACTCGACCCTGTCGCAGATACGGACAGATGGGCTGCGGTGGAAGGGGATATAGACGAGGTGGGCGCGCTGATGCGGACGAACGCGGCTGAGGGCCCGTTCGTGTTGGGTTCTCGGCCTAGCTATACTGATTTCTTCATCGCGGGCGCTCTGCAGAGTGCTAAGGTGATCGATGGAAGTGTCTTTGAGAGGCTGGTAAAGAGGCCTGGGTATAGGGATATTTACTCGGCCTGTCTGCCGTACATGGCTAGGAACGATTGAGCTGCCAGTACCACTGCGGTCTGTGTGCTGTCTTTTACGGCTTTATTGCATATAGGTATGCTCTCATGGACCTGTGGACATGACCAACGTGACATCTGGAACAGCTCTAGGCAGCAGAGTGCCACAGGCCGGTTGGTGTGGCCAAGCAAAAGCAGAGTGGGGATGGCTGCCTGGCAAGGGAGTCGGAGTCCACGGGTGCACTTCCCGTGACGATGTACATAAATTGAGTCTGTATTTTCCAATGCAATACTTTCGTAGCTCGATGAAATCAATTCAGATACGCAAAGTCTTGCAAAAATGGGCCAGTACTGGAAATTCGTCAACATCGACAGGAAAGAGCGATTGCGCAACACAGGGGGACTCAAGTTGTGGGAAATGCTCATGAACGGCTGTTTTGAGCAGTTGGTCGACCTCTTGCAGAAGCCGAAATGGATTGCTCTCAGTAGCGGGACCCAAGTACAGGCCAAATCAAGGAGGTGAGTAGCATCTCACGAGAATGCATCCATTCAATGTCCACAGGTGCTCCAGTGGCTAAAGCAGGTCCGTCTCTTTTAGTGATGCATCCACACTGCTCACACTTCCCCGGGAAGTAATCGATATGATTGTTCACGAACTTTGCAGTGACTCGCCAGAGAGTCTTATCTGCCTCTCCCTGACATGCGCCTGGTTCTTTCGACTTCTCGGCCTGGAATTTCAGAAGATCTTGGCAGCTGACAGCGCGCCGTGGGCGGGCCACCGCCTAATATTTGTTGGCGATTATGCTGATGGCCTGGACCTTGGAGATATTTGCACAAGCGAAGAGCTCCAGCATTTTGAGAAGTGCCAGGAGAAGTGGGGTGACAACCCGCTATATTGCATGCCCGAAGGCATCATGCGTACAAGGAACGAGCACACCGATGCAGGTGGAGGATGGTACGAAGACGGTACAGGCGCCAATACACGCCGGCCAGGGGATTTGGAAGAGCTCGTAAAGGAAAGGCTCATGCTCAACGACTTGTCACTGTTCAATCGACTTGCGAACCTCGCGAGGAGGCCACACCTGACCACTGGCCATGGTGCTGCAGTCCTTCGCAATCTTACAGCCAAACAGTATGTCCGGGACAAAGCTATCGCTGAGTCTGACTATGCGTACAGTCTCGGCGAGGTCGTTGCAGTCTTCACAACGTGGACCGATGATCCTTCCGGTTTGGGGGGTCTGGATGCCCAAGGCTTGTGGGCAGGCCACCGTTTCGACATCGCGACCATAGCCGATGTATCGGAGGACGGGTGGACTGACGTTAGTGAGCTGGCTGTCGAAAACCTGATGAAATCTACGGAGAGGGAGAAGAAAGATGGGAAACGGGCTGGTGACACGCTTGTCAAGGATACGTCCGATGACAGCTCCGACGATGACAGCTCTTGACTCGAGGAGAGGAATTTGGACTCACAGGTCCCCGCCGGATCAAGACAGCGTGTAGTATTTCTGACACGGTGCTTTTATATGGCGTAGTGACTCCTGGAAACAGTTTCAATGATTATTAGGTGCAAGCTTCTTGGGATGAGCAATGTGGTTTCGCTTCTATTCCTTATACGTCCGAGGACATATATAGGGCCTTTATACGGTGGTAAGCACTCAAGACCTAGCGCTTAGAAAGAATACGATATCGATAACAATAGTTATAATATGATAGGTGCTTGTGGCCTCAGCCTTGGGATGTACAGACAAGGCTAAGGGGCACCGTCTTGACGACGTGGGATAAGCAATGTAGTTCGTTCTAGCTACTAGTGCAGTTCGTCGCGTACTTCCCAAGACCCGGAGGGTATCTTTATGCCTGGGCTTATACCGCAGCCTTTAGCGCTGAGATCGCGGGAGAAATGATTTCGAATGCCACATAGTCAATAGCATAGTCATATTAAAGTTTGCGCGAGATAATGAACTACCTAGGTAATGCTGCTGCTAGTTGGTAACGTGACAGGATCGAAACAGTTTCGGCGAAGAATCCTGTTGCTCTAGTGTGTACATAGCTCGACGCCGGTTGCGAGAGTCAATTTTTAAACAAGTGTCATGTTCTCGATGGCTCGTATATTGCCCATGTTCTTCAAGTCTTCACCCAAACAAAATTATATATCATTCATCGAACTCTCACGCCCGTCTCAAACATTAAAGATCTGGAAAACGGGAACACAAAACCTTCTAATTCTTCAAAATGGGTCAGAAGCTAGTCAACGAATTCTTCAAAACACTGGCAGATGGACAGCTCATGTGGGACAGGATCATCCGACCCGACCACAAGCGTCATGATCAGCGCCCGCCAGTCCAGGCAGGACAGAAGAAGTACAGCGAAAAGCAGACAGCAGCTCTGAGGTATTTCGCATGCAAACCGAAAGACGAGAAGAAGAACCAGGGAGAGGACAAAAGCAAGGGGAAGGAGATAGAACAGCCGGCGATCGAGCTGAATCAGATTGCTCGAAAACCCGACTCTAACCCCAGTGCAACGCCATCCAGTTCATCGGCAGTGTCCAAAAGCACTCGCCGGCGGCCGAGACGTGATTAAACAACCAAAAAGCAGAGAAAGTGTGGAGGAATCCTGCTGGAAATTCGATCTAGTCAGAGCCAGATCGATCCCCTACCTAGGTACCAGAAGTCTATGATACATCAAGTCGGTCCACTGGAAGCGATGAGGTCGAGAGCAGCCCGCAACCATTACAGTACGCAGATGGTCGAAAAGAGGTGGAGGGACTGCCACGAGGAAGGCAGCTTCAGCGAGGAAGGCTAGAACTTCAAGCGCTTCCTCCAGGAAATGGTTGGCTCCAGGATCCGCTCACTTTCAGGCATACTCCTGGACCCCTCATCTCTACTATATCAACAAATCAGATGACAGTCTTGTCCGCCTTAGACGTGGCCCGCCTCTCAAACGCATTCGCTGCCACAGATGGAGATACCAGGAGAAAGAAGAACCAAGTAATGGGCCTCAAATATGTACATTTCCGACTACAACGGCCACCCGTGCCGAACATTCCGACGGATGTGCCAGCGGCCGGCCAAGAATATTTACAAGAAATTGACCTTGAAAGACAACCCACACACCTCAAACCCTACAGAGCTTGCCATTTTGCGTCGGCAAGCCAGTCTCTGTCTCGACCTTCCAAGTTTCGCTGCCGACGGCGTTGCGGGCGTAAAATAGGTCACTGGGATCATATTTCTGCTTGATGGACAGCAGCTGGTCATAGTTGGACCCCCAGAAGGATTGTTGCCAGTTTGGTTCGGCGGAGTCAGACTGCATTGAGAATGTCAGCAACGAACACCGGATGAGGATGGGGATACGAATGGGATGATCGTGCAACAGAAGGTATACCGCAGAAAAGAAGACTAGTGAAAAGCGTACCTCTCCAAGATATGATCCAGAGTTTGGGGTCACGGCCCGCCACTGGTCCAGGCACCCGTACGTCATGCTGTTCGAGAGCTCGAGAATCCCCTCCGGCGAGGTTGGCTCCATCCACGCTACAGCCGTGATTGCGTGCAAAAGTGAAGTCCTCCATGCCGGGTTCACCGAGCTCTCGGTGTTCCCGGGATGGAGCTCATTCTTCATGTTGAACCCAGTGAAGTAGAAACCGTTCTCGGTCGTGTTCTTCACAGCGGTCCAGGTTTCGTTCATCAAAGTGGCGTTCTCCCAGTTCTCGCGCGGGAACAGCCTCGAGGCAATCCTGCCAGCGGCGAGGCCAACTGTCTCCAAGGGGAATGCTTGTTCCCAGGCGTCGTAGAAGTCGTCATAGTATGTCGGCTCAGATACCCACGTCAGTGACACGTTGAGGGCAGACAGCTCGTCGATCCAGGGCTGCAGCAGGGCTTTGTGTTCATCGACAGTCATATTTGGTGTGAAGAATGGGGTCATGCCAAAGTAATAGGCATCCGGGCCAGTCGCGTAGATCCGGAAATATGAATAAGCCCCGGCGTCTGCAAGATCCGGAAAGTGGTTCCAAAATAGACGCATGCTCTGCCAGAAAGTCGCAGAGTCCAGGCCGTCACCCGTCGTCAGCGTAAAGTTGGAGATAGTGACGCCGATCTTCGCGTACGCCTTCACAGTGACGCTGGTCACAACGCCAAAGGTGCCGCCACCGCCGCCGCGAAGGGCCCAGAAGAGGTCTGTGTTCTCCTCGTCTGACGCGGTCAGGAACCGCCCGTCGGCAGTGACGACCTGGAATGCGAGAGCCTGGTCGGAGCCAAGCCCGTAGACGCTGGCAAGTGGCGAGTGTCCACCTCCTTGGATGAAGCCCCCGGCAACGCCTACGGTCTCACCCTCGCCGCCTATGACAGTGACACCGTGTTCCTTGGCTGCAGCATACAGCTCAAAAGTCTGAATTCCGGACCCCATTTTGAACGCTGGGCCGGTGTAGCCGCTGCTGGAGTAGTCGGGCATGTATTCGAGGCCCTTCAGATTGTGCGTCCAGATGCTCAGAGCGCCTTCGCCTGCTGACTTGCCCGCGAAATCATGCCCAGTGTTCTTTATGACGAGGCGGAGGTCCAGGTTGCGGGCTAGGTTGATGGCGAGCTGGATTTGCGCAACATTGGTCGCATTGACAACATAGTAGGGATATCCTCCCGAGGTACAATTTCCTGGACCGCCTTCGATGGGCATGCAGGTCGCACCTTGGTAGAAGGGGCTCATAATGGAGGATGGATGGTCCATATGGAGGCGACTGTCGGTGAAGCCTTCCGAGATTGACGCACAGAGAGCTTCATCGTAGTTGTCCCAATTTGAGTAGCATGGCGATGCGATAGGTGGCACCTCGAGCAAGGCACTGCCAAGGAGGAAGTCGAAAGCATACCACACGAGCTCATCCGGCCATGAGTAGTCACCAGCATAGGTCTTGCAGTCCCCTGATGTCCTCTTGGTCACAAAAGCGTCCTTTGAGAACCCGAAAACTTTATCGAAGGCGTCGTGGTCTAGACCGATGGATTGTCCGTACAGGACGGAGCCCAGCTCGCTTAGAGACTCATCTGTCAGCTGGATAGTCTCTTCAGAAAAGAGCTTATTGGTATTCATTGAGCGGGTTGCGGCTGAGGACAGCGACAGGGATGACACCCTGGCAGCAGATGCCAGCAGCAGGCCCAGAAAGCCCAAGTGCTTCGTCATGTCGATCCGGCGACTCTTTGACGAGAGTTTGGATGCACCGTTTGCTCAAATTATGCAAACTGTTTCACGTGCGCCAACCGATGTGACCTTGTCTATACGCGTGTCAGCACTGAGTGGCCCACTGGCCCTTTTGAAGGACGGTCTTGGATCCACGCCCAACCTACAGGCGACTCGTCGTTAGTTGGACTGCCAGCTGACTGGCTTCTGCTGAGGGCACTGAGCACTTGAATTGCGCTGGAAATGAGGGACGGAGGTTTGGAAAGAAGCAACTCAAGGAGTGAAGATCGTTCCAGGAACGCCGGTCGAAGAGGAGTCAAGACATCGCCTCCATCCACGATCCGGCCGCCTCAACCTCGGGAGAAATCTCCAAGGACGCTCATCTCTTGCAGTCATTGGCCTCAAGACATCCCCCGGACCCCATCAGCCAAACTCATCCTCCTGACTGCCTTCTCCACTGCAATTTACAAATCAGGTGAGATGCGCAGAAGTGGGTATCTGCAGGTTTTGTAACCGCCAGGAACGCGGGTTTTCGGACGACGTCGGGCCAAGGGGGCGAGGTGCGAGGGCCGGGATGATCGTGGATACCGGCGGGAAAACATTACACTCCCCGGGCCAAGATGGGCCCCAGCGGACCGCCTCCCGGGAAGTGCGACTTGTCAGATGCACCTCGTCATTCTTTTTCACTAGCACAACTTAGAGACCTTCTCGATTGCGGTGGGCTCACTGAAGGAACGGTTCTACAAGAATGCCTACTTTCGTGAGTTTGGAGCTGGGATCGAAATCGCTTGGGACCAAGAGTTCGTCTACAGCCAGATCCGGAATAAATCAACTGCCGCCGACATGCAAATCGTCCTAAAGTTCTCCCAGACAGCTGCAACGCAATCTTCCAAGGTTTAAAGCCCCCCAAACTTCGGATGTGGCGTCTATTCCCTGCAAAGCCTGAGCTGCCTGCCTGGCCTGGCTACCTAGGTATGTTCATGAGTGCACCGCGCATGTACCTGCGTCGTCAGCAAAATTTCAGTGGGAATTTGTTGCAGGCGTGGCAGGCCGTCCATTCAACATCAAACGCCCCGATGTGGCGCCGGTTGGCTTATGGCCCCTGATATGTGCACCCGCGGGACTGAATCATGGGCCCACCCCGGGGACAGGTTCTCAGGTCCTCTAGATAGCCGGGAGATCTAGGTGGATGATCCCTCAAATATTTTTGGATCCGGGTCAGAATCAGACCAGGGTCTGAAAGTTTCCGACGCAGCCCTGTCTCCACGGCCCGGGATGTCATCGGTAGCAATAGGCGCATACTCGTGGGCTGCGGCCAGGTCTGCCAGCCAGTCCAATATGCAGTAAAGCCACCCCTATTCCCATTTTCGTTTTCCTCTTTTTCTCTCGAATTTCTGGGACTCTGAGGTCACATCTATTTTCCACGTCTTTTTTTTCAATGGCATTGCGGCTCTGCGGCCACTCACCGAACCCAGCCGCGGATCCTCTCCTGTCCTGTGGTTGCCGAAATGGCTGACACTGGGCTCCAGCCACTTGCGATAGGGATATCGATTGCAGCACCGTGTTTTGCGTTCGTCTTCGTCTTACTACGCCTTTACAGTCGTTACTTCATCACCAAAAATTTAGGCTGGGACGATGGCCTCATCGTATTGCCTATGGTCCTAGCCATTGCCCAGGCATATACAACAGTAATGGGTATGAGCTAGGTGTCCTAGATCTGTCACATCTCCATTACTAACGACTCGCAGGAATCAAGTTGAATTTCATTGGTTACCATACAAAAGACATTCCCTGGGATCAAATGGATACCGTCCTTGGAGCCAAATATAATTATGCCACCCAGCTATTATACAACCCCATCCTGGCTCTTGTCAAGAACGGGATGCTTCTTTTCTTCCTGCGTGTCGGCGGCAGTATCGACAACTTACGGCTTTTTATAATTTTCATCATAGTTTTGAACACTTTGATGATGGTTTCAATCTTCTTGATCGACCTGCTCCAGTGCATACCCATCCAGAAGACTTTCTATCTCAACACCACGGGGACTTGCATTAATGTCGGCGACTTCTTCATTAGTACCGCGGCGGCAACAATTCTCACAGACATCCTGGTTATAATCATTCCAGTCTGGATAACGTGGAATTTGAAAATGAAGTTGAGGAAAAAGTTGGCGGTCATTTTCCTGCTGTCAATGGGGTTATTGTGAGTGGTTTTCCCGTAATGTGTACTGTGGTAGTCGCATGGAATTTCAATTGTCATGGCTAACCCTGTTCAACTTTCAAAAGTGTTACCGCAATCAGCATATACCGCATGTATTATCTCATCAATGCTTACTATGGGGAGCCGAACCCGGATTCGACGTATGGTGTAGGGGGCACAGCTTCGAGTATCGAGGTGAACTTGGCCATCGCATCAGCCTGCGGTCCTTTCCTCAAGCCTTTGATTTTGCACTTCTTCCCCAGCTTCTTTGAACGCGATTCGACAAATCGGTATTACAAATACTACGAAGACAATCGCCGAGATGTCATGTATCGAGGGAATGTGGCAAATTACTCAGCATCCGCATCCGCAGCCGCGTCAGTTAGCCGATCGAAACCACCGAGGAGGCTTTCTATAAGACGGAAGGATGAAACCGGTTGTTACGACCCTGAAATCGAGCTCCGCAGCCCATCAGCGAAGACTTCCAAAAGCCTGAGACGCGGCAAGTCTACTAGGGAGTCAGTGCTGCCAGAGGACGAAGAGGACGACTCGTCACAGAGGCGGATGGTGGCAACTATGGAATTTATGGACATGTTCCCTGAGCGCAAACAAGAGCCCGAGAACAGTGGAGAAGGGCAATGGCTGAAGAGCGGCATCATGAGAGAGACCAGCGTAAACATCACGTACTCGCCCAAGTACAGCGACGAAAATCTACCCAGTACAAGGCCCACTGCGCCTGGGTCGCCAGTCTAGAGTATGAAAGCTTAAATCAATTGCTCTTGCATCCAAATACTCAATTTCAAGGTCATGCTTGTGATAAGGTGCATTTGAAAAGCATTTGCTTTGTCTGGGGCCTGGAGACTCGAGGGCCGATTGGTCCACGTGTAGAAGGATGTTTACGAAAGGACTTGTAATGTGATGAGGCTTTACTAAAGTAAATAATCCAAAATCTCTTGAGTAGATTGAACGTAGAGTCAGGAGGTTTTGCTAGATTTGTTGAGGCATCTATTATCAGTCAATAAAGATTCCGAAGACATGTTCAACCATGTAAAGGACGCCACTGCTCTAATTATTTATTCTTAGGTTCGATTGCAGCCTTGTAATACTGTTGCTTCAGAGTAGACGGTTTAATGGAGACCCGGATGACCTCACTTCATTTTAAATTGCCTGCAGTACAGTCGGAGCTATTGTAAAGAATAATGGGCGATTTTCCACAAATCATCCTGGCATCATCAACTTTTCGGAGCCTCGAGAATCAAATTAACACCTAAACAGGTAGCTGGTGCGTTGTCATAATTACTAATTATCAAAAGGATTTACCCCCTAAACCCAGGAATAACACTCTTCCGCGATAGGCACCTTGACGTCGTAGATGACCTGGTTATACCATTGCGTCACAAAGGCAGTCAGGCTGAACTCAAAGTCACTCACGACCGCCGCCCCATTCGCGCACTCAGCCGCACCGCCACCGGGCTGCGTCACCGCGGTATCCCCCCCGCTGCCGGCGCCAACCACCTGGCCAGCATCAAGCGTGACGCTGGTAGGGAAGCTGGCCTTGGGCGTCAAGCCACCGCTGAGGTCCAGCGCCCCGCCGAGCAGCTCAAACTCGACGCCCACGGTGAACGAGACGAACGGGCTGACGGCGACCTCGGCCTTCTCGGAGAGGCTGACGTTGGCGTGGTACGTGGGCTCCCACCCGGCCGCGCTGGTGGCGTCAAAGTCCACAAAGTCGATGTGGACGGTGCCGTTGCCGATCTCGGCGCCCACGTCGAGGACGACGTCGACCGCGGCCGCGACGCCCAGGTCCGCGCCGACGCTGAACAGCAGCTCCGGGCCGAAGGTGATGATCCCGGGGACGTTGACGATGTAGTACACGAGCCCGGCGGGCGCGTAGGCGAAGGTCGTGTTGTACGGCGCCGTCACCGCCAGGTCGAGGACGAGGTCTGATGCGATGGAGGTCTCGAAGTCGACGTGCAGCGCGTCGAGGTGGAGCGCGCCCACGTCGAACTCGAGGTAGCCGCTGAGCCCGACCGAGAGGTCTAGCTGGCCCGACTGCGCGGTCACGGTCAGGTAGGGGTCGTACTCGTACAGCACCTGCGAGGGGAGGGACCAGGTGTTGGCGTAGGTCAGCTTGGACGGGTCGATGATGATGTCGCGCCTTGTTGGGTCTGTGGTGCTTGCTGCTGGCAGGCCGTGAAATTGGGTCTTCATGTAGGCTGGTTTGGGTGTCAGTCAGTCTGTAATATTCACAAAAAGAGAAAAAGATGGCATGTTCGGGTGAGATTCTTACAGCTGGCGGAGTTGATGTCTGTCTTCTCCGTCGTGGCGGTCAGCGTGAGGCTGGCCGTGTCTGCGGTGTAAGTGCCCGCCACGAAGAAGCCACGCTCAAACTCCGTGTCACAGTCACCCATGTGGTTTGTGATGAGCAACAGCTTGCCGTGAGATGACCACTGCGTGTATGCATCATCGAGATCCTGCGCATTGTCGAAGGTTAACGCGACCGAGTCCGGCGAGCAGTCAACAGTTGCGAGATGAGAGATGGTCTCCAGCAGGATGGTAGGGTAGTTGGTCGACAAGGAGACGTTGACGGCAGCGAGGTCGCCATTGTCGAGGCCGTAGTCCAGAGTGACATTGGATTGCGGGACGAGGGCGTCTGGCTTTTCCGGTGCGGGAATCGGCGAGAGAGTGACATTGCTCACGGCCGTAGCATTGACCGTGTCGTCCGCCTGGCGGGCGGCCTTGAAGCTGGGGGCAGCAGAAGCCGAGCCTGCGAGGGCCAGCACGGCAATGGAGACGAGACAAGACATATCGCCGGGCCTTTGAAATTGATGCTCGAGCTGCCTGGCTTGTGTTTACCTACACCGAAGCGTACCCTGGTGGAGTAACAAGCTACCGCCTTACCAGCCAAGGAGAAAAGTAAAGACGACACTATGCTCCTCAGCACATATTCCCATTACCGCGCAAGTGAGTAGATGGCTCTATATATGTGCCTGTCTATCTAGTCGTGGCAGTTGACCTGTCACGATCGTTGACTCGAGCACATGCCCGGACTTCCAAGGAGGGGCAACTCCCGGGCCCGCAGTCCAGATGAGGTTATCTCGATCCAAGCGGAGATGCAGTCGAACCCCACCTCCAACATACTCGCCCACGGGACGTGCGGTTACATAGACGGGAATGATTCCCTTCCCGGCGGAACCACGTGCGTCTTTGACTTTTGCTCAGAATGACAAGTCTGACACTCTTATCGCGGTTCTGCGAAGAGACTGACTGCTCACTCAGTGTGCTATCCGAGAGCCTTCCAGGTCCGCCGGTCACTCATTCTCACGTTTAGCCCTGATATAGAGGGGATGATATCTGTCGTTGCGGCGATGCTTATTGGTAGCATTCCTACTCACGATAACGCCATAATATCCCCGATAGCGGGCGGGCACCGAAGAATAATAAGCCTGATCTGCTTTCGGTAATCCTGAACCGAGGAGTTTAAATCACGTTGGAGCTCCAGCGAATGCCAATGGCTAAAAAGCCTCGCGCCCAGAAAGTTAGATACATCATCTTTGGCAGTAGCAACCGAGCGGGCGATATCATACGGCGTGCTCCTTTTCATAATCGGGTCTAACGTTAGAAAGTGCGGGACGTTGGTTGTTGTCGCCGGGGATGGCGTCCGCGGGGCCCATCGCCAAAAGCACATATTCCCGAGGCGGAAACATCCGAATCAGGGTTGCTGCTCCGGCTCTATTGACGGGACCAATGAGTCGGCAGCAGACTTCTTGGCGGGATTCGAAGCATACAAGGGGAGGAATTTGGGTTGGAGGGGGGGCACATGCGGGTAGACTGTGTAGGTAACAAGACGATTTTGGACACTGAGGGCAGAATAGACGCGCGTCTTGAGGGTCCTCGCTGAAATCCATTTTGTGACGGGAGAGGAGTTTAGTATCTGGGTTCGGATGAACCTAGCGGGAATCACGGGATGTGGGCCCGGGGCAGCAAGTTGCTATTGGAAGCATGGTCAAAAGCTCAAGACGGTCAGATAAAGAGATGCGGCCACACAACCAGCTTGATTATTGTCGCTATATGAAAGTTTGTAGGTGCCGACGTCTTCCTCCTTGGAGTAGATTGGAGATGAATGCTTGCTATATCGGTTGTTTCGAATTGCCGCATGAGCTAGCACCATCAAACCGCACAGAGCCCACCGAAATCATCGTCCATGGTCCAAGTCCCGGCCAGACCGGCAATCTCAACCTCCTCGACAGGGAGCTCATCCTTGCCCATGAAGAAGTCGTTCCTCCCTTCCTTGCGCGGCTTCCGGCTCATGAACCTCCTGGCCCAGTCGTCGACGGCCGGCTCGCCCGTCTCGTCGCGCGCCTGCTTGAGGAAGGACATGAGCTGCGTGCCACCCGTGCCCGTGAGATCCTTCTTCCCGCCACCAGACGTGTCGAGCGCGATGCCCTGTGGTCCACGGGAGGGCTTGGCAGGCTGCTGCTGCTGCTGCTGGGCCTTGCGGGTGGCGGTGGCCAGGTTGACGCGGTGCCTCACGGCTTCGGGGCTGCGGCTGCGGCTCCTGGCGCGGACCTCCCGGCTGGGGGTGACGATGTAGCGCGTGACGATGGCGATGTGTTTGTCGCGAAGTGCGCTCAGCATCGACAGACACGCGTCGTACGCAACGCGCAATGCCTTGTCGGATGACCCGCGCAACTCGACAAAGTCACGAATGTTGGCCACGGCCGACACATCGTTTAGGAAGCGCGCGTGAGGGCCCGGCATGTACTTCCTCATCTCCATGAGGAAGTTATGCCTCGGCGCGGGGGCCCTGCCCCGGCTGGCGTCAGACTCATAGGCAGACGTGTCGCCGGACTGGGCCTTCTCGCCGGTCGGGCGGTGCTCGATGCCGAGCGCAATGTCGAAGAACTGGATGATAGAGCTCTGGGCGTTGCTCCCGCCGCTGTACTGGCGCCACTCGCCGCGTCCAGACTCGTCGAGCTCGTAGAGCACGCCGTTGGGCAGGCCGGCCTCAGCCATGTTCTTGCTCCCCGCAAGGAACGGCCGGATGCGGTGGTAGAAGATGGTCGGGTCGCAGCCCTCGTGCATGCGCTGCAGCAGAGTGCCCAGATCGTCGAGGCGCTCAGCGAATGCGCGCAAGCAGCGAGTGACGGCAGCCGCGTCACCATCGCGGGCAGCGGCCATAGCCGTCAGCATGAGCGGTATGATGGGCGCACCGCGTGCTTCAATGGCGACAGAGACAAGGTAAAACCAAGACTCGTCGATGGCGCCGGTGAAGGTTGTCAGGGTGGCGAGGTTCTCGAGCGAGTCGATGCCCTCGTCGATGAACAAGGGCTTGAAGTTCCAAAGACAGACCCCGGCGTAGGTAGCGACAGGGAGAACCTCGAGCCTCTCGGAGATGGTCAGGAGAGGCACGGCAATGGAGGGCGGCAGGCGGTCGCTGGGGCTGTCACCACCCCAGATGTAACCGTGCGCCATGAAGACCAGCAGGCTGTAAGCCCTCCGCCATTCCGCATCGTGTTCCAGACCGACGGTGGAGAGCACAGGGAGGCGGTCGATGACGCCTCGGAGGCGCCTGCTGAGGATCAAGGCCTGCAGGTTCGCCACGATGGCCTCCCACTTGTTGTAGTACGGATCCGGGAGCCTCGTCAGGGGGAGGGCTTCGGGCAGGAAGCCATGGCTAGGCGAGATTCCATAGTCGGAGAGTACTGGAATGGGAGGGAACATGACTTTGTTGGGTGGTTCTCTGTTTCAAGAGATCCTGGGGGTTTTGGCAGAGATTTCTGACGCTTGGCGTTGGTGGCCGGCGCGACGGTTCTTTGCCGAGTGCCCAAGTGGTGAGAGGCTTTGGGATGGGATATGAGAGTCCTGACGCAAGGAGTATACAGAATGTTCTGATATACTCCTCAGCCGTGCGAGATCACCGTTGTTTCGCGTGCATGCGTGTCTAGAATGAAGACAGAGGACTGTTTGTTGTCAGAGTAAGGCTGAACTGTAGTCGTTGATGCAAGGAAGGGAAATAGGTGGTACAAGGCCGAGGATGGTGTGGTTTATAAGAGACGTGAAACAGACGGCTGGCCGAGCGGCTTGACTAATCCAATCAGGCAATGGGTTGTTTACAAACCAGCGCCGTCTGTCTTCCAAGGTTGTTAGGAGGGAATGTGACCGCACCCGACGGATCCGCGAGGCCCTCAGGGTGCTTCTTATTTGTACTTGAAGTACTAGGCGCGCTTAAGGTTTTTTATGCCTTTGTGCTATGCCTGAATCGTGACAGAAGCTGAGAAGTGATTCCTCTTGTTTCAACAATTCCTTTCAGTCATGCATGTCGCGTGGGCTGTCTGTGTGTGCGTGGTCGCCGTTAAGCCGACCCAATCCATCCATAATCCCTCAGCACACCCTCAGCAGTCGGAATTCTGTAGGCGGGTGTATTTTGGGATGGCGGGCTGGCCTTGAAAATGGCACGATTACTGCATTTTCCTGCTCCGATCGCGCCCGGGTGGAAGGCATGGCATGGGGCCGGTGGACAAACGGGCGGGAGAAAAAACCGCACTTCCACACTGCCAATTGTCGCCTCAGCCCTGCCACTGTTCGCATGGAGTCTAGTCAGTCGTTCAGCCACTTGTCAGTGCGAGCATCGATCGAATTTGTTTAGCTTTGCCGCCCGGGAGTCGAGCTGCAATGCTGGCCCAGGTGTCCAAGTAAAATGGCAGACGAGGCAGATCGAGAAGACAAACTCGATGCATGCCTGGCTGCTATGACGTGGGTGATGGCCTTGAAGACGAGAAACATCGATCAAGTAGAATGTTGCAAGGTTGATGCAACTCATCAGAGAGAGGTCCCTGAGGCCAAGCCACCCCGGCTAGAACGGAGGCCCCGTTTGTCGGCCGTCTGCACACGGCGCACGTGCCATAGTTGGAGGTACGTACTCCGTACAGTAGGTACCTGGGTACCTAGGTACCTACCGACTACAGGTGGTGGGCAGCCTGGGGTCAAGCTCCAAGCAGCTCTTGGTGCCCGCCTCGACCAACTGCCAAGGCTGGTGGAGTATGAGGATGATGCGCCGTCCAAGGTACCAACCAGGCCGCCAGGACGAGACACCTCTGACTACCACAACCACCTGCCATGAAGCTGCTTGGCGACAGCTGCTGACGATCCCGCGCAATCGACAATGGTTGTCCAGCGCCATGTCCTCAACTGGCTGTACAGCGTCCTGACAAGTGTGCGTCCTCCGTGCGCCTGTCCCTGCCATCTCGTCTGGTCTTGGTCGTCTTCGTCATGTCGCTGACCCCTCTCCTCCACCGCTGTAGGAATACCACGATGTCAACCGCACATACAACGACGTAGCACAGGCCCTGTCGCAGTATCCCTCGCTGCTGCCGAGGACAGACGTGCACAGTACGCAATCGTCCCCGACTTTCTGCATTGAAACTTTGCGCTGACTGCTTCACTCGCCCACGACTGCAGCGTTTCCCAACGGCACCTCTGCCCTCCTCCTCCACATCTCCGGTACAATACCCGTCAACTTTCGCGGCACCACATACCGTTTCCCCATATCGATATGGGTTCCTCACGCATACCCGCGAGAGCCACCTCTCGTATACGTTACACCGACCGAGACAATGGTCGTGAGGCCAGGCCAGCACGTCGACCCTCAAGGCCAAGTCTACCATCCCTACCTCGTCGGCTGGGCTGACTTCTGGGATGTATGTGCTATGGCTTGCTACAAGATGTGCTCTCCCTGATTATGACTGCAGTGGCTGACTAGATTGATGCGCAGAAATCGAACCTGTTTGACTTCCTCGGCGTATTACGAGATATCTTCGCAAAGGAGCCACCCGTTGTCGCAAGAGGCCAGGCGCAACAACGACCACCCTCCGTCCAACCACAAGCCACGCCGACCCCTCCTCCCGTCCCTCCTCTGCCACAGGAGCTGGCTGCTCGACCGCCGAGCTCCATACAGTCGCCTCCGATAGCGAACGGGGGGCCCCAACCACCACCTCCACCTCCCAAACCAGGCCAGCAAGCTTCGAGAGCAGATGGTCCTCCTCTCCCTCCACTACCGCCGGGTGTGGAGCACCATTCGAGCCGATACGGTTCTCCCGCATTGCAGCAGTCGCCATCCGCGCAGCCGCCCCAGAACAACCGCATGTCCAGATATGACAGCGCGCCTCCACTGCCCCCGGCTCCTCAACAGCAGCAGGGGCCACCCCAAGGCTTCGGCTTTCCTCACGCGGCTCCTCATCTACCCCCTTACCAGGGACAACCGCTGCAGGCTCAGTATCAAGGCGGCGCACCGCCCGTGCCAGTTTCTCCCGCCGATACGCGTCGAATGTCAAGCCTGCCTCCGCAAAATCATCAACACTACGCTAGTCCTCCACCATTACAGCAGCCATGGCAACAAGGACCGCCGCAGGCTATACCTCCTCCGCCTCAGCAGAAGCCTCCGCCGCCACCAGATCTGATGGACGATCTGACCCTAGACATTCCTTCGCCCTCTTCCGTGCCAGCACCACCAATCCCACCTAACCCGGAGAAAGATGCTCTCCTCCAGCAGCTCGCAGGCACTCTGCATCAGATGAGGAACAGGACTCGGGAGCAGAATGACTCGAGTATGCAAGGCCTCCAGGCGCAACGGACAGCCATGCTAAATGCCATGAGCACGATGCAGTCCGAGATCGGTGCCCTGGCGCAGCTCTCCAATTTGTTACAAAACAACACAAACATCCTGCGAGACACCATACGCCGCGCGGATGAGACGATCGAGAGCAGCAAGGCCCTTCCTGAGCCGGACATCGACCAGCTGCTTGTCGCACCAACAGTCGTCGGCAACCAGCTGTATGAACTGGTAGCTGAAGAGCGCGCCCTGGCCGATGCCATATTTGTGCTTGGCCGGGCGGTCGAGCGAGGTCGGGTCGCCCCAGCTGTGTTCGCTAAGACGACAAGGAGCTTGGCCAGGGAGTGGTATTTGAAGAAGGCACTCGTCAAGAAGATCGGACTCGGGATGGGGCTTCACCCGGCTGTTTAGCGGGCAGCGGGTGATACCCTGGCCGGCGTCGATGGCACTTGTGACGAGCTTGTGGGGATCACGGAGAGGCATTGGCCTGACACAGGAGGGGAGGCAACTGCGCCATCGGACGGGCTGGGGATCCTCGACATTAGCGGGGCGGCCGATTTCCACAGGCGACGGAAGCTGGAGGAGCGCGGCGCTTCGAACGGGGGGCTGCATAGGGAGCGGCTGAGGGCTGCGTCGCTATCTGTGCCGATATCTCGCCGCATAGGCACGCGACGTATCAGGCTGCATTCTTCGGGCAGCGAAGACTAGCTGAGGGATGTAAGTGCATGGATATTAGAAGCGAATGATTCAGTCCATTTTGGCATTTGCATCCCGAGGTCCTCGTGGAAGTGTCTATGTACGTGCTGCGCGTGCCGTGTCTGAGGCAAAATGAAGAGACACGGTGACATTTTCCGTAGTCTATCCTTATGATGGAGGGAGGCTATTGGTAGGTCTTACGACACGGACACCTCCCAGAGGGCACCGGCGAGCTCTTTCCTACCACCGGGTTTCTGGGTCGGCATGGTGGAGCCTCTCTGTGCCCTTGATGGGACAGTAGCCACAGCTGGTACAAGGACTTCGACCTCGAGGTGGTCAAGAAGGTGGACGCGCCGCGGTACTCGACCGCGGTACGCGGGCCAATCGATATCTTAATGGAGAGTTTAGACTCGTGGCCTTACTCTGTAGTTCGAGCCCGGGGGTACCGTCGTACTTCCGATGCGTGGACATCAAAAGGCCTCAATAGTTCTGGCCTCCGTGGAAGCCGGTCCGTCATTTTTCGCCGCCTCTCCTGGCCTCTGAAGAACCAGGTCATGGACGGTTCTTCTTTTTCACCTGTCTTGGATGACTGCTAGATGAGCTGCTGAGTTTATGCGTGAGGTGTGATCTGAAATATGAATATGTAGTTGACGGTGCAACAGTCGTTCTCGCCTGATCTGTGCCACCAACCAACCACGGCACCTACAGTATGCAGTTTGCTATTATGTGTGCATATCATGCAGGGCCTAACGTGGGGCGGCGGTGCGGCTGAAGCTGTCAGACGTTCCTTGCTGCAATCCTTTTTGGAGCTAGATGCAATAGTAGAGCCCTCGTGGCGTTTTGCAGCGCGTACGACTTGACCTGAAGGAAACCCATAATCCTCCCGTCACACCGATTTGCTGTCTTTGCGAGCATCTGGTCTAATTATGATTTTTGCCAAGGCTGCCATGCCACCCTTGCTGACGTGTGGTGTCTACTCCTATGCTCACCCAACCGAGTCAACCGGTGACCTTCTTGGTAACTTCACCTTTGTCCAGTCACCGGTTGGAATGGATGCGATTGACATGTCATTTGTAAATATTCAAATGTTGTTGAACCAGATTTCACATGCATAACTGGGTTCGTTTGTGATCCTCATACATATATGACGTAGCGCCTTGATCCAGCGGTAAACGCTCCCAAGACCCAGCGTTTAAGAGAAAAAAAGCAGTGCCAATATTATGTCTACAAAAGACGAAGTCTGATGGGCGTCAGACCTTGGTTGGCTATTATGTTGGTGGTTGCAAAAAGGGTATTAGCAATGACTTACAAATTCACTCATATTTGGCCACATTTGGAGAAACGACGATAGGTGAAAGGGTTACCAAGTTCACCTGAAAAGAACAGTCACTACTAGGAAACTCATGGAGCGATCTTTTAAGACAATCATAATGGTAGGCCACAGCTCAGTATTCACTCATCAATCATGACGATAGAAGCATTTGAGGCGGGGCATGTTGTTTGCATGTCGATCTTGCCATGTGTGTGCTTCGATGGCAGCGTACTATAATGGATCCGGAATGTGTATATGCGTCCCGACCAGCCGCAGATAACACTGTTGCCTGCTCAATAGCTGTTGCCTACCTCGCATTGGGTGTCTTTAATTAGCATCCTCGGCTGTGACGCTACGTAGCTTTCCAGTGTCAGCATCCCCCTGCCCGCGCTGTCCCGCTATCGTAGAGCGTACCATCTTGGCACCCATGGCGCCGGGAGGGGCAAGTTCTAGACGTGCGAGTGTCCATTTCTTCATATGATTGAGTTTCGCGTTTCCCTTCGTTTTTTGCACCGGTCCTTTTGATGCGGCCTCCCGGCCTCTTCACCGAACCACCAGGAGTCAAGTCACCGACAACAATGACGAGCCATGGACGACGCGCTTCACGATGTAGAGCGCGTGGCTGGCGACGCCCTACACACCATTATAGACCTCAAAAGGCGGGTGTCCGCGCACCTGGATGGCTCGGATCTATATCTGGTCCACGATGAGCTTGTCGAACTGTCGGGGCTGTTGGAAGATATCCACCAGCTTCGTAATGGAACATTTTCCGGGACACCCAAAGAAAACCTCGACATCCTCAAAGCCATCCATCAGGATATTTGTGTGGTCCTGAAGACATTCGAGGATGTACGAGAAGTTTACCCTAACATTGAGGACGACAATCGTAACGATCCGCAGCACCATTTTAAGCCGGAACTGAGTGCCGAGAGGCGGTCAAGGCCTGTCAAGGAGCGAATAACCTTAATTCACCGGCATCTCAAGGAACGCCGCCTCTCATTATTGTCCAAGCTCGTCGTGCTTAATACGTGAGTGACGTTCGGCAGTGCTCCTGCTATTGGCACTATTTTTTAAAGGTCTAAAGGACTCTGACAGGTTGACTTGGGATAGTGTCAGGTTAATAGAAACCTACCCGGAAGATGATGTGTTCAGTCAACATACCAAGCCGAAATATGGCTCGCAGCGATTTACCGACTTAACGCTGGAGTCTAATGCAAGACACACTGTCGATGCAAGTGTTACGAGTGGTCAGGACTGGTCCGAACAGAAGACTGTTCCGCATCATTTCGAGAACGAAAAGTATTTGTCATCCGAGATGTTCCCTATGTTCAAGCACATGCGCCAGGAAACACTGCGAACTCCACCTTTGAAAAGTGGCGTCGTGAATAGTTCTTTACAGTCACCACGGTCTCCGGGAATGCACCAGCTTGCGCTTCCCGATATGCACTACGAGCGTTCCATAAAAAACGAGGTGCATTTCCAGCACCTTGAGCAGGCCTTCTCAAAGATCACTCATAGCCCGCCCATCAACGGCCGAGGGAAACGCCCATTTTCAGTACAAGGACAGCCCAGGGTCGGCATCTCAATGTGCAGCCCGCGATGCCGGTGCCATTGCCACTCTAAACGGAGTGTCGTCCACCTTAGTCTGGCTGCCTTCAGAAGTACCCTCGGAGCCTTCGCGTTTTCCTTTACCGGTCCTAATTCCGGTACTGCGGCCTGTACGGATTTGTCGTGTAGATCACACCGCGCAAGATGGCTCCGGATAACCTATGTCTTCCCTTCTTGGTTGTTCTCGACAGCGATAACGGCATCGTTCTCAGACGGCATCGGCTCACCAGAGCTCCTCATTAGAGTCTGCAGGGTCCTCTCAACGAAAACCCCAGAGGGATACCATAACATTTTCGGGTGTATGTATAACATCTTTGGATGTATGTCAAGAATCTTCTAGCCAATTGGAACTCCCTTGCTTTCGACGATTGTCCCACTGACAATTCATAGATATCAGCAGAAAGGATGTCGACAGTCTCAAGCAAGCCATTCAAAGAAAACACGTTGCAATCACAGATGTCCTCGACACTGGCATGACGGCGATCGCCTTCGCCCTCCGTCATTACAGTCTTCCAATGGTCCAGTTTCTGCTCCAAGAAGGTGCAGATCTATTTCAGGAGGGTCTACCTGGGGTCACACCGCCTGGGTTCATGATGGCCCTCGAGAAGTTGTACACCGACCCAAACATGCCGAGAGGCGAGCGTACAGTCCTAGAAGAAATGTTACCTTTGGACACCATAGTCGAGATGGCTGGACTCTCGCCTCTTCACAAAGTGGTCCTCGGAATCCGATGCCTCGACCTGGGCGAATTACTGCGCCTAGACGTCTGCCCCGTCGACCAGATGGACGATTCCGGCCGGACAGCCCTCCAGTGGGCGGCTGCCAAAGGGGACGCAACCGCGATCTCGGAGCTGCTAGAGGCAGGCGCCCAGCTGGAGTACAAGACGCGCATGCGGTCGGAGACGCCGCTGCTGATCGCGTGCCGGACCGGCGCGAACCCAGAAGCAGTCAGGACGCTCTTAGCCGCCGGGGCAGACATAAACGCCACGGATTGCTACCGCCAGACGCCCCTGGTACTCGGCGTGGCCGCACCCGGGGGCCGCGACAGGATCGAGATAGTTGGTGCGCTGCTGGATGCCGGGGCCGACGTTAACAGTGAGCAGGGTTTCGCGCGCGCCGCGCCGTTGGCTTTTGCTTGTGCGGCCAGCAATATGGAGATGGTGCAGTTCTTGATCAAAGCCGGTGCGGATGTGAATCACCGCGACCGCGATGGCTCTACGATACTCAGTAAGATACTCCCCCTTGAGATTCACACCTATAATACCTAGGTACTTTGGCCTTTGTCGGGATATTTGTCGGATTTTGAGTGTGCTAACTTGTTGTGTCTGCAGTGAATGCAGTTATATATCATGCGTGTGAGACAGCAACGGTCCTTTTGAAGCATGGGGTCGATATTCGTGCCACAGATAACAAAGGGAAAACTGTCTTGCATTGTATTGCTGAAGTCTCCAATGAAGACATGATCAGGGTATTTGCCTCAACGAGTCCTTGGTATGTGGTCGACCCAGAGCAAAGGGACGACAATGGTCTATCCCCTCTAGACACCCTTGATCAGAGAACGATCAGTGCAGCTCCCGGACTGAGGGAAAAGTTCTTCGAGCTTTTGCAAATAATGGCTCAAAGACATAGACATAGTCTCAGTACAGAAGAAGCCGAAGCGCATGAGGAACTGTTCTTTGATGCATTAGACAGCTTGGGCGATGAAGACGACACGAAGGCTCAGGGGAATTCATGACACCCACCTGGAAATTTCAATGAAATTTCAAATTCAAAGAAGTGAAGATATAACACCTTGTTGCAGTGTTTAAGATATTGCTTGCAACCAAGGGCATCATCAGGGTCGACATATGCGTCCACGGGTGTCATATATTGGCCGCCCATATTATTTACCACATACGAACTTCAAGTTCACTTTTGATACAGGGGGCAACAGTGTGTCCTTCTCGATGTTTGTGTGATCTCAAGCCGTCTGTTTTGAACACGAGAACAAGACTGCGTTCGCTCCCAACAAGGTCGTTGTTTGTCATCTGTACAACGGAGAGCCGTTTGCCCAAGTACGCAACCGATCGGGCAACAGCAACAGGAGAAGCTGACGCACCGTCACACACGCGGCTTCAGAGAAATTGACTGGACCAGGGGGGGTTCCTTGTGCTATCGCAATAGTTGGCACCTGACCACTTAACTAAGACCGCGAGACTCGGACGAAGTGCGATGCGCGAAGCATCTTCCATCCGCCGTTTTCCTTGATTCGAGTCCTCCAGGGCTATTATCAGCAATTCTCCATTGATCAGAGCACGCCCATCATGAATCCAATAAATCGATGTCTGGGTCTGCTCGCCTCGATCGTGTGTCTTCTGGCCAGCATAGCGACAGCTGCTCCACTCTCGACACTCACAACCTGCAGGACGACCACCATCACCCCGCCGACTTCCGTGGGTTGCACGACGACCGTGGCCCTTACTCTGACAACTACCACGATCACCATGCCATCGTCGACCACTACATCTTACACAACCATAACAGCCCCCGTCCCCACTGGCAGCACGGTGCCCGAGTACGGACAGTGCGGCGGTTTGGGATACGCCGGGCCGACGGCCTGCGAAGACCCGTGTTCTTGTGTCTGCGGGAGCGACTGGTGGTGCCAGTGCCAATCTTCCTCATTCGACAAGTTCGAGCTCCAAGGCAAAGTGGACAACATTGCGAAAGTCGAGACGACATCCTCAGAATTGGATTCAAACTATACCACTGCGACTTACTGGCTCCCGGATTTGCGAACAACTGTGGTCGGTGTCTGAGGCTGTCCGGTTATTTCAGCTTGGTATAGATGCCATGGGCTTTGTTACTTCATTCCAAAATTACACCAATTATCTCCACGGGCACAAGATCATAATAGATATGGCCTTATTCCACAATCCATAGTGATGGGCTATAGCTACAGGGACCCATAGCTAAAGACTTTTAAGGAAGATACGATCGAGAGGATATGAAGGCTGATGAATCGACAATTTGGTCATAGATAGGGTCAGAAGCTTTTGAATTTACCTGAACGATATAGTGACAATCTCAAGCTTTCCCAAATCCCGGTCATTCAATACGCCCCAAAGAGAAATGCGTAGCAGGAACTTCCGTTTCCGCTCTGTCTCGCGGAGTATGTACCATTTTGCACCGACAATAGTATACACAGGGTCACTCACACGCGTATCAAACAGCACTGGTGCAAGGCCGTAGTACCCTCGATCAGCAACAATGAGCTTCCGGTCCCGGGTGCATGATAGGCAAATTTCATGCACCTGTCTTACATCCGCCAGGGCTTTAGCCTCGGTTCCGTCTTGAGCTCGGAAAAGAAATCAGATAAACGCTGTACCTTTTAACTCAAGCTTGGCTTTCGGGCGCCTGACATTGTATGGAACCTTGGAAAATAGTAATCCAACCTTGCGCGTTGTCACTGAAAATAGGTGGAGTGTACTTGATATTCCAGCGTCAAATTTGTCCTACATGTAGAATTCTCCTTAACGGAAGAGCTTCATTTTTTTGTAGAAATGATGCTGAAATTGAATGCTCGTGTTCCTATCTAGTACTCCTAAAAGGGTTGCTCTCGGTCCCTAATCCTTCAAACACAGTCATAAACCTGCAACCCGAGTTCTAGCCATGCGTCTAATCAATGATACCAGGCCAAAGCATTCGTGACAACTTGGGTGACTGAACCCCATCCAAACCCTAACGCCTCATTTCGTTCTCGCAAAATGGAAACAGTAAAAGAACAGTCTATCAAACCCAAACCGTGTGTCCGAATCTCGCCCGGAGCGGCCCGAAACTCCACAAACCATAAGGATACTCGCAGCTTCCCACCAACTCCATATTTAAGAAACCTCTGTGCCAAGAGGTGCCGTATGAAAGCTGGAGGTACTTCCCTCACTGACACTACCCGTGCTATGCTGACCCCTGCTGCCCTTCTCAAGTGGCTCAGGACCGCCCTTGCAAAGAACCTTGATCATAGTCTGTTCTCTCGATCTCGACGGCATCGGGTGCGTCAACTCGCATTGGGCGTTGGCCACAACCATAAAGCCACTGCTATCACTATCCTCCGTCTGCGTCACTGCGCTGGAGGACTCGCGTGCTGGGCTTTCGCTTCCTGATTCAGGCTGCTCGATTGGCTGAGTATATCGAGAGGTTGTTGCTTTCTGGCCCGGGATGGCCTGGCAAAATGACAAGTCGTGCCTCTTTGTGAGCCCAGCAAGTCTGTCGCCTGTTGCTTCTGATTTGCTCCGCTCCTTGGCCTTCGGCACGTCGAAGGGATTTTCAATATCCCAAAGAGTTGTTTTGCGCCGCGTATAGATGCTTGGGGGGGTCCTATTGGAGGCAGCCTGAACGTCTTCGTGGCCATTCGCGTCCGGCCCACTGGCAAAACGCAAGTCCGACTCCAATCGCTTCCGCAATGAGTCTGCCGCTAGCACCTGTCTTTGCTTGGTGTGACTAACCTCTTGGCTCTTGGATGTCGACTGGGATACGGCGGAATGATTTCGAGCTTTCTCCTTCTCGACACCGCCGGACACCCTTGAGCTCCTTGAACTTGTGGGTTGTTGCTGTGAGGTCCTTTGCCCATGCTTCAAAGTCGATGAGACCCTTTTGAAGAACCTCGGTGAGTCGGTTTCATCGATCCGCTGCATGCTGCTAGGACCGGAATCTCGTCGCACTGGATTTAGCTGTTCCAAGGAGTCCCTGGCCACCGCGCCTATTTCTGGGACAAGCTTGTGCGAGCTGGCCATTTTAGGGGCCTTCCTCAAAGTCCCCTTTTCCTTTCCGACGTGCCTATGAGAACTTCTCCTGGCCGCACCACCTCGGAACCTACTTGGCAGGCGAGACATTGGTTCATGAGGTGCGCCCTCCAGGACCATTCCGCCATTGCTGATCGAACCCTTGTTCAATTCGACGTTACAATCATCTGGCCTGAAGCCTGTACCAGATGGCGGAAATGAGCCGGGCTTCACTAGGCCCTCGAAAATACTGATCCTGTCCTTGATGGGGCTGGGGGGACCGTTTGGTTCACGACGACGCTTCGAGAGTGGTGAGCAGAATACGGAAGCTCTTGACAGACTGTCCTCTGGGGAGCTAGTGTCCAATGCTGCCACTGGATGGCTTGAATGCTGCTGTAGATGCTTCGCACCTGGCCGGGGGGCTGGAGGGCTGTCGCTAGGTTTTGTAACATGCCGTCTTCGCACGAGATCGGAAAGACCTCGTTCGAAAGCCTTCTTCAATTCCGCCACCTTGCCTTTCCGCGGCTGCAGCGCCGGAGCGGCATCTGGAGGGGTGGGTGGATTCGGAGTCCCATCTAGATCCTGCGCCAACATGGGAATGCAACCATCGTACCTGTTCTCGGAGTATTTGATCTTTGGGGGCACTTCCAACAACTGAGTAGGAGTCGCTTTCTTGGCGACACTCGGATACACATCAACCGCATTCCGGCCTGAATTACTCAATGCCGTCATGTCGAGGGCCACTAGGCGTGGCGCCGGATTGCTATGGACCTCGTCAATCAGCGGTAGGTGCAGCGTCCTATTTCCTGCCTCAACGGGCCCCGGTACTGTCGTTACAGATGTACGGCCGGTAATGCCTTCGAGCGACGATGGTGGAATCGAAAATGGGGTCGACTGGACAACTGATGATACTCGACTAGGACGGGACTCGGTGGGACAACCGTGGTCATCTCTCGAGACTCGCTGGATGGTCGAAGTGACGCTCCATGTATTCGACTTTGGAAAACGCGAGGTAGTTCGACCGGAACTCGAGGCATTGGAACCAGCGACGGAGACGCTGGTCTGGTAGAATGCTGGGAGTGAAAGACGATGGTTAGCAAGACAGAGAAAAGGTGAGCACGCAGACAATGCGATTACCTCGTGGTTCTATACTATTCCCCAACTGGAAGGGCCTAGAGAACCTGGTCTGTTGGCCAATGGTGTTGTTGGGTACTGATGCAGCCCAATCGTGAATTGCTGAACTGTATTGCATTGTGCCTTGTTCTAGAATTCTGTGACCGTAAGAGGCAATGATAATTTCGCCGAAAGGAGCTGCCAAGTCCGGGGCAGGGCCGACCAGTTTAGGTTGAACGAGATCCTATTCGAACTGGAGGTCACTCGTGTCATTACTCCCCTGGCACGGGTGGGATAATATTGCTTGGTCGGTGGCGTGGTCGAGATGACACGCCGTTGATTCGACGCTATTGCATGGTGGAAGAGTGTCGAATTAGTGACCAGCAAACACAGAACAGCCTGCGTGGTGAATGCATGCATTTCTTGATAACTGAGGCAGGAACGGGGCCCGGTGGAGCCTCAAGGGCGTTGGCATCATTTTGAGAAAGGAAGGTTCAACCGCAGTAGTCCAACAAGTTGCAACAATCCATTGCAGGGCCAATCTGGCTCGGCTTAGCTTGTATCACGGTATCTCAAATGGCTTGTTCTACTAGCCGGGTTTCCCGTGCACCATTTCCGTAGGAATTTGTTCAGGCCACGGCAATTATTCAGGTGATTTATCAATTCATGCTGTGGCCGCGTACTTAGGTACTGTGACCTTAGCTATGCTCATATCGTGAATGAGGAGAGTCCTCGACCATCGGCCTTACTCCCCTTCTCACCACCCCCAAAAATGGACTAGAGTCGCCTTTCATGCTCAGCCCTGTGAGACCGCCTTCGTGACGATCTCAAGTCTCACTACCAAAGTGCCCAATCGCTGCGATCACAGTGCCACAACCCAGTCCGCTGCCAAGTGCTGACAACCAAACGAAGTACTGATTGCCACGATACTCGAGTTGTCGGACTGCCCAGAGCCTTGGAGCCCGTCGATGGCCATCTTGATAATGTCGGCAACATCGCCATAGCCCATCCTACCACGTGCCTTGGCATCAGTCTGCGCACACTTGATGTCGTATTCGTACAGAATCAGAGTTAAAATACTCACGTAACCGCATTCCCCTCAGTTGTCTTGTAACACATGAGGAACAGCGTACAGTCGCCCTCCTTGCCGAATTGCTTATACCCAGCTGGGACCCCACACGCCTCGGTGAAGTTTCCATGCCGGTCGGCTTGGGTCTTGAGCTCTTGTGAGAGTTTCTCACAGTCTGCCCTAACCCTCTCCGGGTAGCTTTGGTTGCCGTACTGATAGAATGGACTCGTTGGCGTGGTGCAGAGATGGTGGTCGTCGGCAAGGCTCGGGGAACGGGGCGCCTGCGGCGCCAGCGCCACCATGAAAGTGGGAGAGGCTGTGGTCAAGCCGAATATGACCGAGAAGAACAAAAGGTATTTGGCACTAATCATTTTGTCCCGAGTATAGACTTTCCTTGTAATAAAATATGAAAAAGACCAACAAAAAAGCAAGTATCTTTGTGGTCGTGTCGTCCACGGCACCTGGGGCGGGTCTGTGATTGTTGCTGGTGATAGCTGTTCCTCAAGTGCTCGATGGGAATACCAGAATGGGGGAACTAGTGGTGTGGTGTTCTGAGGCCGAGCTTTATACAAGGGACGACCTCGTGTGACCGAGGCCTGGTCTTGTTTGCGTATCAAGCATGGCTCACTTTGAGACTCAGTGACTCGTCGGGTAAATCATCAGCTTGTCTAGCTAGGTACTTAATTAGGCAACTTTGGGCCGTTTGTTCTCATCTAATGTGTCTTCGAAAAACGCCGCCAGAAGTAGTTCCCGCTAGCCAGGGCTTGTCTATGCAGCTATTATAAGTTCTTGGGTTGTTGTGGGATTCTTCTTCTTATAGGGGCTATGTTGAGAGACTATTCTAGTCTCGCCGTATGACTGCTTTGCCGGCTTATCGTGGTAGATTAGCCTTTGGGCTACTTATGTTGATGATTCTAGTGTGGTGCCGTTGGGAGTGATGCCTTCCAGCCTTGTCTGTGCGGTACGAGGCTTAGCTACGTGCCTATAGATGTACTGTATTTTCTTTCTACTATTATTGGTACTGTATTTCTTTAAACGTTGGGTCTTGAGCGTTTACTACTGTATGAAGGCGCTATATATATTTTATATGTATGGGGATTAAAAACGAAACCACTTGGGCCATGTACTACTAATTTTGTTCTTTTACTCGCTCTTCTTTTATGCTGTTAAAATTCTGGGTATGTGAGTGTTTACTACTGTATAAATGGATGGTCTACACCCGGACTGATGTATTAAGAACAAAACGACGTTTGCATACAAAGTTTTATGTAGGCCTGTAAATCCGTAGTTAGTTATGTAAGTAGGCCCTATAGGTAGTTAAAACCATGCTTCTATAGGTACCCTTTAATAGCTAATTCTTTTAATTAATAGCTTAACTACTTATACCTTTAAATATTACATTCCTTATAAATTTTAATATTTTAATATATAGGTATAAAATAAGATATATAAAAATAATTATTTTTATTAAAAAAACCTTATTTTACTTTTATACTTAATAAAAATAATTATAATTAATCTTAATATTACTAAACGTACTTTTAAGTAACTATTAACTTAATTAATACTTAACTTAAAATAAATATTTATACCTTAATTATATAAAGTTAAATTACTTTTAATAATAATAATAATTATAAAAGAGAACTTTATTTATTAAATTAAATAATAATAATATTTATTTATTAATAATTATTATTTATAAGTAAATAGTTTTAAATTAGTTAAAAGTTTTAATAATAAGTATTATATTTTTCTTTTATATTATTATTATTAATATAATTAATTTATAATTAAACTAAAAATATATTAATAAATATTAATTTTATTATTTTATATTAATTTTTTATTTTTAATTAATTTTTTATTTAATACTTTATAATATTTAATAAAGTTAATTTATAAAAGGACTTTTTTAAAGTATTTATTAATTATAAATATTATATTAATAAATTTATAATTAAAAGAATACTTTAAAAGTTTATTAATTAATATATTAAGTTTATAAGTTTTTAATACTTTAAATATTTATTTCTTTTAATTTAATAAAAGTATAAATAATAATTTAAAAATTAAATAAAAGTATAATATTAAATTTAAAGCTATTAAAATAACCTATATTATTTAAAATAATTATATTAATTAAAGGTTTAACTTATTTATTATATATTTTAATAAAGTATAGTTTTTATTATATTAAATAAAGTAGATAAAATTATTATTTTAATTAATTTATACCTTTTTAATAATAGACTTTTAATAACTTTAAACTTTTAAAGTTAATATAAGGATAGTATAATTAACTTTTAATATTAACTATATAATTCTTTATAGAGACTTATTATATTAATAAAGGTTTATTTATAAAAATCTTTTATAATAATTTTATTTAATAAATTTAATTTTTAAAGTTTTTAATATAAAAGGTTTTTTTAAAGGATTTTTAATTTAATATTATAAATATTTTTATTTTTAATAAGCTTAAAAATATAAATTTAACTTTATACTTTTATAATCCTTTATAAATTATAATTAAATAGAATCCTTATAGAATTATTAAATAACTTTAATAATTTTATTAAATAGGTATTTATTAATAAATTAAGTTAATTTATTTTTATAAAAGTAATTATATAAATTTTAGGTTAATATAATACCCTTTATTTTTAAATTATATTTTTAATCCTTTTATTTTATAAGAATAAATTATATATTAACTTTATTTAATACCTTTAAAATACTTTTTAAGCTTTTACTTTTATAATAGTAATTTATAATAATTTATATTATTTTATTTAAAAGATTTTTATTAATTAATTAAATATTTATATTAAAATTATTAATAAGTTACTTTAGTTAGTAACTATAATAGTTATAAAAGATTTATTAAATATATTAAGGTTTATATTAATAAAGTAATTAAATAAAAGATTTTATTATTTTAAAATAATAATTTAACTTTATAATATAATTACCTCTTTCTATTATATAAAGGTTAGTTAAAATATTATTAAAAAGTTAAAAGTTATATAATTTAAGTTAGTTAATATTACTTTAATATAATTAATAATTTTTAACTTATAAACTAATAAATAAACTATTTACTTTACTTTTAAAAACCTAACTTATAATATACTAGTAGTAAATATTAAACTTTATATTATTATAACTTAAAAAAATAATATTTACTTTAATTATAATAAATAAGATTATTAAATAAAAATTATAAAGTTAAATTTATTTTTAAAAAATATTTATAATTTATTAATTAATTAGAATATTACTTTTAAGAAAGTCCTTTATAATAATAAGTAATTTAATTTATTTAATTAATTATATAATATAATTATAAATTAATGTAATAAAATAATTAATTAGGTTGCTTTAAAGTAAATTTTTAAAAGAAATATTTAAGTTTATTTTATTAAAAATAACTTTAAATAAAAGGAGGAATATTATAACCTTACTTTTTATATAAAAGATAATAATAAGGTTAAAAACCTTTTAAAAGAATTTTAATAATATTTATTTAAAAATTAAGGCTATTAAAGTGTTTTTATATAAAAGTAAATATTAATAATTTCTTACTTTTTTATAATAAATTATTTTATAAAGGTATAAAAGTACTTTATAATTTTTTATATTTAGTTTATTAATAATTATAACTTTTATATTTTTTAATTATAACTCTTAAATCTATTACTACTTTAAATTTTTAGTAGTATAATTATAACTATATTTATTTATAAATTTTATATAAATAAATAATATTAGTAGTATTAATTTTTAATTATAAAAACGTTTTTATTATTATAAAATTTATTATAATTAATAAACTTTTAAGGATTTTATAGTTTCTTATAAAGTAATTTTTAATAATATATTTTTAAATAAATTTATTTTTAAAAAATAATCTTTTATTAATGGATAATATATTATATATAAAATAAAACCCTTTATTTATTTATTTTCTTTAATTAGTTTAAATTAATACTTTTAAAATATATAAATTAAAACTTTTAATTATAAAAATTATATTTTAAATATTAAAACTTTCCTTTTATTCTTAAAATAATATTTAAATACTCTTATAAATAACCTTTAAATTACTATTTATATTAAGAAATATACTTTAAAGTTTTTAGTTTATTTAATAAAAATAATGTTATATAAATATCTTATTAAAAACTACTTATTATATTAATATAAGTAATTATAAGCCTTTTACCTCCTTTTAAATAATTTAATTCCTTATAAAAGTAAACTATATATAATTTTATTAAAGTTTATAAAAATATATTTATTTATAAAAGTAAAAGTTTTAGTTTTTACCTTTTACTTTATATTTAAAAATTTATAACTATATATAAAAAAAAGTTTAACTTAAATAAATTATTTAATATTTTTATTATAATTATTATTAATTAAATAATTATATTAAAAGTATATATATTTTATATTTAATATTATAAATTAAATTTAATATATAGTAAATTATAGATAATATATTTTTATAAACTTAAAAATAGCTTTTATATATTTAATTAGATTTTAAAATTATAAAAAAACTACTTTTATTATATTATTTAGTTTATATAAGTAGTTAGTAATACTATTTAATTTTTATAATATCTTAACTATATTTTAAAAGTTTATTAAAAAGTTTTTATAAACTTTATAAATTTATATATAATTTAATAAATAATATTATTATTTAAATAAATATTATAAAATAATTTTATAAATATATATTAATTATATTTACTTAATTAATAGTTTATAACTTTATTTTAAATATATTTAAAATTAGTTTATTTATTAAGTAAAAGTTTTTTAATTTTTATTTTAAAAGATAGTATTACTATTAATTTAATAAAAGTTACTATTATTTATAACTACTTTATATTAATAACTATAATTAAAATTTATAACTTTATTAATATTATTAGGTATTTTTATAATTTAATAAATAATTATTTTAAATAAATTAGTACCCTTATAAACTATATTAGTAACCTTAAAGGTTAAATTATTATATTTTAAAAATATAAAAATAATAATATAAAATTAAAAATATTATTATTAACCTTTTAATTATAAAAACTTTTAATTAATAACTATTTTTATAATTAAGTTTAATATAAATAAATATTATATTAATATTATTCTTTTATAACTTTATTTTTATAGTTAAAACTTTATTTTATATTTAATTTTATACTTTTTAAAGAAGTTTATTAATATATAAATATAATATTTTATTTAAAAATAAAAACTATTTAAAATTTTATTAGCTTTATAATATTAATTCTATTAAATTTAAGGTATTAAAATTATAATTTTAATAAATTATAAGTTTTAACAACTATTA